TTTCTTAATTTTTTTATTTTTCAATTTAAATTTATCGCCATCCCAAAAACGATAAACTTAAATTGAAATGTCTAAAAAAAACTAAGAAATAGTAGCTGTGTGGCAAGTGACCTTATGGGTCATTTACACGCCTCCTGAGGTGTTGTTCAATGTGGCTACCACCCTTTTCGACAGTGAGTCGCAAACGCTTCTCAACTCCTTCCGTACAAGCCTTTAATATTTGTTCAGCAGGTATCCTAGCACATTCGTCCCGAATTCGTTGTTTCATTGCTTCGGCATTGGGAGGCATAGCCAAATTAATTTTATCTTTGAGCTAACCCCAAAGATAAAAATCAAGTGGCGTTAGGTCTGGTGATCACGCTGGCCAAAGTGGAAATATCGAATAATAAAACTCAAAGTACAAGTTCCTTATTGACTACAAAAAATCGAAAATAACAGACAAACAAATATTTGCAAAACAAAACTAGTTTATTGTTATTAGAAAATCGAATGCATTTCGAACGACAACTGAGCGTTCATCTTCAGCGCAACGCTAACATACACTAAACAGAAAGAATCAAAGTGATAAAACAAAATTATACATAATATAGTGATAACAACAAAAGAATTCAAACATTAAAAGAAGAAAGAGATAGAAGAAACGAATTATAACAAAGCAAAGAGAGGCGATGCAATGTTACCTTGCATCGAAGTCTCGGCATGGAAATATCGAAGTCTCGGCATAGGCATGCCGATCCACGAGGATAATGCGATCACCAAACATCCTCCCAAGCCGACGCTTTACGAGACGCGTACCATGTGCTGGAAACCCCAAAGGGTTTTTTGAAATTTTAAAATTTTTCTAACGAGCCTATTAAATGCGTCATCCTGTATATAAATAGTATGTTCAAATGTGTCTATTCCTATATCATCCATTATTTGGTCTATTTCATTCATTCCGTTTTCATTATGTTTTTCGCCAGATACAGTGCATCCAGGGTACATATCTTTAAACAAATGGCTATACACAGTTGCACTGTCTACTTCATTTTCTCTGGGTTCAAATCCCTCTTCAAAGATAGTTTCTGGATGTCGATCCTATATACAAATTTAAAAGTATCACAGTAATTATCACAGTTATGAGTATCACCTAGTATGAGTGCCCCTGCATTTTGATTTCTCAAGTATATCTCACTTTTATTGTTTAAATCCATATGATTCCCACGAGTTATGAACAGTAGTTATAAGTTAAAAAAAAGATCTGGTGAATTTCTAGATAAAATCATTCATCTTTATAACATCTGTGCTCTACTTCGACAAAACCTAATGACATGTCCAGCGTTCCTCCACATGAATTCCACCACATAGAGTCCAAATATGATAATTGGTCCTGGACCTGGACCAATGGTCCAAACGATAGTTACAAACTGTTCAATCGAAAAACACACTAAAAAATGCCAAAAAATTGTCGATTTTGTATGGGAGCTATGCCTGTATGATATCGTAATGATGTGAAACTTTGTACAAGTTACTTTTATCACTAAAAAATAACATTCTAAAAGTTTGAAGAAATTCCAACACCATTTATGGGTATCTCTCATATAAAAACTTCGTTTTTGAGCCAAGAATCGAAAATTTTGTATGAGACGTACCCTTATTTTTGATTGAAATTTTTGCATGTTTTTTTTGTGTAAAAAATAGTCTGTGCAAAGTTTCACGTCCTTGGGATACATCGAAGCCGTGGTCTATTATAGGAATTCCCATATAAATTTTGTGACCGAAATCGCTGACGCGCTCCCTGATTGCATTAAATCAAACTAATCTGTTCCAAATGTTTTGTGTTGCATCTAACAGATGGCGCTCGCATATTCACAATAACAAAAATCCATTTAAAAAGTCTAATAAGTAGAGAAAAATAATTTAAAAAAGTAACAATCAATAAATTTTAAAACGTTTTTTAATGGAAATTATTTTTCTTTGTAATTTTTTGAGATTTACTTATCTCAATATTGAAAAATATTTAATTAGACAAATAAAATGGTTAACATAACCCTAGACATAACCTCACCTTTTTGTCACAATGATAACAAGTTGATTGCTAAAAAAATCTACAAACACCAGAAAATATTTACAAAATAAATGTAAATAATATATTTGCTAAATATATTTTTAAATTTTAATTTAAGTGAACATTAATACCATTTTCATTTTTGTGGGATTGGAATTCAAAATATTCGAAAATAACTAAATCAAAAGTGTGCAACATAGCCTCACTTTCAATTACGCAATTTATTAGACGTCTAATACAAATAGAAACATAACACTTTGCGACAGATTAATTTACTTTAATGTTATGAGGGTGCGCTTCAGTAGATTCGGAAACAGAAGAGTAAATAAATTAATAGCATATTTTTTTTAAAGCTGTAAAACACTGTACAGAGTAATTTATATTTGTTATACACCTTAATGATTTCACAAATTCGTTACTTCTTTCAATGTTTTTCAAGAATAAAAACTAAATTATTTGCTTCAAAAACGCCATTAGAACAATTGCCCAATTGAAAGTGAGGCTATGTTGCACACTTTTTGATTTAGTTATTTTCGAATATTTTGAATTCAAATCCCACAAAATTGAAAATGATATTAATGTTCACTTAAATTAATATTTAAAAATATATTTACATTTATTTTGTAAATATTTTCTGGTGTTTTGTAGATTTTTTGAACTTGATATCATTGTGACAAAAAAGTGAGGTTATGTTAACCATTTTATTTTTCTAATTTAATATTTTTCAATATTGAGAAAAGTAAATCTCACAAAATTACAAAGAAAAATAATTTCCATTAAAAAACGTTTTGAAATTTATTTATTGTTACATTTTCAAATTATTTTTCTGTACTTTTTAGACTTTTTAAATGGATTTTTGTTATTGTGAATATGCGAGCGCCATCTGTTAGATGCAACACAAACGTTTGGGACAGATTGGTTCGATTTAATGCAATCAGGGAGGGCGTCAGTATTTTCGGTCACAGACAGACCACGGCTTCGGGATACATATATATAGAAGTGGAGGCAATCAGTTTTAATTTTTCAATTTGAAATAATCAATAGTTTCAAAATATCTATATAAATTGCAATGACGTAAAACTTCACACAGGGTATTTTTTACACAAAAAATCACTCAAGGTGTGGTACCGTTCCGAGGAGATGGATGGCTGCACGTTAGACAGTCGCGAACGGTACACCTGAGAGGAGCACCAGACCATCACAGTGTATAAAATTCTGGGCGACTGTGACGGCGGGGCGATCACAGTGGCGGATTGTATACCTGATTACTCGTAGGAATTCAATGAATGAGGAAATTTTTAAACAAATACCGTTTTTCGGAAACTTTACAGTCAGCGAACTGTTAAATGATAATTTCCTTTATACGTGTGCTAGTCAAATTACCGTGTCAATTTTGCAGTACATTTTGAAAGAAATTCAACAGACTAGCGACAAAAGTATTTATTCATTTATTGGTCATGGACATGCAGATGGGGACAATTGGATTATCAATGACTATGCTAGTATTTCGTGAAATGTTGACCTTAGATGATCATTTGTACACTCAAGCAAAAGAAGTTGTTCGTTGCCTAAATGAAGAAAACAAAGAAAATGTTCAACGTATATTACTCCGTGATATGACCATCAACAACGCCGAATATTTTGTAAATTTCATTCGATCTACATTTTACGTTTCAGCTCTGAATTTTCGAATAATGGCCTTTAAACACCTTCCAAAGAAGATCCAACCATACAAACACCCTCTTATCAAAGTTCGGTTTGTCGACGTCTCTAGCCTAAAATAGTAGTGCTCTAACGTTATCAATACAAAAGAAACCGTTCGCACTTCGTTTATGGTTCGATTTAGCGATGAATGTTTCACTGTCCAAAATGTTGAATTTTTCAGTGCAACATGCTCTAAGGTGAAGTAAACACGCAATTTTTAACACCCTATGGAATTTTTTCGTTACACATTTTGCTGATTCTTAATGATCGTGTCTAAATCTATTATTTTGATTCAAATTTGGATGTGATGTAACCATTAGAATGTAGAATCACCAAAAATGAATGTTTGAATATGACCGGATTCGGAATACGACCGGACTTCTTGATTTTTCGTAAATCCAAAATGGCGGGACTGTGTGGAGTTTGGCGAAGATGACATACACACTCTGTGTGAACGAGGGTAACAGCACTTCTATGTGTATCATTCTTAAGCAGATGATTGATAACTTAGCTGTGTGTACGGCTACTAAGATGTTCGTTTGGACAAAATAAATCTAACAGCATGTTATGAACAGCAAAGAATGCTGTTGCACTCGAACACACAGCATTTGCATGCTATCTCCGCCGAACTCCGCAAAGTCTTGTCATCGACAAAACTACTCCGCAAATGAGTTGTATGGGAACTAAAAAGTATTTTTATACTTAAATATAAATTAAAAAATAATAAAAAAGTTAAAGAAGCTTGGGAGCGAGCAACCTTGTTCTTTTATATTTTCAATCGAAATGCTTCGAAAAATTCCATTTGTGTACTCGGAACAATGAAAGTTTAAACTTAAAGAAGAACGGATGCACAAATAATTGGTTGTGAATGCTCTACATAGGTTGCAAAATACGTTTCACTTCACATCAGGGAAAAAGAATCATTTCAGGTTGCTAAATTATTAATTGTATTTATTTAAATTATTGGACTATTCAGAGACTGAGCATCACACTTAAAGTAAAACTTGTCCGTACCATACAAAATAAGAGTCCAATCCTTCATTTCCATTCAGAGAGCTATCAAAATAATTTTTTCGATTTTTTGTTCAACATATTTATATTCTATTTATTTTCATTTATTTATGTATCAAAATTTAAAAAATAATGTCTTTTAGAGGCCAGGATCTCGTGTCACTATTCCATTATTAATTAAAATACATTTTTGTTCCATTCGACTACATTCACAAAAAGAGAGCGAAAAAAGTCAGTATTTATAAAAAATGTTATCTTTATTTTCTAAAAAAAATGATGTAATTTAAATATTGTTAATAAATGAAAAATATAGTTCATTGGAAACGTTAGTTTCTATGCATTTAATTGAACAAATCCATTGATAATGGAGAGTTGGTTAATTTTTTTCATGTTTTTCTTAAATTTTTTATCATATTTCACATTATTTGGCTCATCATCGCCGGTTGCTTTCAAAAATTTCTTAATAACCTTTGACTTCAGTGCATCAATGGGCAGTTTATTGTTGCTTTGATTTTTATTGAAAATGCGTAAAATATGTTTTTGCCAATCGAATGTTGATTCACCTTGTGCATCGGTGGTTGAATCGGCCAAACTAACTTCTGTGTCTGTCTTTGGTTTTTTGCTTGTCGTCACATCATTCGTGTCATTTGGATTTTTACGTTTTTTACCGGCATTCACTCCATTTGAAATGCCATTCGATTCAGATGACAGCGATTGAATTGATTGTGACAAACATTCCCACACTGCATTGCTATTGTTTTCATCCAATTCGAATTGTTTTTGCAAAAAATTGATGAATTTTTTCTTCTTCGGCGATTTGACATTCAACGGAATGTCTGTGGACTTTTGCAATTTTTTTAGCACTTTTTTTGTACTTTTTTCAATATCCGATTTAGCAAGTGCATGCAAAATTACCGATTCAATCGATACACTGCCTGTCACTTTTTCACTCTCGCTTGCACTTTCCTTTGTTTCATTTGTGGATTCGTCAATGTCTGCTACAGATGGTTCTGGTTGTGATGGTGATGTTGATGTCGCTGGTGCTGATTTCTTTTTGAATTCTTCTAAGCCATCTTCGATTATTGTCCAAATCTTCTCCGCTTGATTTGGACTATATCGCATACTGCTTTTTAAAAAATTAATAAATTTTGGTTTCTTTCGTGGCACATTCGATTGCGTGGCAATGCGTTCCAATACATTTTTTGTCGTTCGATCGAAATTTGGACGTTCGGCCAATTCTTGAATGCATTCCGTCCAAATTTCTTGCTTCTGAGCACCCTTATTCTTCTCCGGTTTTGCTACAAAACCTTTGGCCGAATACCGTTCAGCCTCAGTCAAACACTGAAAATAAATTCCGAATTTCGTTGATACATACAAAAACTTGCAAGAAATTATGTTCCTACCTTTGTATGGGCTACGTATTCTTTCTCTCTGAAGTCCTTTAAACAATCGACACATGTTAGGAAAATTGGCGCATTCCGACCTTAAAATTTTTAAAAAGTAAATATGAGTTGAAATCTTAAATACAATTGCATTTTTTACTTATTTCAAATTGAAAATAAAATGAATAAAACTTACATGATTTGAATGAGTAATGCTTTTCGACAGCAGCCTTTTTCAGCGATTCGCCACAATGGTTGCACGTAAAAAATACCATTTTTTTTGTATCAAGAAAGGAACGAGCAACGAATGAGTTGAAAAAAAAGTATGCGTCTACAATAATTTTCAATCGTCAAGTAAGTCAACCAGATAGTTTACAATATAATATAGTTAAGACACGTGCGACCACTGTCAAACGAAACCGTAAAATAGTCAACAGAGACATTAGACATAATGTGTCAGATGTGTTAAATCCCGGGGGTCGCACGATTAAATTCACATGCGATACCACTAGACAGTAGTGTTGACACCATACCAAAGCTGAAAATCTAACAAACATAAACGATTTGTCGCGATGTCATTAAATCAGTAGAACCAAAGTGTATTGTAAACGAAATTTGATAGATCGAATACAGGTCCAGCAAAAAGTAATCTCGTTTGCATAAAACAAAATAAGAGTAAAATCATAAATAAATTGACCATTAAATAGGTGACAAAATAATCATATAAATTCAAATAAAATGGCTTTAGTCTGTGCGAGTAAGTCACATTTTTCTCTTTATATTTATTTGTATTTTATTCGATTTTTTTTTCAAAAGTAAGGTTAGGTTTTGAGGTGAAAGCTTGTAATCGTTGCGGCTACATTCAATAACAAATCATAGAAATGCCTTTTTAATGCGAGCCTCATTTGCAAAAAAATGACCTATACAAAAATGAAAAAATTTAATGAATTTAATTTTTGTATTGTTTTATGTGGAATATTTCAGTTACAAATGAAGTGCCTGAACAGCCGGTCTTGTCACCAGTATCGGGCGCAATTTTCGAGCGACGCATCATTGAAAAATATTTACTGGAAAATGGATGCGATCCAATTACAGGCAAAGAACTCAAAGCTGAAGACTTGATTGAAGTTAAAGTACCGCCAATTGTGCGCCCAAAACCACCAAGTGCGACCAGTATTCCGGCCGCATTGAAAACAATGCAAGACGAATGGGACGCTTTAATGTTACACACATTTTCGCAACGCCAACAATTGCAAACCGCTCGTCAAGAATTAAGCCATGCACTATATCAACATGATGCCGCTTGTCGTGTCATTGCACGTTTGAACAAGGAGGTGGCAGCTGCACGTGAAGCATTGGCTACATTGAAACCACAAGCCGGCATTTCATCATCGGCCGCTGCTGGCGGACAACAGGCAATGGATGTTGATACAACATCATACACAACACAACCAGTCGAGCAAACTGGTATGACACCCGAAATCATTGAAAAATTACAAGAAAAAGCCACCATATTGACCGAAGAGCGTAGAAACCGTGGTCGTACATTGCCCAAAGATCTCGTTGTTCCCGAACAAATTAGAAACTTCAAAATTTTGGCATCGCATGCGGTAAGGAAACAAATCAATTGCCTAAAGTGACATGAAATAGCAAGTTATTATTTGAATTTTTTTTTTAAAATATCCTCAGGGTCTTCATTCAGCCAGTGCACCCGGCATTTTGGCACTTGATGTGTGCAGCTTCAATGACAACAAGATTTTGACTGGTGGAAATGACAAAAATGCAACCGTTTTCAATAAAGACACACAACAAATTGTTTCGGTGCTTAAAGGTCACACGAAAAAAGTTACCAAAGTCATTTATCATCCTGAAACTCGAGATGATGCAGAAACAGTCATCACCGCGTCACCAGATCAGACGATTCGTATTTGGAATGTTCCAACGTAAGTTTCATTCAAATCCCTTTTTTCTTCGATTCTTCAAATGATTGATTGAATCACATTGATCTTAACAGTTTAATTGATAAAATATTGTAAATATTGAATCTTTGTAGATCGCAAACGAAATTCCTATTAAGTTGTCATACTGGTCCGGTCACTGGTCTATCATTGCATCCAACCGGTGATTATTTGCTATCTACTTCGTCCGATAAACATTGGGCATTCTCTGATATTAAAACCGGCCGTTTGGTTACAAAGGTCATGGATATGAATGAAGTTGGTTTGACAGCAGCTCAATTCCATCCGGATGGTTTGATTTTTGGCACCGGCACCGATGATTCACAAGTCAAAATTTGGGACGTTAAAGAGCAGAGCAACGTTGCCAATTTCCCTGGTCATACTGGACCAATTTCGGCAATTTCATTCTCCGAAAATGGTTACTATTTGGCCACAGCCGCCGATGATGCTTGCGTTAAACTTTGGGATTTGCGTAAATTGAAAAACATTCGCACCATTCAATTGGATGATGGTTATGAAGTAAAAGATTTATGCTTCGATCACAGTGGTACTTATTTGGCTATCGCTGGCACAGACGTTAGGTATGATGTTACAGCTAAGCTGAATTTTGGTTTTCCTTTTGTTTTTATCATATTTCTAAAACATGCAATTTTCGCTTAATTTCAGAATTTACTTGTGCAAACAATGGCAAGAATTATGTGTTTTTAATGATCACACATCGTCGGCAACTGGCGTTCGATTTGGTGCGAATGCAGATTATTTGGCATCCACAAGTATGGATCGTACTGTTAAATTTTATGGTTTAGACAAAAAGTAATTTTTAAGTCAGTTCACAACACAACAAACACACACACACAAAATAAAAACGATGAAAAAATAAATATGATTTTAGATTTTAAAACTCTCAAAATACAAGAATACAATTGTGTTCTATTGCATACGTATATATGTTTCATTTAAGCGAAATAACGACCGATTTTATATTTGAAAATTCAATAAATCAACTACAAATATACACACCAAATGCAAAAAAAAATGAAAAAAAAAATATTCCAACATTTCCCGTTCGACAACAACATCTTGCAACCCTCTTTTAATTCATGTGAATGTTTATTATTGGTCATTTAATAAATAAAGACAACAAAAAAAAATTAAATAATGTAATTCCGAATGCGTTTTATTAAATTTGTTGAATGTATTTTACAATTTTTTAAATTAATCACTTTGGAAGTTTTCACGTGAATTGAATGGGTCAGAATAAAAATACACTTTTATAGACTCTGCGTACAAGGCGGATTTTTATTCGTGCCCCTTCAATTGAAATCGTAACAAAACAGGATAAAGTTTATAATTCTTGCCAACTTGAACATTGTTTAAATTTGCTTTTATGCGGTTACTACTTTTACGAGCGTTTCCTTTATCAAAGTGATTTGACTTTGTAAGCCACAAAAAAGTCAACCTCTATTTATATCATGCCTTTTAGGGCTCAATTTCAATGAAAACAATTAGTATGTGCAGTATGATGAAACATATTAGAGACGATGACATAGTAGGTCTTGATAAATTCATTTAAATTCCAAAGAATTCTTTACTCGTCGTATTCGGTAATCGATACAAAGCAATTGAGAATCGTTTTGATGGCATTCCGTTGTTCATTTGTGAGACTGGTATTTGTTGACAGTTTTTTCAAGTATAAATTCGCTTCAAGCAGCGATGCAGCTTTTTCCGGAACCATTCGATTTATGACACGAATCCAATTTTGTTTATTTGAATCAAATTGTTGTAATAAAATACATTCCAAATCAACAAGATCGTCAATGGTGGCCAATTTGATTAAATTTGATATTGTAATGCAGAGCTGTTGAAAAGAGCAATATTGAATATGAAAATGTGTAATTGTTTGGAAAATGAAAAATGAAAAAAACAAACCTGATCAAGTAGATTATCACGATGATTGTATTCATTGAAATCGGTTAATTGGTTTGCCTGATAGAGTGCCACTGATAAGGCACTGCATACACTCAAATAGAATCGGCCGTAATGAGCTCGTTTGGATGGAATGGCAAGTGCAGCCGCACCATTTATGCGAACTTTGAAATTCACACATTTCATAATGATGTCAGATAATGTTTGAAATATCAACTCCTAAAATTCAAACACAAACAAAAACAAACAAAAAAATGACAATGTCAGACTTTTGTGAAAATAACAAGTTCCATTAATGAATTTTACCTGCCAGCAAAATTGATTACTTTGCAAATCGAACATAACAGAATTTCTCATGAAATTGCCGATCGCATAGCATGCATTCCATTTAACTTTCATATTTGAATTGGTTCCGTTTAATTTGGCCTGATCGCATAATTTCTTGATGGCATCCATACAAACTGTTTGCCATTTCTCCATTGCAATCTGTTTCGATTTGATTAAACGCAATAGATTGCCCAGTATTCGAGCGGCATTTGTTCGTACTTTATCATTGTCATTGCAAACTGGTGCGGTATTCTCAAATAGACGCCACAATAAATGCTCGGAAATTGGATCAGTGCTCGGATCCGATCTATTTTGTCAAAAAAAAGAAGAAGAAAAATGGCATTAAGAAAATAAAGAAGCTATGGCTGTAAGGAAAGTTTTCATTTGTGATAATTACATGTTCACGACTAACACATCAGTTATATTGGCAAGTGCCCATGATGCCTTTATTCGTGCCGGTAGACTGTCGTCTTGCATTAGATTGATAATGGCTTCGGCTGTGTTTTGGATATAGCAAATGTCTGAAATATGTTACCAAAAGGTGTTGGTTATTAATATGAATCATGAGACATCATTGTTTATTTTTCATCATTCTTTTTTTTAATTTACCTTCTTTTAATGATGGAAACAATACGAAAATGGCAAGCGCCCGTACAGCCGATGCACGCACAATTGCTTCTTCATCGCTCAACGATATACCAGACAATAATGAGATTATATGCATTTGTTTTGGCCTCTGGAAAAATAACATATCCATTACAACATATGTTGTCAAAGTTTAAAAAAAATATGCGCTCATAAAATGGAATATACCTCCAATCGTTCATACACATGAACACCAATATCAGAATATGCATTACAGAAAATCGATTTGGTTGTCGAATTTTGCGTTCGATCTTGTAGTTGTTCGGTTAAAATTGGTAATATTTTCGACCAAAATTCTAGAGCCATTTCGACATCATGTTCAAATTCAACATGTTTCTTATTATTTTGCGATAACAGATGCGCACTTATCGAATGCACCACAACATCTATACATCTAGCGGCCCGAATTTGAACCGTTGAAATGTCATCTTGTAATGTAGTTTCAAGGGCTTCAGCAATTAATAACAAATGTGGCTTGATCCATATATAATGCGGCGCCATCATTAGAATAATTTGTAAACTTTGATGACGCACCTGCACCGATGTTGCTGAATGATTCGGTTTCTAATGAATAAAATACATTTTTTTTGTTCAAATCAATGAAATCCATGAAATGAAAAAAATCGAATCCGACTTACAATATAGGAACTGACGGTAACACCTAAATTTTCCAGCGCAATTTGAAGTAACCATGAAATTTTGGTGGCCGGCTCAATTTTATGAACTTCATCAATTTCATCATCGTCTTCATATTCCGATTCGACTAGATTTTCATCGGCATCAATTCTGTAAAGTCAATGTTTCAAAGAAAATGAGCCCATCATCGATTTGCCTTGTTGAAGTCAAAATAATTCGGTAAATAAATCGGAAAAGATCTAACTTACACTTCATCTTCACCAAAATCATGTACGCGACAATCGCTTTTCGCGTCTAAACGTGACACACCAACACAGTCCGATATTTCGTTGGTAATTTCGGGTCGTGCAATTAAAAATTCCATGACAATAAGCGATGCCACTTTAATCGTTGGATCTTTGTGATGAACCAAACGCCGTATGAGCGCAATGAATTTTCGAATGAGGCCGGATGGTTTTTGTAATTTTTGAAATGAAGTGGCCTGCACTAGCGTTGCCAAACATCTTAGGATTTGTATTAAAACGGGTAACGAACTTTCGTTGCAAAGGGCTTGTGTTAAAGTAATGTAAAGAACACGAATTCGATTTCCCAACGAGATTGAAAATGGCATGAAATTGGTTGGTGGTGTGTCGGTTGTTTCGGCTTGAACGAGAAACGGTTTGGTGCCATACAAAATGATTGACGTTGCTTGCAGAGCGGTAATACGACAACGTTGATTCGAATCGCGAAGTACGCAATTCAGCAATGCCAGCGTACAAGGTGTTAATGCTTCGGTTGGGAATAAACAATGCCAATAGCCAAAAAATATCTTTCTTTCAACATTCTGAAAAAGAAATGCGCATTAAGCTACCCTTTGTTCCACAAAATAAAATTACACTTACTTTTGCGACGATAGCAATCAATGAAATGGCGGCCAATCGAAGTTTTGCCTCTTTTTCTCGATTACTGTTGCCGGTTCGTGTTGTCTCTGGATCAGATGCATCCGAATCGCTGGTGGTGAAATTGCCAATTTCAAATTTTTCACTTGGATTATCGAACAGATTGGAATGTGCGTATGAATCGTTTAATTCATCATTGGTCATTTCGCCAGTCTTGCCATTTGCTTCATTTGATTTGACCGACTTGCGATTTTTATACTGTGGTGTTTGTCGTGGTTTGCGACTCTTAATCAATTTTCCGCCTTTTTTCGCATTCGCTGCAACATTATGAGTGTCTTGTATGGTTTGTTGTGATGATTGTATTCGTTGTGGCGGTTGATAGGTAAAATCTGGTAAACCAAATTGCATATTCGATACACAAGCACCCAAAATATCGCCAATATATTCGGTGCACCATTCACGATTTGAAAATCCAATGAATCGACACGAACTTAATGTGGCCCGCATTAAATTGCAGTAGATTCGTTCGGAAATGTCGGCCAAACGAACCGAATAAATTAAATGTAATAGGGCTTTTGTAATGGTTGATTCAAGATGCTCTGACATTTCCGGCAATTTATCATAAAATGATAAAATTGTTTCAAGACAAAATACGGCCGATGACTGAATTTCAATCACTGAGTAGCCATCATAGTGGCATGATGTTGATTTCGTAATTGCTTCTTCGGGATCCACAATTAAATTGATCAATAACTTCGTTGACTCGACTAGTTCATTTGATTCGTCGCCAATTGATATGCTGTCATTTTTAAAGTGATTTTTAATAAGTGACTGCATCAATCGCAATGCATCACAAATACCAACGAATTTATGATGTTTTATAAAATCAATCGCATAACAAAGTGCATTTCGAAATACATTTATTGAAATATTCGTTGGATTTTTATCCAATAATTGCACAATTAATCGACCACATTTTATAATAATTGTATCTTCAACCAATGGCAGGCTTATTAACACTCGTACAATATCTTCTGTACGCTGAAATTATGAATGAAAGAACAAAAAATGAAAATTTTCTTTGATTTGATCGAACAGATGTTGTGACTTACCTTAAATATGTCTAATGCTTGCACATATTTAAATTCCACCGAATTTAAATCATTCAAAATGGAATTTAATTTATCACGATGTCGACTCAGATCGGACGATGCATTTTCACAAATGTTTATTAAATTATCAATTGATCGTAATAAAATATCACTAGAAATTTGCGGCTGCAAAGGATTCATATTTGTTGGAATTCACACAGCCAAACACAAAAAAAAACGATTGTTGATTCATTCATTCATTTTTGACATAACATGCGATATATTTTGACATTTCGTTCATGCAGTCAATGAATGACGTCATTTGAACGCGTGAGAGTGAAAAGACCGTTGCTTATGAAAATATGATATTCTCTTTTCAAATCTCTGTTTCTACTTTTCAAAAAATAAAAAAAAATGCGAAAAAATTGCACAATTTTTATTCTTGAAAATGATTTTTAGTTTTTTCGTGCGATTTCACCGAAGTCCAATGATAATGATCAATATAAACTATTTAATGATGTTTTAATTGAATGTGAAATGGAAAATATAGAGATAGAAAATGCAGTAAATTTTTTTGCTTCACAATTGTACCTGTAAAATACCTTTTATTAATAGCATACCGTCTAAAACGACATAATGCCAATGTCTTGGATTGGCCATAACGGATAATAAATAGATTTTTGTTATTGTTGGTTGTTATGACTGAAAAATAAAATGCGTGCACTTGAAAATGCATTAACAAATTAGAAATATTTTCTACCTAAATATTGTTTTTATTTTTAGCCGAATCTGCCGAAAATGTTCGACCGAAAATATTTACTCAATCATTAATGCATTTTGAACGAACTAATGATCTGATAATCATTTTGCTAGATATTTTAGTAGGGATTTCATTTCAAAAGATGGTTTTTTGATGTATATAAATACGGAAATGTGCAAATAAGAAATCATTCATTCAAGTGCATTCGTTCCACGTGCCATTGAATTCAGTTCAGCTCTTCGTTGTGATTTAAAACAGTGTTATCAAAGAAAATTCTGAAAAAATGCGTTTCCCATTGAAAGTTGTTTTATCGGCTGTTTTGGCCAAAAATATCGTTGCCGAATTAGTCCCTTCATCGGCACAACAAAAATTTTCAAACGAAGTGGATTTCAAATATCCACAAGATTTTCAGAAACAACAACTCGAACGACAACAAGCTTTCGAACAACAACAAGCTTACCAAGAACAAGACTTTCAACAGCAACAACAAAATTTTGATCAACAACAAGCTTACCAGCAACAACAAGATTTCGACCAACAAGAAGAAGGCTTCGAGCAACAACCAGAACAAGATCCAACATTGGGTCAACAAGTAAGTGTGCTTCTGAAATTAACTTGAATGCTTTCAATTTCACAGAAAACTTCATTTTGTTTATAAATATTGTGTCTAAAAAAAAAATTAAGCGAGCGCCAAATATGGATAAATTTCATTGACTATAAAGTGGCTGCTGCAAAATTTCCTTCGATAAAGTCTATTTTTCATGTATAGTTCAACTAACATTCGATTCAATTTTAGGAATTTCAACAACGTTCATACGATCCAGTAAGTGTCCCAGACTACGTTCAAAATATGGCAAAAAATGCTGGACAAGATTTAATTAATAATCAATCAGCCGAAGATGTGTCATTTGATCCATACAGTGGTCAATCAAGCCAGTATGAAGCTGCATATGGTCCATCTGCTTACAATCAAGGTGGTTTTTACCTTCCAAATGCTTTTAATTCACCTGGTTCATACAATATACAAACTGGTTATCATGGATATTTGGTGCCATTTCCACCAAAAGAACCAGTTGATGAGCCAAAAGCTACTCCGTTCAGTTCATTTACGTCACTTTCGCGCAGCGTACCGGACATGATGCGTCAGGCGGGCACAACTTTGGCTAGAGCAATTAGTTATCTATTCAGTTGGTTCGGTTTCACCGTATTCGGTGGTGCTGCTACGACAGCCATTTGCACCTTTACACCATTGTGTTCAATTACATTCCCGCTAGTCAAAAGTGTTGGATATGGGGCAATCAAAAGTCTTGGATTGGAAGACGCAATGACAGATTCATGGGTAAATTTGATGAAAGGTACCATAAAATATACCGGAATCGAGAAAAAATTGTTGAAATCAATGTCAACAGAAGAAAAATCAACAGTCGATCAAAGTGGCAAGTCAGCACCCGAACCAAGCACTAAATCAATGCTCGATAAAAATGATAAACCAAAACAATTTGAAAAAACTAAATTAAAAGAAGTAGAAACTGTTAAAGCAGATAGTGTTTCAGATACTACTAGAATTGCTGATACGGAAACCACGAATAATGCTACCGATGACAAAAAGTTCGAACCATCACCATCGCAGAAAAGTGACGAGAAATCCGTCACCAAGTAAACTATTACATCGTGAACATACAAGCAGCTACTCTTCACAACATTTTTAATATTCTTAAGTTTCCTTTTTTTTTTTAAATTAAATTCGTATTTCATATCTATTTATTTACCATAACATAATTATCATTTGATTTTGATTTCTTTTTTACATATTTATTTATTTATTTCTTCTTCTATGATACCACAAAATGTCCAACATTGGATTTTTTCCCTTACAAAAATTGAAATAAAGATTCTAAACCAATAATTTCCCTTTTTTTAAACTTTTTCTTTCGCTAAGTCCATGCTCGCTGCAGAATTTTTCATTAATTTTCTCATTTCTCTTAATTGTTTTAACTCTTCGCGATGAGATCGCTTTTGATGTGTAAGTCGAGATGTTCGTAGTGTAAATATTTTCGTACAAAATTGACAAGGATATACATTATGTCTGGTGTGTCCTTCTTCATGTTTCTGAAAACAAAAGCAATACAAACTTTGTGAACGACAAAGTCCATTTTATGGAATTTTGTAAAGATGACTCTTACTTTCAATTCGGAGCCGACTGGAAATGATTTATCACAATAGCTGCATTTATGATTTCGTTCACGATGATATTTTCGAATGTGCGATAAAAGGGCAATTTTATTGGGAAGTTCCATGTGACATTGTTCACATTTTTGGATGCCACTCGTATGAATTTGTTCATGATAATAAATGCCACTTTTTGTCATCAGCCATTCACCACAGTGTTCACATTGTTTTCGTTGTGCCAATCGTTCTGTTTTGTCGCTATGAGATAGCATGTGCTTATCAAAATTTGCCTTTACACTGAATGATTTTCCACAAATTTCACACGTTGATATTGCTTTCTTCTCACGGTGCACCGAATAAAAGTGATTTTTTAGCAATGCCGCCAATTGAAATCTATTGGAGAAATATCGATAAAACATAAAAAAGGATATAGTATCAAAGTCCAGAAATGCTGAAGATGGGCTCGACTCATGAGCAAACGATATATGAATGATAATCATCGAATATTTCTCAGAATTTATGTCCATTCTTATTTATAGTCTTTGGAAACTCTAAATTTATGCAAATTAAATATACCGTTTATGGCAAATTTCACATTCAAATTTGGGCTCCGTATTTGTGTGTGTTGTGAATAAGTGTCGTGTTATCGTCTCTTTATCGCGGAATGTTTTGCCACAAATATCGCAAGTAAATGGCCGTTCAATGACTCGCCGATGTCTACCTAGGATAAATCACATAGAAAATTACGAAAATAATGTTTATTTCAAATGCTTGAAATGGAAGTCTGATATCTACCTTTGTGTTGTTTTAATCGCATACCACTCGAGAAAGATTTATTGCAAAAATCACATCTTCCAATTGCAACAATGAAAACAATTAAAACAAGGTTAACAACGAAATCTTTTTTAAAATGATAATACGTGATGAATTGAAAGAAGAAGAAAAAATTTACTTGAAATTAGATGGATTCAAGTGGGAGAGTATATGATCCGTTACAATCCACAACTCTCTTAATTTAATATTACAGCATTTGATGTATCCTTTTTTTTCGTTGTGAAACTCTTTATAATGACGGCGTGCATCGTGAAATGTAATGAAAATCGTTTCACAAAGATCGCATGACATGTCAAAATTTTCGGCAATAAATTTTTTATGTTGATCGTCTTCAGTTTTCTTCTTGCTTTCGGTATGCCAATGTAAATGTCGCTTTATTCCAACTTTCGAAGCGAATTTCTTTTTACAAATATCACAAATAAACCACTCTTTTTCGGTTCGTAGAGTATGATGCGATTTTATATGGCCTTTGAGTCCATGCGGTGCGGTATACACTTTTCCACATTCGTTACATCTAAATAAATCAATACCCGATTATTTATCAGAGAGAAAAAAAACTGGTCGCATTTTGTCGAACTCACTTGTACTTATTTGGATTGAGATGCCTTTGTATATGTTTTATAACTTCACAGCGGAACCATAGTTTATTATTACAGCATTTGATGTATCCTCTAGGATTACCATGTGCGTAATTATAATGATTTCGGGCATCGCTTAATGTATCGAAAACATGTGAGCATAAATCACATGTCATATCAAATCGATGCTTATGTTCATAGAATAAATTTTTGAATTCAATTCGTCGATTCTTTGCTCTCATGCGTCGACTTATTGGTTTATTTGCTTGTTCCGTGTCTACAGAAAAGTGTGACAAAAAAAAAAGAGTTTCGTTGTTTATGTTTTGAAACGTACTTCATTTTGATACGTACCTGAAGATGTTTCAATACAATTCGATTGACCATCTCTAGTGTCATTCGTCGCAACGTCTCGATCACTTAATTCGTGCACTTCTTCAAAATCGTTTCGAGGATCAAGTACGTCGGCATATTCTTTGGATTATGAAAAAAGGAAAGACATTTTGTTACAAAAGAACTCATAAGATCGAAACCTAATGTAGGAACTCTTCATTTCATGAAGATACCGAATGATACCTAGATTCGATTCCGATTTGATTTCATTAACATCAATTGGAAGATCATCTTCAAAGTCACGTCCCAAATTTTCATGCCACATCCCAATCGTGTCAACTTCAACTTTAATCATTGGATTAAGAAATTTTTCCTGCACGGCTTTTGACTTTTGGTACAGTTCATGGAAGGATTCCGTTGTCTGCCAGCATAGATTACATACAAAATTCGGTAAAGAATCTGCTTCGCTTACTTCGCATTTAAAATGCTCGCCAATAATTTCGCTCATTTTCAGCTGAATGCCGACATCACTGAATATATTCATGTGACGGTCAGTGTCAGTTGAAAAGCACAAACGACACGGATAACTGTCTGACATTCTGAATTTTTTCTCGTCAATTCGTAAGGCGATAATAGTTTTTTCTTTCTTTTATTTTGATTACTAAACAACAAAAAATAACTATTCATTTAAAGATGTCTCACAAAAAACATGCAAAAAATGTTTTTTTTTTATTTTTGTTTGTATTTGACAATAGTTTAAGTGTCATTGCTCTAACATGGTGTTACCCGATGCGCATCGATTATTTTCATTCACTTGGATAGAATTGACGACAAAATATTCATTTTAAAATGGACTTTTGTTTCATTCATAAAAAATGGAATGTTTACGACCAAGTTAATAAAAAAAATGTTCAAATGAAGATTGTTTTTGATTTTTAATCACTTTCAATTTATAAATTTACTTAATTTTAATCTAGAATTATTTTTGTTCTTTAGTGAGAATCCATGCCCAATTTTTCAATTTTTTCCATTTCTTTAATCTGTTTCCATTCTTCGGCATGATTTCGCTTTGTGTGTGTTTGTCTGGAAGAAATAACGGAAAATACTTTGGAGCAAAATCGACATGGATACGTATTATGCCGTGTATGACTTTCTTCGTGTTTCTAAAGAAAAACCAAACAAACATTTTAAATATTAAATTTCATATGGAAAATCCATTCAATGAAAATCATTCAATGGGGGGAAAATATTGAAAAATAGAAAAATCACCTTCAATGCTGAGCCGATGGCGAATGTCTTATTACAGTATCCACACTTGAATTTGTGTTCTCGATGATATTGTCGAATGTGTCCGAGCAATGCAACTCGATTGGAAAATTCCATTTGACATTGATCACATTTTTGAATGCCGCTCGTGTGTTTTTGATGATGATAGAAAATGCCACTTTTGGTCAAAAGCCATTCACCACAATATTCACACTGTTTTCGTTCAATCAATCGTTCCGATTTATCTGTATGCTTATTCAGCATATGTTTATCGAGATGGAATTTTACGTGAAAAGCCTTGCCACATATATCACACACGAAAATAACTTTTTTCTCACGATGAACCGAATAAAAGTGATTTTTCAGCAATTGAGGCAATCGAAATCTAAAATTAAATCGAATAAAAATCATGTTTTCCATTAAACATTTTAAAATTATGCATAATGCAGCTTACTTCTTATGGCAAATATTGCATTCATGTGTTGGTTCGACGTCAACATGGTTCGTAAACATGTGACGTAACATGGCATCTTTATCTCGTACACATTTTCCGCAATAATCGCATACAAAATTCTTGTTCAAAGTCAATCTATGGCGACGCTTATGTTGCACCAATATCACACGTGTCGTGAACGTTTTGTCACATTGATCACAACTATAAGAAAAATTCAAGCAAACATTGATTTTATGCGACCCCTTTTGGCTGAAGAAGTTGTAGACAAATAAAAAAGAAACAGTTTCATTACCTAAAAGATGTTGGATCCAAGTGTGATCTGAAACAGACCAGAGATTTCAAATATTTAGTTAAAGAAAAAATTGAATGGAACAGATTTGTAGGCACACACACTTGATATGATCAGATACAATCCACAATTCTCTTAATTTCACATTACAGCACTTGAGGTAGCCTTTTTCCTCGTTATGAAACATTTTATAATGACGACGGGCATCATGGAATCCAGTGAATATTGTATCACAATGATCACATTTCATGTCAAAATTTTCGTCAATAAATTTCGCATGATTTACATCCATTTCAGGTCGTTCTTTGTGTTTTTTCATATGATTTGCCAGCCCAGTTGGTGTTGTAAACGATTTCAAACAAATATTACATGATAAAGTTTTTTCTCTGGGGCTCACTGCTTCCTTGTGTCTGGCAATATGTTTAGCCAGTTGACGATCGCACAAAAGTACTTTATCGCATTGTGAACATTTGTATTTGTTCGGGTCTAAAAAAAAATGCCAAATTATTTTTTTGGTCTGAAATTATTTGATACAATCGTATTATTACCCAAATGACGTTGAAAATGTTTCAACACCGTTGATGGATACACAAGTCGTTGATTACAACATTTTATGTAGCCGTATTGTCTTTTATGCACCTTAACGTAATGATTTTTAGCCTCGTACAATGTTTTGAATATAGTTGGACATAAATCACATGACATATCGAACAAATGCTTATTTTCGGCAAACAGTTTTTCAAATTTTCCTTTGACTACTTTTGTTTTCTCCTTTTTTCGTGTTGGCTTATCTTTGGCTAAGTAAATAATTAAGTCGTTCAAGTTTTAAAATCCAAATAAAATATACATGCTTAGCATAGATACTAACGTTTAACTGTTTTTTGTCGTTTCCGTGATTTTTCCTTCGTTGGTTCTTTTATGTCTTCAAAACTGGGTTCAACATTGTCATCTTCGCTGCTACTCTCATCGCTGCTATTCTCATCCGAATCGGTATTTTCATCAAAATCCATAACTGGATCATTGGCATTCGAATCCGATTCATCGTTCGCATTCGTTGTCAAATCATGTATATCGTGTTCTAATTCTGAAGAAAAATGTATGAGACTTCGCTTGAGATTTTATTGAATTTTATTGAAATTTAATTCCGCCATACGAAAAGTGTTGACTCGTAGGCGGTGTTATATTTCAATGAAATTCGAGTAGAAGTCTAACACTCATTCTCAACTTACCTGAATTCGGTTCGACTTTAATTGGCTCAATGTCTATGTTTGGCTCTTCCATATACTGAATTACCTTGGTGCTTGCCCATAGTTCGACGAAATCTGCTTCAATTTTAATCGGTGGATTCGTTAATAACTTTTCATGCACAACTTTTGACTTTTGATATAATTCATGAAACGCTTCCGTTATCCGCCAACACATTTCGCACACGAAATTCGGCAATGAATCACTGGAACGAATCTTTTCGTTTTTTGAAAAAAGATTTATAATTTATGTAGTACATCGGATATGGTATATTATGATTCTTGAATTTATTTACCTCGCACTTGAAATGTTCGGCAATTATTTCGCTTATGTTTTTCTCAATTCCAGTGACACCAAATATATCCAAGTGATTGCCATTGTTCTCGGCTAAACATAAACGACATGAACTAAGCGTCGACATTATGCGTTTTATTTAGCTTTTCGATAATAATCGAGTTTAAAAATTTATTGTGAATAAAAGTAATAGGAATTCATTTCAAGTCAATCACAAAGCATAGCAACAATATTGAGAATTTGCTTAGTTGTGACAGTATAAATGTCATTTTTCTGCTTGGAGGGTTGTCAGATGTGTTTTTTTCGTTTATTTTTCGTTCAATTTTACAGAAACGATACAAGAACATTTACTAACTTAACATATATAATCAATTGAAAAGAAAATCCATTGTTTTATTTCAATACTTTTTGTTTTATTGCTTCTGGGTGATTTCTTCGTGTGTGCGTTTGTCTGGAACTTTGAATCTGAAACGTTTTCGGACAAAATTTGCATTGATAAATTTTATGCCGTGTATGAGACTCTTCGTGTGTCTGTAATAAATGAATGAAATCAAAGATAAATTGTCCATCAAAATGTCTAGATTTTTCCCAACTAACCTTCATTTTTGAAGCATTTGCAAACGATTTTCCGCAATAGCTACATTTAAATTTGTGTTCACGATGATGTTGTCGAATATGACCGAGTAGAACAATTCGATTTGGAAATTCCATTTGACAGTGATTACATTTTTGGATACCAGTCGTGTGTTTTTGATGATGATAAAAGACGTTACTTTTGCTCAGAAGCCAATCACCACAATATTCACATTGTTTTCGTTCAATTAGTCGTTCTGATTTATCTGTATGTTTATGTAGCATATGTTTATCTAAATGGAATTTCACATAAAAGTCTTTTCCGCAAATTTCACAACAAAAATTCGGTTTTCTCTCTCGGTGCACCGAATATTTATGATATTTCAACATTGAGGCCAGATGATATCTAAATAGCGTTTTATGAAAGATTCACATGAAAATTGAATTAAATAATTGAAGAAAAAAAATACGTACTTTTTGGGACAAACATCGCACTCATATTCTGGCTCTGAAGTAACATGATTCGAAAATAAATGTCGTGTAATCGCATGTTTATCGATACAACTTTTTCCACAGAAATGACATATGTACCTGAAATGTTGATGGAACAAACATTTTCAATCAATCCAAGAGTCAAATTTAAAAATAATATGCGAAAATTCACCTTTTTTCTATAGACATCCTATGACGGCGCTTGTGTCGGGTCAACCGTACTCCAGTTTGAAATGTTTTACCACATGTATCACATCTGAAAAAATACATTCATTTAAGAGACTTAAGACATTATGATTTGGATTGAGTTTTTCTCACTTCAGACAGTCCGGATCCAAGTGTGATAGCACGTGCTCCCGAACCCGGCATAATTCCCTTAATTTTATATTACAGCATTTAATATAGCCTTTGTCGTCGTTATGTAATTCCTTGTAATGACGACGTGCATCATAAAATCCATTAAATACTGTCTCGCAATGATCACATTTCATGTCGAAATTTTCCGCTATGAATTTCACCATTTGGCTGTCTTCAGCTTCATTTCGTTCTGTGTGTCCTTTCATATGATGTTTTAGGCCAACCTCTGAGGTGAACAATTTCTTACAAATGCTACACGATATTGTTTTCTCATTGGGCATCGTGTGATTTCTCATATGTTTTGCGAATTGAGTTTCAGATAAAATTACTTTGCCGCATTGTGAACATCTGAAATATTCGAAAAAAAGTTGAACATTTACGAAATTACTATTTTCCATATATACGAAAAACACTAACTTATACTTCTCAGGTTCAACGTGACGTTCTAAATGTTTCACCACATGACATTGATAGATAAGCCGTTGGCCACAACATTTTATATATCCGCGTGAATTCTTATGCTCTTTTGCATAATGTTCTTGAGCTTCGAAAAGTGTTTCAAATATAGTTGGACATAAATCGCATGACATATCCAACAATTGCTTATGTTCGGCAAACAATTTCTCAAACTTGGCTTGGACTTCCTTCTTTCGAGCTCTTTTTCGCTTTGGCTTATCGGTAGCTTAAAATCAATTTAATTTTGTCATTTTTTCAAGCATACATCTTCAAATGCGTGATTTTAACTAGTGATTGGAAATTTGCTGGATATATCCGCTAAGCTAATTTCAATTACTTACTATCAGTTGGTTTTTTCTTCGTTTGATGTTTGATATCTTCAAAACCAGATGCCTCGACTTCACTATCTTCGCTACTAATCTTCTCACTGCTATTCTCATCATTAGTATTTTCATCAAAAATTGGATCATTGCCATTTGAATCGGATTCATCATTCGGGTTTGTCGTCAAATCATTTGCATTGTGTTCTATTTCTGGGGAATAGGTCATTTTCCAATAATATTGTAAGCAAATTTTCGGTAAAATATTTATTATATTCACCCGAATTCGCCTCGACTTTTACAGGCCAAAATGCCAGTTGTTCTTCCATATAATCATCGTCTTTATGACCTGAACATGGCTCATGGATATCGGGTTCGAGTTTAATCGGTCGATTGAATAGATTTTCTTGTGCTTTTTTTGACCTTTGATACAATTCATGAAATGTTTCCGTTATCTGCCAACACGATTGACACACAAAATTCGGTAGCGAATCTAACACGTTGACCTGATTTTAAGAGAAATAACCATTTATGATTCATGTCCATCAATCTTGGTTGGTTATTGAAAATTATCAAAATGAAATAAGAAACATTTGGTATGTGAGTATGATTCGTGGATTTTGTTTACCTCGCATTTGAAATGTTCGGCAATAATATCGCACATTTTCATTTCCATTCCATTGACACTGAATAAATCCAGGTGATTGCCATTGTTTATGCTCAAACACAACCGACACGAATTGGTAATCGACATTCTGAACTTTTTTTAGCTCATTGAAACGAATCGAATTTATTTTCTATTTTGGATACAATCCGTAAAAATACAATTGAAACCAACTACAAGCAATATTGTTGATAATTTGCTTCGTTTTGACAGCATAAATGTCATTCGCCTTCTCGAAGGGTTGTCAGATGTATTTGTTTATTTTTTTCGTTAAATTATGTTCGAGTAATATTAACGAGTTTTGGAGCAAAGAAACATGAAACTTTTATAATTTTAAATTATAACTACTATTTTTCCTCCAAGAAGTCTGATACAAATCAATTGAAACAATTGGACATTTTCACGTGGTCTGAACAACATATGTATTTTTAATTGTTTTAAATCCTGACCCTAGGAACCCTCGTCATCATCTATTGGCAAGCATCGTACGATGTTAAATAATTGATAATGTGACCTTTCGGATCTCATTTTATGTCTTTTGTACGAGAAAACGTGACGATATCCAGCATGGACGGTGAAGGCCAAATATGGAAACAACCTATTTATTACACGCGTGGATGTGTTCAAAAGCAATTTTTGAATTGGTTGATAGCATCTTCTGTTCGAATGATTGAAAATTCAAAATTTTCTTGATATTTAGTATTTTACTAAATCCGATTGAAATACTTTTCCAGGATACTTACTAAGATCGCCTTCGAATTACTGAAAGAATAAGTCTCCTTTTTAACATTAACTTCTATACTAGTAATGGTCGTTGAGAAAAATGAACAAGCTATTTCTGTGAGCAAAAGTTGCAAATTTATTTGATAAAAGCCGTAGCAAAAGTAACAGAGTGAGATATAAGTGCATAAATATAACAAAAAGTATTTGGTTGTTATCAAATGAACCTCTCATCACAATAAAATCAATAATGTGTTGAACATTTAAGCGATGTCATACTCGTCTGAAAAACATATAATGAGACGGTTGAGTACCTCAACTTGAGGCAAACGTCAGATAAAAGTGACTTCTTTTTGGTTTAAAGTCAACCAATGCCATTTTTGATAACCTACATGAATTGTACCTACCTTTATATTATTCTTGTAAGCGTTTTGAATATTAATTCTCACGAAGTAACATAAAAATGGAATATCCTGTGTTTGCCACATGAAATTATCAAAATGAGAGCCCTATTTTTAGGGTTGTTATTCAGTTCATAATTTGATGAATATCGACTGAACTATGCTAAAATGTTTCTGAATATAAAACCGAAAAAATGATTGCAGATGAAATGGAACTGACTCCACAAATAAACTCAATTATAGAGAACACAAAACCGAACGATCGAAAAAACGTGTATGTTGAAAGCAAAAGTACTGCTCCACAATCGATTTGCTCGAACCAAAGCTGATTTTCGATTCGTACTATTGTATTAAAAATCAAACTGTAGTCAAAATACCCTGTTCCTTCGATCGATCACACATTGAAGCAACAAAAGTAAAAAGTTTTTTGAGAGAAAGAATGTCGACAAACAATTCTTTAAGTTAATCTCATCGACGACGAGTCGTCGTATTATTTGAATCATTGTTTCAACCAAATATCATATTTATGGGCGTCAAAATAAAACATATATACTTTCAGTTCTAAAATGCGACAAAAAAAATCTTAACTTATCCGAATTTGTATGCTGTTTTGGTTCTGAGGACCATATGTGCTCTTTTTACTCTAAAAAAATCTTATGCTATTTTTCCGAAAAGAAATTTTATAACTTCTTTGGGTCTCAGGCTCTCATTTGAAGTTAAATCTTAAAAATAACATTATCAAACGTAAGAAAACCCACCAATTCAAACTGAACTATTAAAAGAGTGCTGCAAATTGTTGCACTGCTCCACAAAAAGTAGATCAAGAAAATGAACTCATAAGCATCCAAATACTTGAAGGCACATCTTAAAATAAATGTTAACCCCTTACTAAATTATAACAGTTTGTGATAGTGGTGTCAAATAAGAAAATAATAGTGGATATATATACTCAACTCTTTCACATTCACATGAAATTTAACGAATTCTGGGAGTTTGTAATTAAGTTCTGCCTGATTCCTTTTGTCTTTCCCAATTGCATTTATAGTATTCAGTTCTTGTTTGAGATCTTTTACGGAAGCAAGTATCAAACAGCATGAAGTGGTCGCATAAATTATGATACCTGCAGTAGTGAGTAAAACGCAATAGACACACATAAAATCTACTGTAAAAACTGCCAAATAGTTTATGGGATCATTCCAGTCGAATGGAAACCCATTTATTTGGAACCATCCGAATATAGAAGGAAATAAAAAATGTTAGCATTCAATTGTTTACTAGATGAAATTTATTTTCTTACAACTTACCAAAAGAGAAACGGTTAACGAAATGCTTCATTTCCCATATCGGTTGCAAAATAGAGATAGTAGCATAAGACGAGAGACGAGATAGTAATGACAAAAAGTGACGATTTCATCATTAAAAACTCAATAAATTTTGTCCATTTTTCGGCCCTTTCATTTGTCTCCTCGTAAATTGCCTGAGACATCGTGTTCTATATTCCTAATTCAATTAAATTTAATGCTAACGCTTTTTATGAGAGTATACGTATATCGAAAATATTAAGTCAATCAATGTTGCTCCTTCGATTAATCTTAGTAAAATGGTCACAGGAATCACGCCCAGATCAAAAATTCTGAAAATTGACCATTTTTGCGTATATTTGCCTCCTTATTGGCCATTCAGTTTTGTTTTTTATTTTCATTGAGAAGGGCAAAAAATCTAATTCTATCTAGTGTAGAAGATTTTGATTCCACTCCGAAAAAAGTTGACTTTAAAAAACAGCTCAATACGTAGCAAATGGTTGGTAATTGGATGTTAAATCTACTAATAATCTCTGGCCAGCTTCGTCAACAAGACAACTTTGCACATAAAGTCGTAGGGCAAAACGACTTGAAAAATCACAAAAACACGAGATATCATGCTTTAAGTGACATGTTTTGAACAAAAACAATTATTTTCTCAATTGTTTTAAAAAGAAACAATTATTTTCGTAATTGTTTGAAATGGAATAATTATTGTTTGTAGATTTTCAATCTTATCCGATAATTCTCCGATCAGACCCTGGTATCCATCTATTGGTCGCAATGTTTTGTGACTTGATCTGTAGATGGTACCAGCCTACAAAGCTGCACTAAAGAGCTGTAAACAGCGAAATCATTCACTTAGTGGGTTTGTCTGATATGTTGTCGGCCTCTTAGCCCTTTCTGAATAAAATCTACGTTATTTTATTTAAATTTTATTAGCTATAAAAACATTGACATTACTTCAAACACTATAACGATCACTTTTATTATTTTCATTCGATTTCAGCGCATGACGTTAGCTGCCTGAAAATATCTCAATATTATGTCTGAAAAATAATTTTTAATCAAACCTGCACTATAGCACCAATGATAATTTTCAAAAACGATCGCATTTTTTATAATTTGAATATGTGTAAAATATAATTTAAACTATCATAATCTGAATGTTTGCATGCCAAGAGTTATCACATATCATCCCATTCTGTGCATTTTTTTAAATAATAAAGTTTAAAAAATTGTTTACATACAAAATGTGGAACCCATGTGCGGCGTTTTTGGTTGTACCGTACAAAAACGACGTTTATGGTCTACTTTGGTTTTAGATGACTTTTTGGAAAAACAATTAACTTATTACGACTGCCAGCCACTTTAAGTGCTCTTATCATTAGATATTTTACACTGTTTTGTTTCATTTTAGTGATATATAATCGGAATGTTTATAGTTTATGTTTGTGGATTGCCTTCAAAATGAATCAGAAACAAAATAATGACAAAATACAATGGGGCCAATTGTTAGTTTTTTTGTTTGTTATAGTAGCTAATAAACTATTCCATTTCCGAATCATATCTTTTTCCTGGAACAACAATGAATTTCCGAATTTGAATGATGATTTGACCACAAAGTGGTCTTATTTTTCGGCACAATTGATTCAAAATCCATATATAAAGAGTTGCCTTTTTCAAATACAAATTCAGTTATAGAGTTCTGATTGAGAAGTGGTTTTCTCAAAATTTAACACAATAAAAATGAAATTGTTTTCAATACTAATGTTTGTACTGATTTGTAGTCTCTATGTGTGTGCAAGTGTTTTCGATGAAATTCCAATAATTTCAAATCTAAAATCGGCTGTGCATAATTCGACTGAAGATGGCAAAAATCGAACACACGAACATTCATTGGATCAATCACCATTATTTAAATCACTTATCCGGGTCGTACAAAGCGTGACGAAAACAAATGAAAAATTTATAAATAATCAACTTGAATCGATTACCGACGAACTACCCTTAATTGGTCACATAAAAGGACTTCTTCATATGGCTGCCGGCAATAAAAAAGAAGGACGGCATATAATTTATAATGCAAACTCAAATACCGCTGCAATTGCTGGGGCGGCGATTGCTGGCCCCGTTGGAATGACAGGTGGCAAACTATTATCCGATGCTATTTCATCTGGCATTGAATCAATCGTAGAATAGACATTGAATATTGTTATCACACCATCTAAATCATTCGATATGTTTTGGCATTTAGAAAAAAATTGATACATTTTATTATCAAGATTTTTTTTTTAATAAAAATTTAAACACAAAATTAGCCAAAAATATATATTATTAAACGTCAATTTTGACGAAAAAATAATAAAAAAATCCAACATTGATTTGTTATATTTTTATTACATTATAAATAATTCATATAAATTGATCTCTCTTTAAATAGATTATAAATACAATAAATTATTCTCTCGCATCGGCGATACCATTACTTAATATATTTCTAATGATTTCATCTCTCTTGAATCATGAAAAGTAGATGTTTGTGGCATCTTTTTTCAATTTTTTTGTTACATTTCAATAAAGTCTCACATTCATTCTCAAGCATTCATATTTGCGGCAAGCAAAATATTATAAGCTTTTTACTTACAGTTGGTGCTTGGATACAATTCAATTCTGCGAATTTCTAATTATAAAAACTTCACAAAATCATCTGAAAAACAAAATTTTTGTTTTTCTACATTTGACGTAGCTTATTTAAACAGTTGAGAATTTAGTCTATTCAGTATTTGTATCTACCAATCAGAAATCCACACGCACAATATCAAAATTATCATCTTCAGTAAAATTCCATTTTACATTATTTTGTTTTGGTAAACTCGAGAATATAAAAGATATACCAGCTCTAAAACTCTATCAATACAAAATAGCCAAAAATATATATTATTGAACGTCCATTTCGACGATAGAATAATAAAAAAAATCCAACATTTATTTGTTATATATTTATTACATTATAAATAATTCATATAAATTAATCTCTCTTTAAATAGATTATAAATAAATTAATCTCTCGCACATAGCTGGGCAGACTGAAAAATTCAGGGGGGGATTGGGGGGTGGTAATTTTCTCAAAAACTCCTAGCAAAATAGGAAAATTTCATCTATGATCCAAAAACCCTAGCAAAATGAGAAAAATTCTATCCAAAATCATGAATTTTGTAAAGGGGTAACGCAAAAATTTGATGCCTCAGGAGGGGGTAATCCCCCCCCTCCCCCTCCTGTCTGCCCAGCTATGCTCTCGCATCGGCAATACCTTCACTTGATATATTTCTGATGAATTCATCTCTCTTGAAATCATGAAAAGTAGATGTTTTTGGAAGCTTTTTTCAATTTTTCTGTTTCATTTTAATAAAATCTCACAGGAAAAGTCTCACATTCATTCTCAAGCATTCATATGTGCGGCAAGCAAAATATTATAAGCTTTTTACTTACAGTTGGTGCTTGGATACAATTCAATTCTGCGAATTTCTAATTATAAAAACTTCACAAAATCATCTGAAAAACAAAATTTTTGTTTTTCCACGTTTGATGTAGCTTATTTAAACAGTTGGGAATTTAGTCTATTCAGTATTTGTATCTACCAATCAGAAATGCACACATATTTTATTTTTTTGTAACTACCAATCAGAAATTTACACGCACGATATCAAAATTATCATCTTCAGTAAAATTCCATTTTACATTATTTTGTTTTCGTAAACTCGAGAATATAAAAGATATACCAGTTCTAAAACTCTATCAATACAAATTTGTTATTTGGATTGAAAATTTCAACTTCATTGGAGTCAATTTATTTCTTCTTAAAATGTGGAAATTTAGTATTTTTCTCTTGTGTTTTTTTACTGTCTTGGTGAATGGCCAAGATAATTTAAAAAAAGTGAATACAAAAAGTGGTCCAGTAGAAGGACGTTTGGAGAAGACTATTTTCTTTCAAAAATCATTTTATTCATACAAGGGCATCCCATATGCTCAACCGCCTGTAGGTGAACTTCGATTCAAGGTAAGCTTTCATTCTGACTCATTCACTCAGATTAAAAGTAATAATGATGTAACATAGGCACCTAAATCAGTTAAAAAATGGAATAAAACGCTTGAAGCCTATGAGTATGGAAGTATGTGTCCTCAAACTGGAAGACTTAAATCGTCGGTCTGTGAAGATTGCCTTTTTCTAAATGTATTTCAACCAAGTGAGATAAAAAAAAACACGATTTTAACTTATAATTAGAATAATTTCAATGCCGTTTATTCTTGCTCAGTTGTAAAAGGAAATAAAAAGTTGCCGGTAGCGGTGATGATTCCGGGCGGATTTTTTATTGGTGGACATGGCGGAGATGATTATTATGGTCCCGACTTTTTCATGGAAAATGAAATTGTACTTGTAACCATGAACATTCGACTAGGAGCATTGGGTTTTATGTCTTTGGGTTTACCAGAATATTCTGGAAATATGGCAATGAAAGACCAGCAACTTGCTTTAGAATGGATCTACAATAATATCGCAGCCTTTGGCGGTGATAAAGAAAAAATCACTATGGGAGGTGTAAGTTCAGGTAAAATAAATAAAAATTTAATTTCAAAATCGACCAATTAATGTGGGAATAATTTTTTGTTTGTATTTCGAACATCAAGCTTCTATTATTGGTAGTCTTAATTTAATCAACAAAAAATCGTCAAAATATTTCAAACAATTTCTTGGTATGAGCGGCTCACCAATTTATGGTGATGCTTATCAGACTGGCGATCATTCATGTTTAATGAAGCATTTTTATAAGCAACAAAAAGGCACTACTGTCGATCCCACCGATGAACAGCTGATTAAATTTCTTCAAGAGGTAGAAGTCAGTAAAATTGTAAAATTTTCATACGATACCATTTCAAATGGCCAAACTACACCATGGAGTCCGATAGTTGAATGTAAGTCATAAAATTATTTTCACTGTTGTAAAAAAAATGAGTACACAGCCGTATGTTCACCCCCTCTGTATGAAAAATACTAAATCGGTGATAACGGTATATGGTAGAGGTATAAACCTTTAGATTTTTATACAGTATACACATTTTTTTTTCTATTTTAGATCCCAATGCAAAAAATCCATTTCTCCAACAAGATCCAATGACACAACTACAACAGACCACAATCACAAAGCCTTCATATTACACCGTTACTAAATATGTATTCTTTAAATTAACGATAAATTTATGAATTTACATGTATTAATTATTTTTTCTCTGATTCTCTAGGAGCATTCGTTCTTTGTGAAACATTCGAATTATTCAGAACCAGCCGAAGTAAATGCATTCTTGGACCAATTTTATTTTAGATTACCAATTTTTGGATATCGAACAATAAACAGTAAAAAAGTAGGTATATTTTCACCAGAAATGAATCCGAAAATGAATATTTTCTTTTTATATTCAATTTCCAGCCCGCATATCTTCAGAGCGTGTTTGATGAAGTTCGTGATTTCTATTTTGCCAATGCAACTGATGAAACAGATCGTTTAAGGCAGCGAATTATCTTGGACTCTGATTTATATGCAACTCATCCCATTGAAAAGTGGTTGGAAAAGCATGTTGCACGATCCCAGAGTCATACATTTTATCATCGGTTTGTATTCACATTTTTTTTTTCATTAAAAATGACAAACATTAAAATAATAATCACTAAATTTCACCGAATGCTTCATTATTAGATTTTCATATGACACGATATTAAATCGATATGTAATTGCTGGGGCCTCACATGCAGATGAACAATGCTTCCTATTTAGGTAAATTGAATTATATTCTTGTCGAAATACGATTAAAAAAGCATAACATTTCCACAGGTGTAAGGGTAAAACGGAGTTACAAAAGAGAGTTTTCGCAAATAAAGACTCTGATGAACAGTGTTCAGCGGCTTTTAAAGCGATGATGAATATCCAAAAATTGATTTCGAACTTTATAAAATTTGGGTAGGATTTCTTTAATTTTTAACCGATTCCGATCTTTTATGGATTTAATTTAAATTAAAGATCACCCGTACACGATGGTCAGCCCACAAAAGCGTTTGCTCCAGTTAAACGGTCAAACAAACCATACCAGTTTAATTTTATCGATTTGACAAATGAAGGTTTCATTGCGGGCAAAGGACCAAATGCTAAAAGAATGGTATTTCTGGATAAATTTTATAAAAAGGTAGAAGATTTGGTTAAACGAAATGGCGATACACCAAACAAATCACCAATTCAACAGCAATGCGACGATTTGAGCGCATCAACTTAAATTTGGATAACAATAACTTAAGGGAATTATAGGAGCGAATACCCTTTGCATAAACTAACCGTATGAAAGGATATTCGCAAATTCTATTTTTCTTATTTTTTCAAAATTAATATTTTTTACGGAAAAAATGCTGGTACATCAGACTTTCGCCTTCGAATTGAAGAAAATCTGCTGTTCATAATTGATGTACATAATTGTGCATAAGTTGTAAAATGCAATTAAATAAATGTTTTCTTTTCCCGAATTTGACATAATTATACACTGTTATTTTAATGATTTAAATTTTAGATTGCTAATTGTTGTAACAAAGGTAAGATCTAATTAAAGTAAAAAGTATTCAATTATGCTTACAAACGATTTGGTTATGAAAATTTGTAAAAAACATGTAACACATGTTTTCACAAGGGCTGACTGACTATAATTAAGTCAATTTTAATCACTTTTATTCGGTTAAAATTACCAATAGATGATTGAAGTCGAATATAGTCGGTTATGTTTCAGAGTCAACTAAAAGTGATTGTAGTCAACATAGTTGACAAAAGTCAATTTCATATACTTATAGTTAACCGTAGTTAACTATGATCACAATCGACATTTCTCAACTCAAGTTACATGAAGACGCATATAGTCACTGAAATATCAGCCATTTTTGTCCCAAATTAGTCAATTTATAGTCGACTATGAAGTCCGAATATTTCCACAAGGGTAATCAAAATAAATTCATCGAATCGGGTTCATTTTATGGGTTCATATTTTTCACTCTTCTGTATTTTTCACTACTAGACATTATATTGAGATATTTTCAGGCAGATGAATCAGCTCAGCCAGATATCGTCATGAGCTGAAATGGAGTGAAAACAATAAAAGTGATTGTTATAGTGATTGTAACAATATAAGTGTAATTATAACTATAACACTTCTATTGTTTTCACCTAATTTCAGATCCTGGCGATCTCTGGCTGAAAATATCTCAATATAATGCCTGTTCATTACGATAAGCTCGTGAATAAAAAATATACTAATAATGATCGAAGATGATATAGAACTTGAGATGAATATTTGAAAAAGTCGTGTTTTCCACTCGAAGGGCAATCGCACTTTGAATACTGCAGTTGTGCTGCTCTCTGACATTTATAAGTTCAACCCTATGTAAAGACATTGCTTTTCTCTTCTTCTTCATTTGCAAGGAGCATGTGCTTTATAGCAGCTTAACTTTGAGATACCAGGTGGCAGCACATCTGCGTGTTCGAAACCCAATACATTGCTTTAAATGGAGTGCGTGTTTCCACTTACAGCTTATAACATTTTGTTTACATTTAAATTATTTGAACGGTTAAAACACTCTTACAGCAGTGGAATGTTTCATAATGTGAAGCTATGTGAAGAATGTGTTTCACAGCAACTGACTGATTAATTTATGGATATGTTTATCATAATTTATCTTAAATGTGAGTATTTTTTATTATTTATTGATCATATTGCCATGTTTTTTTTTTAAATGTATTTGTACAACAAAAAATAATTTATACATTAATACAATTGTCACCACATTCGTCAGTGAATACAATTCTGCAAACAGTACCTTTTGTTAAGCCAAGTGGGTTATGGAACATAGATATGACATAATCGGCCTGAAAAACAAATTGGTCGATGTAAGAAAAGTACGAATTAGTGAATTCAAAAGAGTAAATTTTCCTATCTTGAAAAAAGGAGAAAGATGCTCACTTCTTTCCGATCGTCTATTCTACCATGACGATAGATTGTTGAGGCAAACTGCAGTGCTTCTTCTGTTTTTGATAAACTTAATTCAGTTGATAGCATTTCCTTGAGCCTACGCATAAATTCCTTTTCTGATGAAACTTGACCTTTCGCTATTCCGCCGGTCACACTTTGCCAAATATCGGATACATTTCGATTTGTTTTCGAGAAATCTCCATTCAATGATATGGTCATGAGTGTGGCCTAATAACAATCAATATTCATTTTTATATTCATTTCAAATGCATCTGAAAGTGTTTTAAAAAATACATACAAAACTCGCCATCCATTCAAGATCTTTTTCATCGAACGTTTTTAGTTTGTTGGACATACTACACAATTCATCAACAGTGGTATGATCAATGTCAGATCTTGCTTTCAAAATGTCGCACACTTTTTGGACACTTTTAACTCTTGAACAAGTCTGAAAACAAAATGAATCAGTTATCTCAGTTTATTTTAGGATTGCGATACTCACCTCATATTTTCGACAAAAATCTTCACTAAAATCAATATTACAAGCTACCGATTTAGGTATACCCAGTGCATTGTGATATATAGACACGATCAAATCGACCTATTTGAGAAAAACAAAACCAACAATAGGACATCACTTTACCCTTAAAATCAACATACATTTCAATCGAAAAGAACGGATACCCACTTTTCTGGTTGTTACACCACCGCTGAGATCGAATAATAATATATAGTTATATATAATTAATGCTCGATCAATTTGCAGTGGTGTTAATTTTTTCTCGAGTAAACTTTTGATTTGATTATGCAAATCATCCCATGTAGTTATATATGTTTCTTGTATTAATTTACTTTCAGTCGCAGCTTTGCTGTACTCTTGATACAGTTCCGAGATGTTACGGTTCGTTTTATAAAAGTCATCCTTTACAGCTATGGTATAGAGTGTAGCCTAATGCCAACAATTATTGTTCAGTAAATTTACCGAATATCATTCTTGAAAGTTGAAAAAAAAAAACGTACCGAACACACAATCATCTCAATGCCGCTTCTGTCAGCAGATGGAATAAATTTTTTGAACAAAAAAATCAAGTCATCAACAGCTTTTGGATTTACATTGTTTAGTGCCTTTAAACGTGCACTAATTTGATCGAGAGATTTTCCACTGGAACAGATCTGAAAGACAAATAAAAAATGGTCAACGCTTTATTGTGTGAAAAAAAATTCACTTTTATCTGACCTGGACAACGGAAATACAAAATATAATTGTTATCCACTTCATCTTAATGATTTAACGTATTCGATTTTCCAGTGTACGATTTAAACTGATGGGAATGCATTCAAAGCACTCTCGAAAATGCATTATCAAACATAGCATTCAATTTTGTTTAATATAGATCCAAAGGTTATTGGGATTATCAGTTGTTGTAGTTGTTTTGTTTTGACTTCATTAGAAACAGAGTACACGCACAATGAACTCATCATCAATAAATGAATTTATCAGTCACATGAAATGTGTTACGTTAAACGTTAAAACCAATACAACGTAAATGTCATATACCAAAATTGTTGATACAAAATAATGTTACACAATAAACACTACAGTCAGAAAGTTTAAGAGCGAAAACCCACTTGATTTTCATACAAATTGACGTTTTTTTTTTTTTAAATATATTTGCCATCTTTGGAATTGGTTTGTTGTTTGTTCACATCATGAGGAGCAAAATTTCGTAGGGGGTGTTCGCTAGAATCAATTTTACAAGCAAATCGGAAGAATTTCTTTCATTTCAAAAATTGGTTTTTTCCGAAAAATATTTTTAGGTTTCCAAATATTTTGGAGGGTGATCCGAACCCTAGGAAACCTCATCAACACCTATGATAATAGACATTCTGCGCAATCACTTTTCGCTGTACATGTACTAGTAGCCTATATGAAGTTCTTATTTCATTTAAACTGTCTCTTTTGTACTCTTCGCACAACTTCATTATCAACATTAATCATATCTTCTGGAAGTTTCAAGAGAGTTCACAATTGTTGGATTTCAATGGAATTTGAGTAGCTATCCGAAAATACGATTGCAAACAAATGGCTGTACCCTTGACCAGTGTTTCGAGTAGATTAAAAATCTTGAGATTTTTTAGATAGATTTCTAGATAGATCGAATCTAAATCTGATCTTAGATCAATAGAAAAAAGGTATAATAAATCTAATCTATCGGGATCTGGATACAAAAATCTGTATCTAACGAGAGATATCTAAGATTTACAAGCTTAACACTCAAAAGCATTCTTTTCTGATTCGGGCCGAATATGACGTTAGTTTTAAGATGAAATCAATTTTTCACAGACTTTTTCATACAAAAATTCACAAAAAAAATATTTTTGTATAGGAGTCATGCCTTGTGGTAGCGTAATGACATGAAACTTTACACAGGTTGTTTTTTCCACAAGAAAATTACATTCTGAGAGTTTAAAGAAATTTCAATGCATATTAGGGATACCTCCCATACAAAATTTTCGGTTAGCCATTGAGCTATATTTTTGATTGAAATTTCTTTAAACTTTGTGAGATTATTTATATTGATAAGAAAATAATATTCACAAGTTTTCACGGCGATTTGAGTTGCTGCAACCAAACATAGACCATAATTTCAGTGTATTCCCAAATTTTTGGTTCCGTGGGACGTTACACGCTATATTAATATAGTCTAATAAAGTCAAATAAATCAACTTAAAATGACTTCGATCTCAGTCGGTTTAATGTGAAAACGTCCCAAAAAAAGCCAGTCAGTAATTTTCCACAAGGGCTGTTTACCTGTTTACCCAAGTCCCATTTGGACTTAAATTTAAAAGTATATTTCAGATCAGATATGAGATTAATCTAGATTTATCTCGATCTGAGATAAATATAAAAGCTTAGATACACAGAGATCAAAAATCTAAGATTTTGATCTCAAATCTGATCTAGATAAAAAAAATGATCTAAAAAAAACACTGCCCTTGACTCATATATCGAGTGAGGCTTTTTCAATTTTGATCTTATACACTGGTTCTAACCTTGAATACAACGTGAAATTGTGATGATGTTTTTCAAAATTATGGAATGTTTAAAATCAACAAAAAGTTGAATCATATTTGTGTAATTGAGAATTGATAGAAAAACATTCTGTCATTAAATTACGAAAACAATAATAATATAAAATTTACGTATAAACAAAATGACTGTATATAAAGGGTACCCATTTCACATGATATTCATTAGAAAAGTTTGTACTTTCGAGTGAAAACCAAAATGAAGACGATTTTATTTCTGACTTTTTTATCACTATTTACTCAGGTATGAACTATTAGTAGCCAGGAAATTGTTTGGTATTTGTTTAAAAATGTTTTTAACCAAGTCAAATTGAGTTCATTTATTATTTGATTTGAGAAATGTTCATTCTACCGGATTTCTTCTTGTTTTCAATCTCATCAATAACATTCATTTTTTTTTAAATAGTTGATCCATGGCCAAGATCTGACAATTCCTATGGTTCTTGATAAATTTTATGCAAAAGCGTCCACGGCAAGTCCAAACCCCATAAAGACGAAATTGAACTTCATGCTCCAGATTACGAATAATGTCAAGCAAATCAAAACTAAGCTTGAAGTTCCTGTAAACGTATTTATGGATGCCACAAAAATGAGTCAAGTATTGGCAAAAGTACCAGAAAGCATGACCATCAATGGAACAAATGCCCGCAAATACATATCCGACATAATTGGTTCGATAAATATTCACCAGATAGAAACAATTAAAGAATTAAATGATGATATTTGCTTGGGATTTTCAAATCAATTGCCCAATTACGATAAGGATTTTAATAATTGGTATCAGAAATGGAACCAGAAACCAGTCGATAAAAAACATTTGCAAAAAATCGAACAAAATAGAAAAATGCTGGGAAAAGTATTTGAAGATTTTTGTGGAATGTTTCGAAATGGAATGAAAACCGTAAATGACGCAAATGTAATACTTAATAAATACATCAATTTGGGCCAAACGTCATTTGATGGTATCAAAAAGCTAAAAAATTCACGAGACACAATGAAAGCAATTGACGATCTAGTACCGATATTACAAATAATCTTGAAGCAACAAGAGGAATTGATAAAATCTCTTGGATATGTACAAAGCACTTTGTATTTATACAATGGACAACGTTCAAAATGGCTTGACTTTTTGATTAATTTGAGAGATTCGCCTTTCTCGAATCGACAGTCAATCAGACAATTGATGGCCAAAGACGAAGAATTGACCATCTCTTTGGTGTTAAATAGTTTTTATGCTAAAGCGGCCAAAAGTGGAATCGCAATGAAATCAAAATTAGATTTTATACTTAAAATTTCCAACAACATTGATCAAATTCAAAGTAAACTCAAAACACCTGTGACCGAATTTATGAATGAAACTATAATTGGGCAGATAACTTCCAAAATACCAGAAAATCTAACGGTTATGGGAAGAAATGCTCGTAGTTACTTATTAGAAGAAATTGAATCGGTTAATATCCTTCAAATTGTCATGATTAAGGAATTTAACGACGAAATTTGCTACGGATTTTCAAATAAAATGCCCAATAAATATGATAAAACGTTCGAAAATTGGTTTAAACAGTGGAATCCAAAACCGCCGAACAAGAATCATGTGCAGCGTGTTGACAAATATCGACCAACAATGGAGACCATTTATGAAAAATTCAATAGAAACTTCGATAAGGGAATAAAAGAAGCAGAAGCAGCAAGAATGACCCTTGATAATTCCATCAATTTTGTTAAATCATCGTTGATGACAGATTTTTTACAAAGTACAACCGCAACGTTGCAAAAGACAACCAACGCTATTGAGGAGTTGGGAAAATTACGTAAACAACAAGAACAGCTCATTAAATATCTTGGGAATGTTCAAAGTATTTTACATATGTATAATACACAACGACTGAAATGGATAGACTTTCTAGTTGAACTAAAATTAAATGATTTTAAGCAAATGAAATTTGAAAAACAAACCGGAAAAAAAAGAGGATGAAAATACAAATCTTACTCTCTTCTCTCTCTGTGTGTTTCGATTGTGCATGAATAAAAAAAAACATTGCGTAGGAATTTCAAGTGACTGTGAAATAAATTTATAAATGTACCTTTTTTTTAGATTTGTTTGATTTGATTTTAGTTTCAGAAACATTTTTTTATTTCATAATTCAAATTCGAATTTCGAATTCGAAACATGTTTGAATGTGTACGACATTTGACAGTTGGTAGCTGTGTGTATTGGTGTGTATCATATCGAAGCCGATTTTTCTGATTACATTCAAAATGTGCTTCGTAAACATTGCATCGTATCAATTAATTTCTTTGAACAATGTATGAAATTATAATTCCGGCACCGAACTAAATAGGGATTTTTTCGCATCAAAATATTTTGAAGTTATTGTTAAGAATAAGGTAAGTAATTATGGTTAAGTTGCCATTGTGTTGAAAAAAAAAACAAAATTCAGTGATTAATAAATGGAATTCTTGTACATGAGATTCATTTTTTGTTTATCGTCATTTTAGCAACGGTTTGGTGTGTTTGGAACGTAACTGTAGAAGTCACTCGATGTCAAATGGAAAGATTCACAGTCCGTTTTGTGACAGTCTTTGTTTTCATTTCAAAATAAAAAAAAAACATTTTCATCGTTTTAATCAGGACACAGCGTTATATAGTATAAGAAGTTATTCATTTGAATTGTGATATGAGTGTGTTCTCATTTTTTGTTTGTAACAAATTGTGCTTTGCTTGTAAAAGGAATTCTTGAGAATTATGTGTGAGTGTTTATATTAGAGTATGAAACAATTTGTTTGTCGTCATTTTTGGCCAGTCTATGTATTTCGGATAGATATCCATCCGAGATATTTTAAAATATCTGGATATTTAACGCAACTGCACAGAGCCAGAGCTATGTGCATCGCACATATAATCTACGGTATGTCGCTACACGTAAAATACAGACACAGTGTGACTGTGTACGTGCGGCACTTGATACACATATACGTCGCGACATACCGTAGATTCTATTTGCGACGCACACAGCTCTGGCGCTGTGCAGTTGCGTTGAATATCCAGATATTCTAAAATATCTCGGATGGATATCCATCCGAAATACATAGACTGTTTTTGGCTAACATTTGTTCCAATGATTTTGTTTGTTCGATGTTAAACGGATAAATTCACTGTTGGTTTTGAGATTGTCTCTGTTGTTATTTCAAAATAAGAAAGCATTCATAAAATTGACGGTGAATATTCCAACAAAATTTTCATCTGCGGAATATTGGAAAACATTTCATCATTTGAATCAGAATACAGAGTGACATCGTTGAGGTAAGAAGTGATTTATTTGAATTGTGATATAAGTGATTGTCATTTAAATTGTGATCTCATTTTATTCGTAATCTATGCTATTTTTGTTGCATTTTTTTTCTAAATTTGTGTCTATTTTTTATTTTCGAATAATTTAATCAGTTTTTTGAGAATGAACAGAAAAAGACATGGATGACGACGAGCTCGATGATAATCAACCAGAAGAAAGCAAATACGTTGTAATAAAATGTGGACTTCAAACAATCCTGCGACAACAACATGAACGGATTGAAAGAGTTGGAGAAGCTGTGACCAAAATGCTATTCGAGCGCAGTGTTCAAATGACAGAAGTGGCAGCATTGGCATCACTTTTTATTCTTTTTATTTTGAATGAAGCACTTGATAATGACGATCGTGCATTTTTTTTGCAACCACATCCAAGCTCGTTCATTGCCGATTGTTTCAGAGCGGTATTAAACCAACACGTTAACAATATTAATAGTCAATATCGGATATTGCCCGAGTTTCGTTTCATGGTAGAAAGAAACAGTGAAGAACAGTTCCGATGGCCAGATGATGAAAAGTTGGGAAATGGTTTGAGATATTTTTATAAACAATATATCACAAACATTCAAACCAATACCAACACATGGTGTGAAAAACGACTTGAGAATTTTTTTCGAATGCGTTGTTGGTATCGCAATCGATTCCACAATGGCTCAAGATTTGATAACATCGACATCAGAAATGCCAAAGAGTTTTCATATTGATTTAAGAATTTAACAAATGGTAATAATGTGGATCCACAACGCGTTGAAAAATTCAATATTTTAATGAGAGATTTGACTGAAATTGGATGGTCGGGAACACTGAATATGAAATTTTTCGCAAAATATCGTTGGTTTGAATCACTGTGGTTGTTCGGTCAAATGCAACGGCAAATAGAAGTGTATCACAGTCATGCCGAACAATGGAATACCATTCATGAAATGTTTCGTAACAATCCGAACTTTCAAGAGCCAACAATCAATCGACCACCAAAAATAAGCAGTTTTGCTCTTATACCATTATGCGACTACCATTTGAAAAACGTGCGATTGGACATTAAGGACTTGTATTATAAAATTGTAAACGAGCTTGATTTGGTGCCTTCTTTTCTCAATACGCGGACCAACCGGATGAATAAGAGAAATTTAAAGTACTACACCCAAACTGATCGATCAGGTCTATGGAATATGTTGTTCGATGTCGGTAAAATAAATAAATTGGGCAAATCGAAACCATTCCATCATCAGATTTTGACCGATAGTGTTTCAATATCCATAATGTACAAGAAACCACAGCGACAACAACGACCACAGCGACAACAACGACCACAGCAAACAATCCAAGCGAATCGGGGGCCGGAAAAACTCATTGGCAAGAAATACATCATTGGAATCGATCCGAATGAAAAATCGTGGTTAACTGTAGTGCGTCGCAACATTCAAAAAACACCTGATGAGCCGGCTGTTGAGGTAAGATATTTTGAAATGTAATTTGAAATGATTTTGAATAGAAACTCATAGTTTTTTGTATCATTTTGCATTTTGAAGGAAAACATTATAATACCAAACCAGCGTTTTCATTGGGAAACTCAGCAGAAAAAACGAGACAAAGAAGCGAAAAAGTTGGCTGGATGGTTTGATATCGAAGAGAAGGAACATCTCAAAACATACCCATATCGTCCACCATCACCACGTAATTCAACATGGAAATCATACATTGAATATCGCATTAAAATGTTACGAAAAGGAATGGCAGCTTATGCGACGCGTGAATATGCACGACTGGATTTAGACCATCACATTCGCTCGACCAGAGTAAATGATCAAATCGCCGTGCGTGTGACAAACAACAAACCGTCGTTGGTTCAATTTGGTGCTTGGACGATGAAACCCGATCGACCGTTTGGAATAAAAAAGCGTAAAAGATGTCCGGGATCGCGTAAGTTTTGTGTGATCATTAAGAAACTTGGACATTCAGAAGTTGAAATGCAAGATGAATGGGGAACATCACAAACATGCGCGAATTGTCAGGAACGTTTTCCAAGGCACACAAAAGATGATCGATTTAAAGTGTGCTACGATTGTAGAGCGAAAAAGATTGATGGCCTGCCAGATTCAGTCGCTGGACTGCCAGATATCATTGTGTCAATGGTCAACAGACGTGTTTTGAGAAGAAAACGTGCAATTATTAAGCGACAAATTATCGATGGCAATCGTGAGGCTGTGAACGAAAAACTTCGGACTGGGCGTTTAATGTCAAAGGTTAAAGTTACCTACAAAAATTGGCCATTAAATGTTGATGATGATGATGTTGTTCCACAAACAGTTACTTGGCACCGAGATATTGTTGCAGCAAAATGCATTATGCTCAAAGGTATGAATCAATTGGAAACAGAATATTCATTATTTAATGTATTTGCTTTAAATTACATAGGACTTTGCCGGATCTTTGATGTACCATTGTCAGTTTCATTGTTAAGACCGCCGGACTAAAACAACAATGTCAACTAACAAACATCATCAATTAATCATACATTCAAAAAATTACATAAAATAAAATATTTTAACTATTATAGTTAGCTTAGCTAGACATGAACAGACTATATAAAGTCTTGTGGTCTAGTTGTACAATAGTACAACATTGTACGGAGGGGGAGTGCCCGTAGGTGAGTAAAGTTTTTAATTTAAAAAAAGTATTTTATACCCAGTTCAACTGATACTAATGGTTGTCTTTCCCCTTTTCCATGTTTTCACACCTGAATGTTCCACCATGCCAAACCTATGGAAATGACTGAAACTACACACGAATCTAACCCCGAAAACGACCGTCAATATGTGCTTCATAATGGATGCATTTGCCCTATCAATTGTTTGCTGGGTAATACACAACGACTGAAATGGATGGAATTGCTAGTTGAATTAAATGAATCATCATCATCTACATCAAAAACAAGAGCGACAAATAATCAAAGACGTTTAGTATAAACTGTTTTTAAGATGGTAAACCATGGAAACAACTGTTGGATAAATATTTTTTTTTATACAATAAATAAAATTCAAGTGTTCTTTATTGTTTCCAAATAGATGTTTTCTATTCACCGATTAAATATTGCGTTTGATTTTCTGGTAAAACCACTTTCTTTCCTTTCAGTATATATACGCCCATCTGATTTGCAAGTGGCTATGAATTGGCGCCATGCATCATATATTGCGTTTTTTTTAATAATCTATTTTCTTCATTTCTATGTTTACTTACCTGGATCGTGAGTGACACTGCAAACATATATACAATCAAAACAAAGACCCAATGAAATGAAGTTTTTTTTATTGTAAAAATAATCAGGCAATAAATTTATTCATTCGTTTTCAACCTATATGTACATTAAATTGTGCTGATAATCGCCTCATTTCGTTTTCATCAATTTCAACTTCGATTACATTTAACACAACTCTTCCATTTTTAGCCATAGTAGCACAGACGTGATTCAACACTGCTTGAAAATCATAATCAGTCTTGTTTTTTTTTATATATATTCATTTCACTTTTGTGTTTTTGTTTCGCCAAAACAAATGATTTCCATTCAATGATCAATCAACATCATTATCAGTTTAATGCATCTGAGCGGTTGAGTCTAAAGCGCCTTCAATCATTTACATTTCCCTATTTATGAACTGAACCGTTATAATTTCGTTATTTAGAAAAAAACCAACAACAATTCGAGAGAGAGAAAAAAAATGTACATCGTAATATGTGCTACGCAGGTTCAAATGGTATATTTGTTATTAACGTCTAACATCATACATTGTTCGATTCATCAGTTGTGTGTGCTGCTGATAATATTGAGAAATTTATCGATTGAAAATGATGCACTTATTGACTAGGCACTTCTTATATTCTATTCAATTTATTTCTTATACAAATAAAAATCGAAACAATATTCAATTTTTCTTCGACAACAGAGAACAGATATTGAGAGAATTAAATGCATCCGATATATTGTCAGATAATTCAACTTTTAACAAATGCATACAATGATGTTAACTGTATCTTATTAACTTAACGAGCTGAATGGGAATATTGTACGTAAAATTGTCAAAATACAGCACTAATATGCATGAATTTTCTCTTTGTCAAAGGCACTTTGCATACAGATTTTTTTTTTTTCATCAAAGACGTCATTTGCACATCAGTCCCAATGTATGCCTGTTCAACTGTAAACAAATCCAAAATTGAATGGTTTCTTTACATAATTTATTCCAAAAATGTGCTTCTTTTATTATAATTTTAGGTATGAAAAATTATTGTACAAAATATCAAACAAACACTTATACACCTAATTGATTTAATTTTCATGAATATTTTCTCATCTACAGGTATAAATTAAAGAGAATAAATTAATGTTGATCTGTGAGAGATAGAGAGTATTTTATCTTGCATTCACGCATTATATTAATTTGTATAATTTCACAATGCTCATTGGGCCCATGAGAGTATGTCTCAAATTTTATCAGCCATTTACTAAATTCTAATCTCTTTGTTCATGGAGTCGCTCAGGTGTTTATTGACTTTTTGGCGCGTTGACCCCAGTCTTCTTTGATCATATCCGCACCCTTTTCACCAATAGCAATTACCTAGTTAAAAAAAATGAAGAAAAAAACAATTGACAAATAACATTTATGGTTAAATTAATCGTCAAAAATGTTACCGGTGCATTTGGATTTCCACTAACAATGGTTGGCACTGCAACAAAAGAATCCATACATTATTGTTATTTTTCAAATACAACTGAAGGACTGAAGAAGAATAAAAAAAATAACTCACTAATACTGGCGTCGATAACACGTAGACCAGTAACTCCATAAACTCGTAATCTAGAATCGACAACAGCCCCATCATCATAACTTGGGCCCATTTTTGCTGTTCCAGTTGGATGGTATATTGTAAATGTAAACTATTCACATGAAAAAATGAGAAAAAAAACATGTTTTCATTTGGCAAAATAAAGGCAAATTAAAATCGTATACGATTTTTGATATCGAACCTGTCGAATAGAGCATTCCCAATATTCATCCGAATCGAATGGCAAATGGCGACACCCCGGAAATGGAATCCGATGTAAACGTGATCCAAAACGTTGCATTGCCGGTTGATCGGATATATTACATGCAATTCGTATTCCTTCAATGAGAACATTAATATCTTCACGGTGTGCAAAATAATTCGGCTCAATAACTGGTTTATGCATTGGATTTTTACTTCGTAGTGTTACTCTTCCAGAACTTTTCGGTCTGTTTGTGTTGCGAAAAAGAGATTGTTTTCATTGTAAAACTGTTCGAGAAGCGGTTCATTTCAAATATTTCAAAAAAATAAAATAAAAATGGCCTACCGTAAAAGTAGAGGTAAAATGGTCCATGTTTCTGAATTTAACAATGGTTTATAAACGGTATTATAAACGCCGTCACGAAGATTAACCACTTTTCGAATTTGTTCGCCGCCATCCGAATTAATGGAACTTGGTGCAAAATGATACTGAATATCCGGCCAATCACCGGACGGATCAGCATATTTTGTATTTACAAATGCAACACCTTCAACACCGGGCATTGTCATCGGTCCACGTTCATTCATAATGTATTCCATGCCAACGCCCATATTTGTAAATCGCTTTCGTGTAAATGTAACCGGTTCATCAATGACAAATGTTAAACCCCCTAAACCAACGTGATCTTGTAAATTATGACCGACTGGCAAATCGGCAACTTGTGAAATATTATGTGCAATCATTTGATCCAATGGACCGATTCCACTGAGCATTAACAATTGTGGACTATTTATAGCACCAGCACTGAGAATCACTTCTTTTCTAGCGTATACCTTATGGAATTTTCCATCGCGCACAAATTCAACACCATGCGCCCGTCGACCTTTATTAAATAGCACTCGTGTCACCTGCGAATGCATAATGATGTCAAGATTTTTTCGCATTCGCACCGGTCTCAAGAATGCTTTCGATGTACTGCATCGACTGCCACGACGAATGGTTGCCTGTGTCAACATAAAACCAGTTTGAGATTCACCATTTATATCGCGATTTTCATAGCCCAATTCCTGGCCAGCTTTTACAAAGGCCAATGACAATGGCGTACGCCATGGAGCTTCTTGTACAGTTAAATAACCGCCGGTGCCATGATATGGATTTTTGCCCAAAAATGGATTTCGATTATCTTCCGATTTTTTGAAGTAGTACAAGATATTTTCGTAATCCCAACCAGGATTCCCTTGTTGCGCCCAACTATCGTAATCACGTTTATTGCCACGGACATAAACCATGGCATTGAGAACCTGAGACATGGACGAAATAAATGATACGCTCACATTTGGGACAAATCTTTGAAATGTGTTTTTTTTTTTTGGTTTAAAGAAAGTTCATTCAATTAAAACTTACCGATGAACCACCCATTACTTTGCCGCGAGGCCAATTGCATCGATCACCAATCATAGCTTGACAATAAGCTCGATCTGGTGGAGGCGATGTTTGATATTTCCAATCCATTTCGCTGAGTTGTAGGTAGCCAGCCAATGCTGTGAATTTACAAATTTGATTTTAATTTAAATTTCATCTTCAGTTCCGTAAAGGCAATATTACCTGGTACATCACTTATTTCCGTCTCATCACCGCCAGCTTCTATGAGCAAAACGGTCCAATTTCGAATTTCTGATAATCTAGAGGCGACGACTGCCCCCGCCGACCCCGCACCAACAACAATAAAATCATATTGTATACGAATCTGCAGGAGAAAAGCGTTCAATATTTGAATTGTCTGTACAAGTGAGGAAAAGCATTGAAAATTGTACTAACTTGTTGTGCATCGATTGGTCTACCTTCTGGATCGATGCTTTGATATCGATAATAATTAATGCCGAGTGCAAGTAGTGGAATTAAACTTAACGCTGTAACCGGTGCGGCTAATAAAGTACCAGTTGAAAATACGCTAGAAATTGCAGCAAAAGCCATACTTGGCCCAGCCTACAGTATTGACATAAAAAAAATAATAAAATATAAAATACGACGAAATGTTCCAATCCTCCGCCCCCTTAAATTGCTTTAAAGTTGAATGATTTTTTGTCTGTAATCAAGCTTTTAAATCCAAATGTCGATGTCTTCTTGTTCGATGGATGACGTTGACGATGCGGATGTTGATGTTGGTGGCGTTTGTTCGAGTAGAATTTTTGGCATATAATTTCGGATGCCGTTGTGTGATGGTTGAAAGTGTGTTGCGACCACGCGATTTTCCTCTTTTATGTCTAAATAACTTTTAATATACAACTGATGATTAAGATATTTCGTTTGGTTTTCAATGCGTTTATATGATGGCGATGAGGTTGATGATGATGATGTGTTGGTGGTTGTGGTCGAAAGCCGAGATGATGATTTTGTATGCGATGTATTTAATGTATTTTTAGACGACTGAGATGATTTTGTGGATTTAGTTGTACTACGTGAGGGGGAACGAACAGGGGTGGGTGCTGTTTTGTGTGTTGAAGATGATGATGTCGGTAGATTACTAGCTGAAGCTGACGGTGATGCAGAAGATTTATTCGTAGAGGAATAACTATGACAGGTATTACATCGAATCGGCACGGATTTCTCTTGGCCCATTATATTTTTAGAAATTTCTGTTATTTTGGTTTTGATTCGTAAATTGTGTCTCGAAATCCCACACAATGAACTATCGAAATGAGTGAGTTCGATGAATTATTTCGACCTGTGAACACAGAAGGAATGAAAGGGGGAGACAGACAGAGAGAGAGTAGGACAAAAAGAATGAAATAGAGAGAACAAAGCAAACAAATGAAACACACGAAATCAGTTAGGAAATTTGCTTAATTATAATCTATAGTTTCATCATAAATGCATATAATTATTGGACTAAAGAAACAAAAAATACTTGACTTTTTTTAAATTAATGCGACATTTTCGAATTAATTAACGATCATGTAATTGGTAGTTATTCGCGTGTATTGGATTGTAATATCAAATGAAAATAAAAAGCGCGGCAAGTTCAATTGAATGGTTGAACAATAAGAAAAATTCATGCTCTACTCGCGTAATGGCAGCTGGGCCATTGTCCATTGCCAGAAGTGCATTGCCAAGAAAGTGTAAGTTATATGCCGACCGAAACGAAAAGTTCATTCACCATTTTTATTAAAAGATTTTGATTACAGACCCAAAAGCCATAAAATTCGGTCTGGAAAATGTGCAACGTTGCGTCGATACAATTGGCAAACGAATGTGAAAAACTTGCGCAAATGACCATGTAACAGAACGATAATACAATGAATGGAAATAAAACAATGCATCCATAAATGCGGACTTGTGTTAAATGAAAATAGTGACGCATATTCTTGGTTGATTTCAAGATGGACCAACTTCAAATGAAACAAACACGCACGCACATACATTTCAAACGCCTATACAAATGTTTATTGACCTTGCAGTCGAATCCAACACACAAATGAGAGACAAAGAGAGAAGAGAGATATGGTATCATATACCATCAACAAATAAAACCAACACAAATAACATTTGAATTTAATTGCCCATATTTCACTCAATTGTGAATGGCGTTGCGTGTTTGCACTTAAGATTACCAACGAAATGGAGGGAAAAAACGTCTAGCAATGAAATGGAATTTTGCACACACAAAACAAAAATTTGCAGCGTAAATGAAGCAATTTTCTCTATTTTGCCATCCATTGGTAAAGACACATAAAAAAACACCACAATTGCAACAAAGAAAGTTGGATTAGTGAAGCCACAGTTACTGTGCGCATACCACACGAGCAAATCAATGGCGAAGAATTTACCAGTTCAATTTTGCGAATGTTATGGAATGTGAATGAAATTGATCGGTCGGATTGTTTTTTTTTTTATTTTTGGTCCAAATCTCTGAAATTCCCAAAACAAACATAAACGTGCAATGCAGAACAAGAAAAGCGGCGAATTGCATATCGCGTGATTTCGTTGATTTATTCACATAATATAATTCACATTGATCATGGCTTTTTTGCATCGCATATGCAAATAATGCGTGCACAATAAAGACGGATACAGAAAGAGAACCAGAGACTGTGAGAGAAAGACACGAAGAAAGGGCGAGCATTACCGATACTCGAAGTGTATATAAAAATAATTGAAATGCAGACTTTCATTGATCTTATTTCCAAATTTGCAATGCGAATTTCGCACGTTTGAAAACGCACGAATCATTTTTTTTCGAAATCCTGCTCGAATAATTTGCATAGCACTAAACTAACAGAAACCTCTTTCAGGCGATTTTTTCCACATTCGAGTTTGCGCGATTAATTAACTGTGTTTTTTTTTTGGTAACTTGACCACAAATTGACCATGCAAATGAATTTCAATGTCAAATATTTGCAGTGAACCGATGAAAATATCAAATGAATTTCAACTTCTGCAATTTAACCGCAAAGTGTGATCAATGTCAGTTTAATTATCAATTGGAGCGCACCTCGCATCAATGTCACATAGTCACTCTGCAAAGAGTAAAACTGTCTGCCGTGCAAATGAATTCCATTCCGGAATTTTGTGAATTCGAAAATCGCAACAAAATGAAATCATTTTGCAAAAATGATGTGAAGCGTAAAAAGACAAACCGCCGACATTCATACATCATTTCGTTAAATGAACTCCAAATAAACACATATACACAAGAACGGAAGAAATCAATCATGTAATTTGCGAGTAATTAAACCGCATTACACACTCAGTTTGAACGATTGAAAACTTTTACTCATAAATTATGAGCCATAATCGGTGCTATTATGGTTTGTTTGTGCTTTAAATTGCATCATCATCATCATCAATTTTTATCAGAAAATCGGATCATTGACAATGTGTGACATGCTATTGTGCAAATAATTTTATCGTTTATGACAAAAATTCAATGTCGATTTTTTAGTGCTTGGATTGAAAATCGATTTCCAAAACAAAACGTTTACGAATTTACAATGCTGAAAATGTGTTTGTTGTAGAAAAAGTTGAATCTTTTGTTTCTTTGGCTGTTTTATACTTTCAGCTTAGGTCGATTATATAATTTAGAAACCACGTGCAAAATACAAATTATCATCCTCTATTGAAGAAACGGACAACAAATCACTCAGTTCGAGAGGAAGAAAAAAAACACGAAATATTTTCAAAACAAACGACGCAACTGTATTTCAACTGGTCAGAAAACACTTTTGAAATGAAAGTTTTATATTTTTTGTATTTAAATTTTTGCCCCATGCACCGCATTGAAATGTCATTATAAAAGCAATATATGCGCCAACAAATAGTTGTTTTTTCTTTTGTTTTGTTTTTGTGTTATCTTAGTGTATGCCGAAAACATAATCGATTTTGTAAAATAAAAATGTTGCTAGTCATGCGTTTGGAAAATAATATTAGCCATTAAAAAGGCAGAATATTTAAATTCATTTTGTTTCTCTGCGATGACGACTACAAAACATACATTCCAATGTGTATACATCGAAAAATTTCTACAAGACCACGTATAAAATTGATAATTTTTTTTTTGTAGTTTGAATCGGTTAAGTCATAAAGAAAGTGTTGTGTCTTCTCTCTTTCTCGTGCATCTCGTTGAAATTTGTGTATAAATGTTTTTGAAGCGTGCCCATTATTATCAAACGATTATTATGTATGAATTTTCTCTCTACATGTATGGATTAGCGAATTGTCGCCTTTTCACTGCATGACCATTTTTTTTAATGATTGAGCGAAAAAAAATTAGATATTGTTAATAATTTCCTAATTTTGTTTTTGTTCATTCATTTTATTTCGTTTCAGAGATTGTGATCAATTTTGTCCATTTCCGCACTTATAGTTCCGATTGAATTTATCTGATTCTCAATTTCAATGTAACAATTGAGATAGTATGTAAGGGAAAAAAAGCGCTTTGAATGTAAAAGATAAATAAGGTGCTTGGCGATCAAATTATGAAGACAAAACATCAATGATAATCGATGGTTATTGCATCGATGAGACTTTTTATAACGGTACAATTATGATTTTCTGTTCAGCCAGACGATTGTTTACATTTATATTGTGTTTTTTTTTTGTTTGCTCTTCATTTCCATTGAAAACCGGCCTTGTTGATCTGATTCGATTAACTCGGTAATTGTTTCAATATCATGGCAATTTATGGTTCCGGCTGATTAGACTTTGAAAACGGTGGCGCTAATCATTTGGAATTGGTAATTGTTTTCTTCAATCTCTCTGTATCTCGATTTTTCAACGAACAAAGAAACAATGTTTTTTTTTTTTTGTTGTACAATGTGTAAGGTGTGCAACATTTGTTTTTTTTATGAGTTTACTGATCTCGCGTCCAAATGAAATTCAGTTGCTTAAAATGCAGTGCCACATCTTATTTTCCCACTGAAAGAGATTTCGAAAGAATACTGTGCGGTATAATTAAATGGAATTGAGTCGTGGTATGAGTGGATCGTTCGTTTCAATTTCATGAGCGCACGCGTCATATTGTAGATAGATGATAACGATATAATCTCTCAGAAACAATATTCAAATGTAAAATATGTGATATGAATGTTAACCGTGAAAGTGAAAATATTTTTCCCCCATTGCTATTGGTGTGTATGTTTTTTTACTCTTTGAAGCATATATAATTGAATTAATACATTTCATGCCAGAGTGCGAATGAGAATCTTTATTTGTTAGTTGAATTTTTTGTGTTTAAGACTTTGAATGCGATTTCTTCCGATGCATTGATGTAAATCAATGAAACGGATAGTGAACATGCAAAAACAATAACAAAAAAACAAATCGAAAATTTTTCTGAAGATGCGATGCGTTCAAATCAATCAAATGTCAAGGAAAGAAAAAAAAATAATCAGTTTTCCGCTTTGAAATAGAAAAAAAAAACGCGCTTATTTCATTGTCGATACAAAAACATTTCCGGTTTAATGGGAAAATCCGATTAGAATGGAAAAATGTACTTGTGTGTGAACATGCTGTGAATCCTCGAGGGAAAAACACAGCGGTTGAAATTCAATTCAATTATATTTTGAAAATTACTTCATTTTGCATTCAACATGGTTTTGAGTGGTGTTTGAATGAAAAGAAAATGCCGTGAGAAAATCGCTTGATTGAAATTGTTTTGAAAGTGTCTATCAGCTTGTGAAATTTAATTAGCGTAAAACGGTGGCCGAATTTGTTTTTATTTATTTGGATTTTGTGTCCAAAATTTAATTAATGTTTGAAAATCAATGATTACATAAAATGAAAGGTATGTGGAAACAACGCTGAAGACTCTTTTTTTTCTCTAAGACACTGCCGAATCGAATGCGTGTAGCTTTTTTTTGTTGTGTCTTTCTCTCGATGTGATGATTGATATTATATAAATGGTTGCAATGAAACAATACACAATTTTTAAGCGGTGAAATAAAATTATAGTATCGACAAACAGACACACACACAAGCATGGAGACAGATCTAAAGATGGTACGTGCGATGCGCCACGGGGCCATGCGATCATCATTATCATCATCAGTGTTATTACCGCATAAAGGTCGAGTATTTAATAATCGAGTAGGCAGTAAACTTTTGTATGTGATGTGCGGTGTCCATTACCTCAAATTTAAAATAATAAATTTGTTTGTCCGCCGAGAGAAGAGAAGAAAAGACACGGCCGCTAATTTATGTATTTGTTAAACACATTAAATTAATGAAGATCAGATCGATCGTTACAACAACCTGGCAACCCATTTTCTATTTATAATAATGGCATGGAGCAAAGCATGAACAAACTTCGAAAGATGACATTTTTGTTGAATTTATGGATATTCGATAAACATATATGAGCGTTTTTTTTAAATATTATAAAATAAATGTGACTTACTCAGTGCATTGTTGATAATCTTTAAATCCAGATTCTAATGATGTGAAGTGTTGCAATTAAGATGATAAGTCCAGAACGGCAAAATATCAGATCACGCGTACACCAAGAATAACCCACTAGTTTAAATCTAAAGCAACTTTTTCTTTCTTTTAGACTTCTTTTCTTTCTCAACTGATAATAGATTTATCACACACACAATCTTTTCACTTGTCGCTTTTGAACTGGTTTTATTATTATTTTGTTCAGTGTGTATCCATATATTTTCTTTCTTATTTTGCTTTCAATCAAACACCACCAATTGAACGGCTGGTGCGCAAATTTTGCTTTCAATTCGATTTGTACAGATGAACAACAACAACAAAACTACTTAAATAAATCGCGTAGAAACTTCAAGTGAGTATCACACCGTCGATAATTTTTACACAATATTTTTTCTTTCTTGTTAAATTCACGTTCTTTGTTTTCCTATTATTATTATTTATTTTTTTATAGTAGTTCGCATATATCATAATATGCTTCCTCTGTATGGTTGATACACTGGTGCACACTTGCTTTCTTTCTTTTTTTTCGTGTGTTTCGTTTGTTTACTCGCTGCCGTACTGTTACTTTGGTTCAGTGAGAGACGCGAGAAAATACAAAAAAAAAACCGTCCGATCGCTTGGTTGGCGAGATTACGATTAAAGCATACCACGGCTCCGTACCATCGAAAGCCTTTGAGTGTTGATATTAACGGAGAGACACAAATTCATGCTGTACCGTATTTCACATATATGTGCATGTATGTATCCGATGAAAGTGAAGAGCGCACCGATCATTCGTAATAGATCGACCGACCAAATACTTCGGACCCACGCACACAATCACGGATCCATTCGAAAAAGAGTTGAAGTAAATAAAAGAAGAAAAAAAAAATATTCAAAGTCATTGGAATCGTTCAGGTAAACATTCGAATGGAAATTGAAATCTTGGAAATCTCTTCGTTTACTTTATTTTTATTTTTTATTTTATTATTTCTTGTCATCAATACATATGCAAGCGGTGCCGTACTGCACATATTAAGCAGAGTTGCGGCCATTGGCGCAACATACATTCACTTTGACCGTGTGTGGAAAATACGAATGATGTCTGTACATTTCACTGGTTTTTACTCTTTTGAGCCAATGCATTCATTCGACTGATAAATCTTGTCTAATGGCATTTGCAATATGTGCAATTTTTTCGGGTTGTTACTTTTGCAATTGTTGTTTTTTTTTTTCTTCTTCTTCTCTTCATTCACACTGCCGACATCACACATTAAGTGTGTGCATGATATGGGATTACTGAACAAGTTTTTTAACTCTCTTCTCTCTCTCTCTCTCTCTCGATCGCTCTCTTTCGCTTCGTCGAAGTGAAATTTTTATTACTCATAAATGTTGTGCACATTTGAATGACGATATTATTGTTGGCTGGTTGACTGCCTGATGGGGATTTATTGGTTTTTGAATATCTGGATGACATTTTTCTAGTCGATTGCAATTTGTTGCACATACCATTTTATAACGAAATGGAAAGTTGTTTAACGCAATCGCACACCTCACAATCGCAACACGTTGATAATAATTGAAATTGAATTGTATGAGAGCCGAGATAAATTGGCAGTCAGTGTGTTAGAAAGCCAGCATGTGATTCGTGACCAATGGCAGGCGCATATCGCACAAAAATTTATGCATAATCAATTTGGATGGGAGCTTTTATTTGTCATCTCATTTTCAATGAATGACTTTGTTTTAGTTTTTGCTATGACCAAAAACTCGTTAATTTTATATTTGCGTTCCGATTTATTGACAAACTCGTCTTCTTCATTTTTTTTCTGCAACACCAATCGATTACATTCAATAACACATTTTTTGACTCGTCGAACATGAACAAATATCAAATAGACCACGGTTTTTTTTATTCTTCAATGCAATTTTATTCGCGCTAAAGTACAAAGAAGTCTTATTTTACACCCATATTTTGTTAGGAAGAAAAATGCGAATAATTCAATAAAGTTAAACATTGCAAGTTTGTGATATTTGAGGTCAATGATAAATAAATCAACTCCATCTATTAAGACTTCACATTCTTGAATCTGAAATTGCCTTCATCGCCAGTTTTACCTATAGTTTGCGATTAATATTAAATGCAATTGTTGGTTTTTACGTGTGTTTATGCATGATTTTAACTTTTCGTCAATTCGGCGATAGCGATCTATAGCACAATTCCACAAGGCGGAGTCTTATTTATTCTATTTTATCAATTTTTTCTTCTATTTTTTGGCATTTAGAGTGTATTGTGTAATTTAATTCTTTATTGATAATAGCCCAGGTAATCTTCATTTCAGATAGATATACCAACTTGACTTTGACGGTTATGAAAATTACATAAATGCATCAAGGTGATTTATCGCTTTTTTATAGCTTGATTGTAATGGATCTGATTCATTGTATCGCATCAAAGGTTTCAAAAAGAGTCGATTCACTTGAATACGGGTTGTTGAGGAAAATAAAAATAATCCATTGAGACTTTATGAATGCGGAATCATTCATATTCCAATTCATTCTATGCGGACGGATTTTTTTTTATTGCATTCACTTTTACTTTCGAATATTGACATAAGAGCGCGTATTATCACGAAATTAGTTAACAAAAGTTCTTAACTTTTGGAATCGATGGATTAAATAAAACTTATGGCCAAAAATAACGTCACTTTCAACAAATTTACTCAATACATAAAAAAACGGCCATAATAATACTTTTTATTTAAAAAAATATTCCAAAACAGACTATTTTGAGATATTTTAATTAATTTAATATTTTATAAAGAAATAAAGAAATATTTTCAGCCAGCTGAATCAGATCAGGCTGCTATCGTCAGGAGCTGAAATGGAGTGAAAACGATAGAAGTGCTTCTATATTTCAGCGTCAGTTGCCTGAGCTGATTCATCCGGCTGAAAATATCTCAATACAATGTCTGTTCCAAAATTATAAAAAATGTCCATAAACATAGCAAAATTCTCATGTTTAAATCTAATTTTAAAAAAATCCAAAGAAGTTTTACTTTCATAAATATTTGTATCGTTTGTAAATAAAAAATATTGCTTCAACCAGACAATATATTTAGCTGCTGTCATCTGGATATTTCAGCTCATCTGGATGCCGTCAGCAGATGATGCGAAGTGAAAACAATAGAAGTGATTGTTATAGTAATACCAGTTTATAACAAGCTTATATACCTATAACAATCACTTCAATTGTTTTCACTTCGTATCATCTGCTGACGATATCCAGATGAGCTGTAATATCCAGATGACGACAGCTAAATATATTGTCTGGCTTCAACAAATTAAACAATAGATTACAAATGGAATGTGATTTATACATGTCAAAATCGTGGATGACAATTTCTTGCTTGTTTGAAACATAATTGAAGGAATAAAAAAATCAAATTAAGAAGTAATGATTAAATAAATCTTTCATATTAAAAGACAATTTTCGTTGTGCCCGATTAAATAATATTAAATAACAAGAGATATTTTTGGCGAATGTTACGTTTTATTCAATAATATTGTGTTTTAAACAAATATTTTTTTTGTTATTTAATTTTTCATCATTATAATATGCGTTTCATTTGTTTGATTCATTGAATGGTTTTGTACGCGAAAGTACAAAAAAAATTAAAATTGTGTATGTTAAAATTAAGATCACGATACTTAAATAACGATTCTCTAAGTAGCTTTCTTTTTTTTCATTCTCATCGTTTAGCTGGCTATCCGAAATAATCGTTAACTTAAAAATATTAATTCATTTACAAAAAATACAATATTTTACAAATTGACGTTGTTAATAAATTAAGGACTTGAGTATCTTGAAGCACTCCGACATTATTTTTCTTCTTCATAAATTCCATCGATTCAATAAGGGCAGAATCATTGAATTATTTTTGTTCGATTGAGGATACACATCAATTGCATTGGTTTCACTCTTAAATCAGTACAAAAAAATTAAGTGAAAAAAAACTTAAAGTTAAAAAATTAGATGCAAGCTTGAATTAGCTGAACTTAAATAAATAAAGTATCTTTCTAAAGATGAAATGCTTTTTATCTGCATAAATCATATCCCCATTGAATCGATAAAATTCTGAAAGATGTGTTTGTGTGTGTATGTGTCGTAACAGAACATCTAATTTAAAAAAGAAAACGAAACGTATGACTAATTGCTGTGGGAAAATGTCAGCATTTGGTAACGGAGAGATGAATTCTTCGATTATATTTCAGTGTTCATTTTTTTCTGTTAAATATTCTCATTATTATCACTTTGAATTCGTAAGCGATATCACATATTTCTCACTTCTCTAATACCAACACAGTTGCTAAGCTCAATTTGTTCCAACTCGTTTATAAAAACCATCGAAAGCAAAAAATCAATGTTGTCTTTTGTTTGTTTCAATGGTTTTGATAGATGAATGTTTGGTTTAAATTTATTCGCTTCTCGGAAAGTTAAATTAGTTTAAATGCAAATGACGATTCCAAAGAAGGCAAAATAAATTTAAAAAAATGATGAATCATACAAAAATGGTAAACTAAAAATCTCTCGGCTCTGTGTCCATTTGACCAAACAAATCGGATTTCGATAAGGTATTGGTAACATATTCCATTTGTAAATTGATTGGAATGCTGATTGTGCGGCTGTTGTTGCTGCTATTATTTCGTTAAATTGTGTGACCGAAGCGAACAAATCATGACGAACAAAATATTGAAATTGAATTCAAAACTGCACAAAAATCAACGAATCGCATGTGAAACGCATCGATGTTGTTTACACTGACAAACGATTGTCATCTTTTAGTTGAGCCACTTGCTTGTTCGGCATCGTTGTTTGTACCGGCAATTTTCGTTTGTGCTCTATGATTATGATGATGACCATTACGTTTGTGGGCGGCATTTTTATGACGATTACCACCGCGTCGTCCATATCCATGTCGGCGTCGATCATTTTCCTCATCGTCGTCATCATCTTCATCGTCATTTTTAACCATTGTTGCGTTTCGTAGCGCTAATGCAGCTGCCTGACGTGCTTGATTCATTTGCTGCTCGGTTGGCTGGGGTTTGCTTGTTTTTTTACTCTTTCGCGGTTGCTGCAAAAATTAATTATTCAAATGAAGGTGACACATTTAGAAGAAGAAGACAAAAAGAAAATGTCGTTCTTAATTTTACCTCTTCTCTGGCATCTTCACTTTGAATTGAGATCACATTTGTTTCATCTGTATTCGAATCAATGATTCCACCACGTGCCATTTGATGCATATACAAATTGGCCATACGCACTTGCAGCGTTTTCATTTCACTGGTCAATTCAAAATCGGGAGCATTTTGTAATTCAACTGGCTGCGCAGCATCACGTATTGGATCGGCATCTTTGCTTATTGATTCACGGCAAACGGGACAACTGGCCTATAACATTTAAATGATTTCAGTTTTTCTACTTCTTTAGTTTAGTTTTCTTTCAATTTAATTCAAGGACTTTATATAAGAAAACTTTGCTTTAAATGAAAAAAAGCCTGATTTTAAAAGCACTGCATATCAAATTCGATGCCATACCTGATATGGTTTAACAGTTTTCTGTTGCCATGTGGGCAATTTTTCCAGTTCTTCGTCATAATTATGTTTGGACGCGTCCAAATGACGAACCAAGCAATAGCTGTGCAAATAGTGATAGCATTCGGTTTTGGTGAATTCATCGCCCGTTTGAAATCCATATAAACAAACAACACACTGTCCCGATGGTAAATTGCTGTGCGTTAAATGCTCTCGAGTCACTTCAATCAAATCAAAAACTACCGGAGCACCAATTGATTCAGTGAGCTTTGCATCGATTGCACGACGAATGGATTCGATGCCAAAATCGTCCAATCCACGTGGATTGCGTAATTGATATTTTGGTTCAACATCTGGATAGCCCTTAGTAAACATCACTTGCAATGTTATGCAAACATATTGTGAATCAGTCTCTTCACCGACCGTTGGCAATACAATAGTTTCAATCATTTCCGGAATGCCACTAGCGCATTATAAATAAATAACATCGATTATATACATCCATCGAATCAAATAATTTGGCTATTTATACTTACGTTTCAGAATTTTTTGTTATTTTGACATCGTCCATCAAAATCGCCTCCAATGATTCGACTTCGTCCAAAAGACTGCATCCACCGAAATCAGATGAAGAAAAAACAACAACAAAAATCATTAAATTTCATTTCATGCTTTACATTAAAAAAAAGAACTACCGAAATCATTACATCGAATGTAATCATTATTATTCGTTTTCATTTGTGTAATGATTTATTTTAACAATTTTGAAATTGTTTGTTGCTTGCATTTGTACTTACGCATCCATTTTGCTGTATAAAATTCAATTTACGTTACAAATCTATCGGATAGTTGCGGTGGAAATGATTTAAAATTTTCAATTCAAATGGAAAATATGAAAATATCGACCACTGTTGACACCCCAAATTATTTTTCACTCTTTATCTACCTTTCGCGAAATTCGCTCGATTAGCTGGGCAAAAAAATGCGCAAAGATTATGCAGCAACAGCAGTTTTTTTTTTTTGCTTCAGTTGAATCTTACAAACTCAATCACAACAATATTCGAAAAGGATAAAAATGCAGTTTAGTGTGCGGCCAGGCCAAAAGCATCGATTTCGATTTTTCATGTGATCTCACTTCTACCAATGTACAAACACCATTATCGTTGTCTCTATCGACACAGTTTGTCTCGTGCATGCGTGTGTGTTAGTGCAGCCACTTGATAAAACTACACACAATAAACACAATATTATTGGACTTTTTTGCATTTGTGTTGAGCACTGACTGTTTGACTGAACTACGTTTTCACATGTATTTGTTTTACTCGGTCGATACGCAATTGACATTTACATTTTCACCATCGTCTCAAATAAAAATCAACATTCACACAATGTAGTGCAACAAAACCGCACTTATTCCAAATTAAATCACAATGAATGACGATATTTTGTTTTTATTGTTGAGTTTAAAAAAAATCTTTTTTCAAATTCAATTTCTCATACTAGGTAACTTTTGACACTTACAAACCAAATGTGAACCATCCATAATGAAATAGACACTATTTCACCACATCGCGCAATTAAATCCTGTTTTGGCGCCGAAATTCCAATTGGTCTTTTGTTGTCATTGTTTTGTTATACAAATAATAGAATATTTTCTCATTTTCTACCGTGAAATTTTCGTATGCATAAAAATGCCAATTTTAGTAAAAACGTAAGTAAATCAAAAGTTTTGGATTAGTTTTCATTTTCATATCATGTTATTGGGTTTGAATCGAATTTGTCTTTGTATGTCGATTTAGTATTTATGTTTTTATGAAGTTGAGGTTAAATCACCACGATACAAACGTCACTCGATTTGTGAAATTCACTGCATTTTCGCAGAGACAATTGGTGTTTTGTTATTTGGCTGCTGAAAAATCGCAAATAACACGCGTAAACTGTCCAATGAATTTTGTGAAACGGTTTTTTTCTGTTACTCTTTCGCATTTATAAGTGAAATTCGTTGGAATTTTTTCAACATAAACTATGGCTCCGCCAAAGAAATTTTCAAAAAAATCCGACTCATCCAAAGTTACCAATTCGGCTACTTCGTCAAAATATGGTAAGTTTTACAACATTGGTGGTCATGATTAAATAAATAATTCATAAAAAAAAAATCATAAAATCACAGATAAAAAATATCAAACGGATTTATATGGAGATGATGACAGTTCACAAAGTAGTCATGATGATGACGGTGGTGTGCCAGCTGCGGCTGCAAAAAATGCCGAAAAATATGACGAAGGTGTAGACGAAGATGAATATGGAGCAAAAGATTATCGTGCCCAAATGGAATTGAAAATTGATCACTCATCGCGACCACTCTGGGTTGCGCCCAATGGACACATATTTTTGGAATCATTTTCGCCCGTTTACAAACATGCACATGATTTTCTCATTGCCATTTCGGAACCAGTGTGTCGACCCGAACACATACATGAATACAAACTGACCGCGTACAGTTTGTATGCGGCTGTTTCAGTTGGTTTGCAAACAAATGATATCATTGAATATTTGAAGCGTCTGAGTAAAACATCAATTCCACAAGGTATCATTGAATTCATTCAGTTGTGCACATTGTCATACGGAAAAGTTAAATTGGTTTTGAAACACAATAAGTATTTTGTTGAAAGTCCACATCCAGAGATTTTACAAAAGATTTTAAAAGATCCGGTCGTTCAGAGTTGTCGACTAAAACGCACCGAAGATGGTGATGGATTCATTGTTGATGCACAAGATAAAACCAAAACCAATTTATTCAATCAAAAAACACAAAACAATACGGTGACCGGACAAACCGATGACAAGACAATAACGGCCGTCGATGGTGCAACCATTGTTCCCGATGACATTACCAACTTTTACGATAAAATTGATAACGAAGAAGATGAGGAAGCTCTCAATTTGAATACGGTATCATTTGAAGTGAATCAAGAGAAAATTGAAGTGCTACAAAAACGATGTATCGAAATTGAACATCCATTATTGGCCGAATATGATTTTCGTAATGATACCGTTAATCCGGATATAAATATGGATTTAAAACCAACCGCCGTTCTCCGGCCATACCAAGAGAAAAGTTTACGAAAAATGTTTGGCAATGGACGTGCCCGGTCGGGAGTTATTGTTTTGCCATGCGGTGCTGGTAAATCACTGGTAAGTTGATTTTTAAAAAAAAGTGATCATTTGATTTCAATTAGATGTTTTGGAATACAAAAACAATAACCATTTGTAATTTTCTTTTGGCTTACAATCAGGTCGGTGTCACCGCATGCTGTACGGTACGCAAACGAGCACTTGTGCTGTGCAATTCGGGTGTATCGGTCGAACAATGGAAGCAACAATTTAAAATGTGGTCAACGGCTGATGATAGTATGATTTGTCGATTCACATCAGACGCAAAAGACAAACCAATGGGCTGTGGTATTTTAGTTACAACGTATTCAATGATAACGCACACACAAAAACGTTCATGGGAAGCCGAACAAACGATGCGTTGGCTACAAGAACAAGAATGGGGCATCATGGTACTCGATGAGGTACACACCATTCCAGCGAAAATGTTTCGTCGTGTATTGACCATTGTGCAAAGCCATTGTAAACTCGGTTTAACCGCCACCCTATTGCGTGAAGATGATAAAATTGCCGATTTGAACTTTTTGATTGGGCCCAAATTGTATGAAGCCAATTGGTTGGAATTACAAAAGAAAGGTTTCATTGCACGTGTACAATGTGCTGAGGTTTGGTGTCCAATGAGTCCAGAATTTTATAATGAATATCTCACAACAAAAACATCGAAAAAATTATTACTCTACGTAATGAATCCGTCAAAATTCCGGGCAACACAATTTCTCATCAAATACCATGAGCAACGTGGTGACAAAACCATTGTTTTCAGTGATAATGTGTTTGCGCTGAAACATTATGCCATCAAAATGAATAAGCCATACATTTACGGTCCCACCTCACAAAATGAACGAATTCAAATTTTGCAAAATTTCAAATTCAATCCAAAGGTCAATACGATTTTCGTGAGCAAAGTGGCCGACACAAGTTTTGATTTGCCCGAAGCCAATGTACTCATTCAAATTTCATCGCACGGTGGTTCACGGCGTCAAGAGGCACAACGTTTGGGACGTATTTTACGTGCGAAAAAAGGTGCCGTCGCTGAAGAATATAACGCATTCTTCTATACATTAGTTTCACAAGACACAATGGAAATGAACTATTCACGGAAGCGTCAACGATTTTTGGTGAATCAAGGCTATAGCTATAAGGTGATCACACATTTGGCCGGCATGGATAATGATCAAGATCTCTTTTATAAATCGCGCGAAGAACAAGGACATTTATTGCAACAAGTTCTTCAAGCTTCCGACATTGACTGCGAAGACGAACGTGTACCGGGCGAAGGTGGATTCTCGGGAAATCGAGCTGGTGTCAAACGAACCGGTGGCTTGAGCTCCGTATCGGGTGGCGACGATGCTGTTTACTATGAACAACGACGCAAAGCGGCTCATAATGTTCATCCTCTTTTCAAAAAATTCCGCGGATAATTTTTTTTTTCGGTTAATTTTCACATTAAATTCACATTTACATTTATGGCCTTTTTCTATATAAAATCAAATAAAACGACATTTCGAACAAAAAAAATGACATTTTTGTAGTTGTTTTAATTTTCTTGCTTTCTTTTCTGCAAATATTATTTATATTTTTTCTGCGTTGTTAAAAATAAACAATTTTTATTCATTGATTCGATCCATAGAAAAAGCGATAGTGGCCTTCAAGAATGGGGAATCGTTGAGCTTCAAGGCGATTTGGAAGTGCGTGGTGATGAAAATATGGAGAATCAATTCATTGGCGATTTGAATTACGATAAATATGGACAGCCAGTAAGCATTTTCTTTTGATCTTTCTCTAACTCTCAATGTCTTGTCGTCACACTGCTTGATTGAAGGAAATCCAAAAATTATGTATTTCAGTTAGCTTACCTTTATTTTAATATTTTTTATATTGATCCTTATCGAAAATATAGATTTTGATCATTGGTCATCATATTTTGCATGGAAAAGAGCAGAAAATGGAAAAACCATATGCTGTAATGGAAAAAGTTGTTCACGACGCAACCGAATCGGAAGAAATTGACTTAAATCAAACGTCAAATTTAGATACAACAGCCAATCGTACCGTTCTCGATTCCACAATTGCCATTGAGCACAAGAGCCAAACAACAACAGAATATCGTGTTCGAGCAATTGTTCGCAAGAAATTGGTGTTCAAAACACGACCGAAACCTATCATTGCTAATGTTGCTAAAACTGTTTGAGAATAATACTTCCAGTAAAATATTTTTTTTTTTTACTTTAATTGAACAACATCGCATTTATTTTGATTTCGAAAAAAATAAACAGTTGCACAAAGTTGGCGTTTTCGTTTTTATAATTAGAAAGAAATAAATCAATTTAAATTAAATAATAATAAAATAAAATCGAATCGTATCGGTTTGTGTTTTTGTTTGTGAAAATCCTGCAAAAGAGAATGTTGAAATAATAATAATAATTAAAAAATTAAAATATTTTGATTTGATGATGACAATGATGATTAGATAGATTTATAAAAATTCCATTTCACGTTCGATGCCAACGAATTTCAACTGTTCCGTTGGACCGTATCTGTAGTCGAAGAATAGTTCTTCGCCCGGTTGAATGGCGCGTTTGGCAAATATTCCAATGCGATGATCGCCATTCACCATCATAACCTTTGCATAACAATTTGGATTTATCGAATGATTTGCAAAGCGAATTTTGTTTCCTTTGCGTGTGGCATCCACAACAAAATCATTATTCAAATTGAATAAGAAACTGCACATATATTTATCATAAACTTTTCCCCGGCGATCGGCTTCCTCTTGTGAAATGATCTCACCGCAATATTCGGAAATGAATTCATTTTTTTGTGCGCTATCTTTTAGGAAAATGCCCCAACCGGCAACATCGGATGGTGCCATTAATAAATGCTTATGTAAGCCACGCTGTACGCTGACATTTTTGCATGTAATTTTTGTCAAATTAAATTGATCAGCACCACATGTTTGACACAAATCCGGATCACATTCACGATCGGCCAAATAACATGGACATTGCTTTGTGTTACATTGTGCCTTGCAACGGCAACCCGGAAAACGATTTTGACATTCACTATTACAATTACAGAATTTTTCACAAAAGTTTTCGGTTTGAATGCATGTACAGGAATCATCACATGGCCCTTTATGGTCGCATGGCGAGAAATTATATACAGGTTTCGAAACCGAATCTTTACGGAATGGTAATTTTCGTAACCATTGCTTTTGACGATACTTCTTCTTTTTACGCGGCTGTGCATAGTCCAGTGATATATCTTCCGGTGGCATATCGGCCATTTCTTTTTGACAAAACTCGTACACCTGTGCACACATCGATGACAAAACAAATGGCATTTAAATTAAGGAATCGATAAAGGCGGGGAGGAGGGGACTTACCTGTTGACATGTTTTTGTGAGCATTGTTTGAGCAATTACACAGTAATTATTTAGAAATACTTTATGCAATGCACGAAATAGCGATTGATCGGATCCAGTCCATTCACATTCATCATTTTTGGTGCACAATAATTCTACCAATGATGACATATCATCGGTGTTTGTTGTCGACACAGATGGACCATCTTTTGTTGCTGGCCCAGTAAAATCTTTGCTACCGCTACTATTGCTGTCGTTACTATCTTCAGAGCTGGCCTCGTTGCCAGAATCCATGGGTGGCGTTTTAGTCTTTGTTGCAGCCAATTTTTCCTTCATTCCATCCTATTTGGAAATATATTTAGATATAATGATAATTCATATACTGAGTCTTTTGATCAAAACAAAACTAAATTCTAAAATTGAAAATAAGCCATACTAACCAAAAGCATGTAACAGCTACTGCTGCATGGTTCGCTGAACGGTTTCAAATCCATAAAACGACGTCTACTCAAATTTGGACCCGGATGACATGCTTGCAATCCTATTTTACAAAATTAACATTAATTCATTGTGTCCCTGAGTCAACTTAAATGTTTCAAATAGATGTTTTTAAACTGAAAAATGTGCATGAAACTGAAGAAATCAAAAATAAATGTTCAACCAAAATTAAAACAATTCAAATGAAAACAAACAAATAAAAAGTTGATAAATGAATGTGTAAATATAGCATATATCAGTAAGAGCCATGAAAAAAGGGCGATCACGAGAGTTTGATTGAACCAAGTTAAAAATGATTTTTGACTTATTCATTTTGATTAGCCGCGCAAATGAATGGATTTTTGTTGAAAATAATGAATGATTTGAACTTTTCGGTTCGATAATCAAACCGATTTGCTTTATTAACGATATCATTTTAATGTGCGAATATTAAAGTAATTTTAGATGTTAAAACTGATATGCTTCGCTCGATGAAAATCCACATTCCGACAAAATATTCATCGAGTCAAGTCATGTATGATGATAAAAAAAGGTGGATGAGGAAAATAAATAAATATCTATATATGATATGATTGGATGAATGTGACAATGAGTATGGTTAATGAGAGAGGTTATGTTTTATGCACGGGTTGCTGATTTTTTTTTAAGCCGCATCGAATAAGTGAAATTGATCATTTGTTATATAGCCAATGGGCATGAAGCGAACGCTATGTTGAAAGGTGCAAAAACAAAATTAAAACCAAAAAAATGTCAAAAGAAACGAAACCAAAATAATAATAAAAAGAAACGACATTGTGCAGAAATGTCAAAAACAAAAGAGTATAATGATAAAATTGATCTCAATTATGAATCGAAGAACAAAAGATAGCCAATTTGATGAATAAAAGAAAATCAAATATATTCGAAACTGAAGAGAGAAAAAAAAGTATATTGATTTGGTGCTAAAATTAAGTTCACTGCATCAATAAAACTCACCATGAAGTTGGTGGCCTGTATGTTGTGGTTTTTTTTAGATTCAAGTTGAGAATGGGGAGGTTTTACGTTTTGTTTCACATGTGCAAAGTGTTTTGTTTGTTTTGGAGGGGAATAAGAACACGCACACATTTGTGTTTTTTTGTTTTTGTTTTTGGTACGAAAAGCGGAAAAAAATATATGGTGAAGAAAGAGATTAAAAACATGTTTATTTACACACATACAAAAACACACACTGCACAAATCGAGAATCAATTTCCGCAGTTGTTCAGCACAAGCTAACCACTTTTTAAATCGAACTAAATACAAAATATATACTTACGATGCAAGAAGCAGTCATATTTGAAACAACGTCGACAAAACAGTGTATGATACGAATGCAATGTTTGTTCACGTGATACATTTTCGGCTTTGGGACCATCAATGTTTGGCGTACACTCTGGTGGTCGATCTGGATCGATGCGTTCGGTTAATTCTATGTATCTGATTCATGAAATGAACGCAAGAAATTTAGTTGAAATAAAATGAATAGTAAAAAAACAACGGGTGTCAAAGAAATGTCATACTTTTCTCTTAAATCATCTTTTGTGCCTTTGTCTGGAAATTGTTCGCTGATTGCTTCAAAAATGCCCCAACATGGGAATGGTTTTTTGTCATTACTTTGATCGTCATTTGCCCAAGATGGCAATGCTTTTTTATCGGTTATTGACGATGTTGATTCGTTTGCAGTCGATTTACCGGGTTCATCTTTATCGTCGATGTCCATTGGTGTATCGGTTGATGTTGTTATTGGTGCCGGTGGCGGTGGTAATGTATCGTTCTTTTTCGGTGTACTTTGTTTCTTTGTATTTTTCTCATCAGTCGTGCTACCGATTGATGATCGACCGCGTAATTCACGTGTTGAATTTTCACGACAATCACCATTGTCTTTTCCGCTTGGCTCTTGATAATTTAACAATGCATTTACCAATTCGATAAATGAAAAATCGTCCAAATACCCGTTATCCTTATCGCCATGCACACGACCATCATAGTTTTTAATCAGTTCTTCGATAAATGTACCGTCTTTATCAAGCACTTCGTCACCCATATACGGAATATTATGAAGTTCAGTTTCATCTTCGACCATAAAATTTTGTTGGGTCGGTGCCCACATATACATTGTGGGTATCGGCGTTACCGCCGGTATTGATCGTATTGGCAAACGTTGAACCGAACCTATTTTCGAAAACATATTCATTTTTATTTTGTATTGATTTTGTGTCTTTGTTTTGTTCTTATGTCTTCAAATGCTAATTACTCAGTTATATTAACATAACCTTTGTCGTTATTCGTGCCATTGTTCATTTTCCTATTCCGTTTTTTTCCGTTTTCGTTCTCAAATTGAACAAAAAAAAAACAGAAAAATGTAAAACATTCTACTTACCATCAATCGAAACGACTTCGGCTCGTTTCATGGAATTCACATGAGGAGGATCAACGCATTTTGTGTCCATGCTTAAGACCGATGTTGTCCATTCACTTTGATCTTGTTCTTCTTTAGCACGAAGTTTTGTGCTGCAAATGAAAGAAAAAAAACAAAAGTCAAAACTTCACTTTCGTCTCACTCACCGGAATGGCAGGTAATTTCCCTTTCGTTCACTTACAAGTTTTCATGCCATGCCATTTTCGCTTCATCAGCTCGCTTATGTCGTTTTTGTTTGCATATCAATGCATATTCCGATTTGACTCTTCGTTTCCAGTCAACACCAACTTTACCACTATTATTTTTTGATGCCATTTTTTATTTATCTGAATTTGTGTGTCTGTTCGCACTCGTACACTATTCTCACTCAAACTAATTATTAAACTATGGCAGCAACAAAATTGAATATTTTCTACACTGTACTTATTACAAAATGTTTTTTTTTTTATCAAAATGAAAGTGCAAACAATCAAATCGTATGTGTGAAACAGAAGAACGAAAGAAAATAAAAAAAATAACACACAAATTATGTGTGTTGTATTTAAACGTGGTTTCTTTGGTGATTGAGATGGTTGGTGTGCGCTAGTCAAAACTAAGCGTCTTTCTTTCAATATTTTCCCGCAAATAAATGCAACACACAAATGACATTTGGGTCTTGTGTCGTCTCCGATAATATGGAATTGGAGTATAGCGCGCGTTCATACACATATACACAGCCACACAAACATAAATCGCTGGGCGTAGGTAATGGTTGTATTGTTTATGATGCTGTCGCCGAAGTAAAAAAAAAACACGACACTGTATGTGTGTTACTTTCGTTGCATGTATGCGAGAATGTATTTGAATTGATTGTCTTTGTTTGTTGTGCCGTATTGGCATTGTGTTAGTGCATGTGTTTGAAATGAAACAAAAAGAACCAGCCTGTCACACAACTCGTCGAATTGGTTTGCTGTTTTTTCTCGCTCTCACACTGAAATACGTGCGATTGAATACATTTGAGAATTGTTTCGTTTAATTTTTCTGTCTGAATCCATATCAAAAAGTCAGTTTATGTTTCTCGTTGGTTTTAAAAGTTTTGTGTCAACGTTTCGATTGAAAAAATAAATAAATTCAGTTTGCTGGTCGTTGATATTTCAGAGGTAATTCATTTTTTGGCTAATACTAAGGGGGTTGACATTTTTTTTTGCATTCATACTTGAGCACAAGTTATATGGCATATTTCACTGCTATTCATTCGTTCACTTCATATTAAAAAAAAAAAAAGCTAGATAATATTGCAAAAAAGTAATCATATTTCAGTTTTTTTCACTATCGCCCTCTCGAAGGCATTACGAACATGAAATTTTGAACATGACAGTTGCTTTGGGCGATGAATAACAACAACAACAACAAAGCTTGCATTTCATTTTTCACACATAGCCAAAAATACCGACAATTAGCAACAACAACAACAAGAGGCAACAGCCAGTGACGGTATTGTATATGAAAACCCGATACATGTATTCGCTTTCATTGAAATCACAATAAAACAGAGAGTGTAACAGAGAAAGATAGCGAAAATTGAAAGAATAGAGCATATGGTTTTGGTGTGTTGTTCGCGTTGTATTGTTATAAACGCTATATCCAGAGAGATAAAAAGCGGAGAGAGAATAAGACGACAAAAATTCGCTTAAGAATAACATATACGGAATATTTTATATACGCTAAAAAACGAAGACAGTACGTCCGTACCGAAGGCAAAAAAAAGAACAGCAACGCGAAAGTAAATATTAAAATCGCATACATATTGCGAATTTTTGCAACATTTTTTTTTGTTTTCTTTTTCTTCTGTTTTGCATAAAGTGTTGAAAGTTAAAAAGAACGATAGAAATTTGCTTGTTGCTCATCTCGGTTAGTTTGATTAAAAAAAAAACACTTTTTCTTTTTCTAATTTTATTCTGTTTGTTCGTCATTTTGGCGTTAAGTAAATTCTACGAAATAGTATATATGGTTTGAAAACATTGTTTAAATTCATGTGTGACTGTAAATAAACAACAAAAAGAAGTACGATTCGTTTATATATATTTTTTGTTCACTCCTCGTTTGTATATTCATGTACACTCACAAACATTCATTGTCGACAAAAGTTTTATCCGGTTTTGCTTATCGTATTGACGAGAGTGTATCGACGACAATAAAATAAACAATTGACACTTGAAAAAAAAAAGAACATAACGCAGTGTTACGATCAAATTCATCTTTTTTTGCGTCGTATTCGGAGAAGAAATCTTGGAAACAGAACCGAATAGAAGAAAGAAAAGTCCACGGTCTTTTTTTTTTTTGAATTCTGGAGTGCGTTAATAGGTCAGAAGCGTGCAATATTTGATTCAACGAAGAAAATAAACCGAATAAAATGCGAAATGCGACAGAAAAAAAGATCCATCCGATTATCGGACTCCGATAAGCGTTTAGTATGTTTGATGGATACTTAAAAAAAAAACGTGTTTCATTGTTCCGTGCGAACGGTTTTTCAAAACGTCTTTGATCTTAATGGTGTCAAAGGATTTGTTTCGTTCATTTTATTTTCTCATTTGTGCATATCATAGTTAATATGTAAATTATACTACGGTTGCAATCTGTGGCACAGAAGTTCGTGCAAAATCATTTTAATTAGTTCGATTCATCGAACTGGCAGCACACAAACACTAATATACTTCATTTTTTGTTTGATCAAATAGCATGCTGTAAAATTCACTTCGCTAATGCATGCTAATAACATAAAAATGCTAACACAACAGCTAACCAGCCAGCAAAGAAATAATTGATTTGACTTTAATTAAACGAATTAAACTTAGAGTGAGAATGTCAAGATAGACACAACATAATTTTGTCTGTGTATGACAAAATAATAGGCCGCTGAAATGACACAAATAGTGCGACTAATCATTAAAAAGACAATGTATATAATTGCAGGCAGTGCACAAATTCAACAAGAATTTCAGATAAAAGGCGAAAAATAAAAATGAATTGTGCAGGGGTCATTGGATGTGGTTTCGTTTAATTGGATTTTTTTTTGCTCGTTCAGTTTTTTTCTTGTATACCGTTTCGAACCAATTCCAGATGAAAATCGTAATTTTTGGTCGTTAAATTTCGTTTGTGTCGTGCAGTGTGTGCGCTTTTATTAGTGCGACTGAATGTTGTGGGTATGCATTCGGCAATTTCATCGGTGTATGGTCGCCAATATCATTATTTTTTTTTTCACTTTCAGATGACTAATCGCTATAAAATAAAGTTAAATTCAGTGTATTTGTCATGATCTATTCATTCAACGAAAATGGCGAATTGTTTTTGTTTTCGCTCTCTTTCAATTCAATTCTATTTCGAATGTGTGTAAACGTATCAAACATTTTAAATCATATGAATAAAAAAAATGTTCGTCCGTTTGCGAGTAGATGACGAGGCCAAAGGAAAACAAAAATTTTAACGGTTGAAATATTCACAATACTTGATAGCCGTTTTGGCCATATCAATGTGACAAAGAGAACAAAGCCGAAAAGTGATTAAAAAAAATCACATATATAACACCAACATCGTACGAAAATGACGGGAAGAGAAAAAAATGTTATCGACGTCGTCGAAGCCATCGTCTTTGTTGTTGTGTGTGAACGCATTTTTGTTTATACTCTCTCGTTCGCCCGTACCACGGAATATTTTTTATCGTATCGTAGAGAATAGCATGGTTTCGAATATGTGTCTATGTATGCGTGTATTGTAAACAGAAAATGGATAAAAATAATATGAAATTAAGTAGAATTTAAGTGATTCACTGTGCTTTTTTTGTTCGCTTTTTTTTGTCTTTCGGTCTCTGTTTGCCATTCATTTTATTACGGTGCGTGAACATTTTTCATATCACAAATGAAAAAAAATTTGGATTCCGTGGACCTAAGGAAATATTACCATTTTCCCATTGCTCTGTCTCATCCAAATGGAAATTATGACAAAATTATTTTTTTGTGATATTATTTATGAAACGCCGAACACTATGGCATTTCCGACTGGATTTTTTTTCATAGAAAATCAAGTGAACAGAACTTCACTTTTTACACTATTATTCGCTTGATGAATGAACATTTTTAACATTCTGCTTTTTCTCATGCATTTTTTTTCGATTTATCATTCTATTGCAGCATTTAAAAGAAGAGAATATATATTGGGCTTATCAGCTGTAGTTAGAAGAAAAAAAAAACGAAACGAAAGGACAAATTGCAAATATGTCAAACGATAAGGAAGTTAATGTAGATAATGAGAATGAAAACGTTGAAGTTGAGTCTAGCTACCAGCCGCCACCACAAAAAACGATCGAAGAAATCGTAGCCGCCGATCAAGAAGACGAAAGTTTGCGTAAATACAAGGAAGCACTATTGGGAGCCGCTCAATCTGAAAAAATTATAGTCGGTAAGTAATGTGATGATAATATTATTATGATCAAGAACTGTCAATATGAAATATCGATTGAAGGCGACGAAAAATGGGAAAATACAATTGGGCAAGAGATAAAAAAAAACGTTTGAGCAAAGGAATTTCCCACATATTTTCTACTACATTATTATCGAAAAGAAGAGAAGATCGTTGAAAATGCTTCAAAAACTAAAATAAAAATAATATTTTTTTGAATAAATCAAGCAGTACTGCATTGATCCAATTCAATTTGAATTTCCCAACTGTAAAAATATAACTAACGCCTATATTTACACATTTATTTCCAATTCAGATGCAACTGATCCACGTAAAGTAATTGTGAAGAAGCTGGCACTGTGTGTGCCCGGTCGAGATGACATGGAATTGGACTTGACGGGCGATATAACCAAATTGAAGAAGCAAGTATTCACAATTAAAGAAGGTGTTCAATATAAAATTCGCATTGATTTCGTGGTGCAACGTGAAATCGTACATGGCTTGAAATACGTGCAAAAGACTTATCGATTGATGGTGCCAGGTCAGTTGCATCACTTTTAAAAAACTCTTGTCTTTGAAGAAAAAAAAGCTAAATTTTTTGTGTAATTTTCAGTTGATAAAATGACACATATGGTCGGCTCATATCCACCAAAAACGGAAGTGCAAAGCTACACAACACCATTTGAAGAAGCGCCAAGCGGAATGATCACCCGTGGTACATATTCAGTTACTTCACTTTTCACCGACGACGATAAAAATGAGCATCTCAAATGGGACTGGAAATTCGAAATCAAAGAGGATTGGTAAACAATTTGAAGATGAATATGTCGTATCGTCGTATATAGCTTTTGTCAAAAATGCCAAGAAAAAACGTGAGGCATTTGTTTCAGAAGCTGAAAAGCTATTCAACTAGAATTCCGCTACTTAATATGATATAAATAATTAATTTTATGATTAAGCCATTTGAATGAACAACAAGCAGAAGAGAAAAAGAAAACAGTACGAACAACAAAACAGTAACAAAAACAATATCAGCAAACAGAAGAGATCAGAGATAAAAATTAATAACTAAAATGAAAAGCAACTAAGTATTATATTGTAAAATTGTAATTGAACAAATCGAAATGAACAAAATGGACGGCTTGCCATTTTCAGCAATGTTTAGCTCTAAAAATGGTTAAAGCGCGTGACCGCCGGCGCTTTTCAACGCACTTTTCCATGGGAAAATAATTCTTCCGATTTAACAAACCAAAAAAAAATATGAAATGTCGATATCTATAAAATGAAGAACAATTTTTTTTTGAAGAATGTAACTAAACAAAAATCAATTATATTGTGTAATAATATTGCCTTTAATATCGCTTAAAACAATCAAATATTGCTCTAAAATTCATATTTCAATCGACTCATTGTACTTTTCATTTATTTTTGTGTCTTCTAAAATTAACATTAACGTTCTCTTTTTTTCTTTTGATAAGTCAACCATTTTACAAGTAGTGGTACGAACAAACAACTAAAATGATTTATTATTGTCAATGATATAGATATTTTTGTTTTGACAGTGCATGCATCCAAGATTTAAATAAATAAAATGCATGATGAAAAGAAGCCAACAAATAAATTACATGCAATAGGAGATCCTTATGATAGTTTGTAGCTTCATTGTCGAATTAAAAATTAATTATAATAATAATGATAACAAGGCAATTTTTCTCGATCTTTTCAATTCCATTTTCCAACATAAATTTTCTGTTAAATTCAGTGATTGTCCATAAATTCATTTGCTCATCGCATTTCGAAATTACTTTATATTTGAAATATGTATTTTATACACACTTTTTTTCGAAACGCAAAAATAAAACATTTTTTCTTGAATTAAAAAAAAAAACAAATTTGCTACAAAAAAATGAAATAAATAAAAAATAAAAATAAATCGTTTTTTTTATTTTTACAAAATATGTTGAGACCCATTTAAAAAAAAAATACCAAAAATTTTCGTCGAAGAACGTCAAAATAAAATCAGTTAATATCGGTAATTTCATTACAGATTCAAAACTGAACATAACCTCAATTCTCAACATTGACATTTCATGTATGCACAAATGTTAGATATTTATAAAACCAGAGACGTCAAGAACAGATGCAGTGACACAATTTTGTAGAAAAGTAATTTAACGAAATCGGCAAGTTTAAAGAAAAAATATCTATTAAAAAAGTACAGAAAAATGGCTGACTTAAGCATGGTGAAGAAGATTATAATATCTTTGATGAATCTCCATCCAAACGGAGTGGCTGCCGACAAACTGGACAAACAATACAAATACCAAGAGGGCCATTTGATTCCCTTTGCTGACTACTCATATCTAAGTCTATGTTCGTTTTTGCAAGAAGAACTTGGTAACAATATTAAAATTGTACAAGAAGGATTCGAAACTATGTTATATCCAATTGCAACGGCAAATTCAGCACATGTCATGAAATTGATTTCGCACCAAAACAACCAAAATACGAGAAGACCAACCCAAAGGTAAGATTAAAAACCACAAATGAAAATTGCATTCTTAACTGGATTTTTATCACAGCTAGCGGTATGCAAACGATGCTTATGGTATGCATTATAACAACAAAGATATTCCGTTAGAAATCTACGGGTGCAAATGTGTTTTATTTAGTCATTTTAATAATTGTTATGAGACAAAACAATACAAAAATGAAGTATTTATTTTCGAACACAATGCACTGCTATTTATACAAGACGAAAATATATGAAAACAAGAGAGTCAATTCAGAAAAAAATTGTGATATGGTCATTGAGATTTGTTTACCAAAGAGATGAGAATTTTGTATTGCCACTGTATCAGTTTAGATGTTATGTTTTAATTATTCAACCGCTTTGGAGACGGTGCATAAATGCCTCTATATTTTCAATTTACGATCTCTCATTAGGTAAAATAGTGTCGCGTTCGCTTAGAGATAAGCTTATATACACAAGACTGCAATATAACGTAAACCAAAGAAATTTGAGGAATACAGAACTTATTAGAGTACGAATGTTTACAGCTGAACATGCACATAGTCAACCATTTTACTTGGCGTGTAGGAATTTTAATTTAATAAGAGAAACATTTTTGGAATCGGCATCGAGAAGCATTTTTAGAAATAGTATTGTTAAATTGGACAATTTGTTATTTAATATTCGGTAAAATAGACTAAGAAAAATTGTGTTATGAATATAGTAATATACAATGAACACAGTCGATATCTGCTGCTCCGAAGTCGAAAAGACTGGCGGCTGGTACTCGATCGGGTAGTGTTTTATTGCAAATGAAATTGTAAATAATTGTGATAAAATCAGTCTGTGATCAGACGGTGAATAAATAAATAATAATAAAATAAATAAAAAACAAATTGCATGCGGGTGACATCAGCCGAATGATTTTCAACCTTTGAGATGTTTTCGATGTTTTTGGTGTTGATATATTTTTTCATATGTATAGAGAAAAATAGTGATTTTGAGCATGATAAGTTTAAAGAGGTGATTTGAAATGATCTTTTCAAGTTTCACATTTAAAAAACATTTTTGAAATTGTAAAAGATTTTCTTCAATTACATCAACCACTTGTTCAAATGGACTGATTAATTGAGTTTCATCTAAAATAAACATATATACGAATGTGTACCATACATTTTATTGAATTTAAAATCAAATATTTTATCATTACTAATACACATTTTGGTTTCACAGAAGATACAATACACCATCATCAAGTTTCCAAGAAAATTCAACGACGTACAATGGACACTGTTCAAATCAAGCAGAAGAGTCGAATTATCATCGAAGAACACAACCAAATGGTTCACAAAATCGCTCGCCAACAATGCCGCGTTTGGTTGAATATCGACCATTGAGAAACGGTCGAACAAACGAACAATACAATCAGGTTTGTTTTCTCTTTCGCACACGTTACAACATATAAAGTGACAAAAAAAATTCTCTTTACAAAAGATGCTGCAAGAAAAATTACTGCAGAGCGAATATGCGCATCTATCGCGAGAAAGTCAAAGTCATTACAATGAACAAACATCAGACAGACGTTCAATGTACAAACATAAAGTGCAGCGGTTGGATGAATATCGACCATTCAGAAACAGTCGAACGAGCGAACAATACAATCAGGTTTGTTTTCTCTTTCACACACGTTACAACATTTAAAGTGACATTTAAAAAATTCTCCTTACCAAAGATGCTGCAAACAAAATTACTGCAGAGCCAAGATGCTCATTTACCGCGAGGAAGTCAAAGTCATTACAATGAACAAACATCGAGTGATGCCTCAGCATTTAATGACAGACGTTCAATGTACAACGATAAATTGCAGCGGTTGGTTGCAAAGGCACATGACAGACAAGAACGATCGACTGTCAAAAATAACATATATACCTGTGTACCGCAAGTAAGTGTAAATTAAGGTTAAAATTAAACAAGAAATGAAAACGGGAATTTCAAAGTACTTAATGTAATTGACAAAAAAAAATCACAGCCACACACATCAGCAATGTCATTGAATTACAAATCATTATCGAATAACCTTCCGACGATGAGCTCAGCGCAAAAACCCTCAAACAGACCAAAAGAAGAGGTAGTTTGGGATTCATCAACTGAAAACATTGGAAAAGAGAATGAATGGGATGATTATGTGGAGAAAGCAAAACCACCGACGGTCAATAAAGCCAGCTCTGACGATTACTGCGGCGTATCGGATATTGACAACTCGCCACCATCGGAAACATCCGAAGAAGTAATGCGAAAGAAAATGGCACATTGTTGGTTTTCGGACAGCGAAGAAGAGGATTACACTGATATAAAGAACATTTCAAGTGAAATCCACGCCGGTGACACGCTTCCTGTACGCATCTCAGATGTCAACAATCCATTGAAGTTCTGGGTTCACGTTCGATTGCCCAAGTATAAAGACGACATTAATAATTTGTATAAGGAAATGGAGTAAGTAAACATTTTGATGATAATCAATCATTACCATTGAGATGAAAAGTATATTCATTAAAAAAAAAACTCAATTTTTCAGTGAATTTTACAAATTGAATCGCCATTCGGATGAGTACAAAGTAACCGATCCAGACGAGCAAGGCAAACTGTATTTTGCTGCTTACTACAAAGATCAATGGCATCGTGTTGAGGCGATCGATGCGCAAATGGGCGAATCACAAAAAGTACACACATAACCTCAAATTAATTGTTGTCGCAAAACTAAATGGACATTATTTGTTGCAGGTGTCATTCATTGATCATGGTACACGGGATACCATCAACATAAGTGATATGCGACAATTGCCGAAAAAGTTCTGGAAGTGTCCAAAAGCGGCTTTGTGCTGCGCATTGGGCAATATCAAACCAAAAGGTAAAACATTTGACAGCGCGAGTGCGAAAGCTCTTATACAGATGGTTGATAATGAAAAAAAGATGTACGCAAAAGTCCTGGACGTAGATTATGCGGTAAGTGTACAATTAAGAACAATTCGATTTCACATAATTCGAAACCAACTAATGTAATACTTTTCACAGAAATTCAAGGCGACCATTGAACTAGTTTTGGGTTCAGACAAAAGATGTGTCAACGATGAACTAGTGCAACTCGGCCATGCTATAAAGAAGACCATTCGAGCAAATGCGTAAGATAAAAACCAATGTGAATACAATAAGAAATTGCGCGATTAAAGAAAAATCATCAAAAAATTAGAATCTCAAACGAAACGATATACGATTACAAATCAAGCATTAAGATTCATTAATACGAGGCTATGTTTTTTCGATAATATTTCATTTTTTACAATGAAGAATTTTATTAGGAGTTTAACTCAAAGCCATTTCGGTAGAAATGTTAAAAATATACAAAAAAAAAAGACGATGGAAAAATATTCTGAAAAAATTTAAATGAAGAAAAGGATCATTTCTTCCAAATAAGTAATCAGAAATAAGAAACGAATGACTTTTATTGAAATTTGAATTATTTGGGAATCAATATATTTTTGGAAAGCAGTTTTTTCATCTCATTTACCACTGGAATACGTTATTATATAGGATAGAATGTGCGATATCAGATACAATATTAATCGGTTAGATCAATATAATAATCGGTCTAGTTCTGTAACTAGAGGGTTGGATGTGTTGAATATTGCATTGGAATTGAATAAGAATATACCAATGATTTTGATCAGCTGAATGCATGAGTTCTCGCAGCAAAGTTCGGGAGATTTAATGTTTCAGTTTTCTTTCACCAAGTTTGCCTTTCAGAATAAGCTATGTAAGCATTTGAATTCATAAAATGAATATATCGTGATATTTGTTACCATTTGAATTTTTGTTCGGGATATAATGCCGCTGAAAATAGCAACAATTATTTGACGATGATCGTGGGCATTGCATAATTTTTAAGAATATCTTTCGCAATTTTAAAATGAAACAAAGTCCCAATTGAAACGATCAATACCATTTACCAACCGTTCAGGAATACATACATTTATGCTGTAGATTGAATGATGCATGCATCATTCAATGTACATCATATGCCGCAAACGCCAAAGCACGACGATGACAAGCAACGTTGACAGTAGCGCCATGGAGCGGTTGCCAGCGAAACAAAAAAATGGCACACATTTCGATCGCCTCAATCAAAAATGGTACAAATTTGTGCAACCCAACATAAACAGTGGCAATCATAATAAAGTTGCTGCGTTGCCCAGCTGTCATTGTCGCGACCCTCTCTTACGTCCTATATTGACAATGTATTTGAAGGAGCGCCATCTCTGAGTGCTCATACAAAACAATGAAGCTTGCAAACTTCGGAAAATGCTCATATATTTTTTTCTTGCAATTTTATTTGAAAATTGTTTAAATTAAATAAGTTTTGCAATAGTAGCAACGAAAATAATTAATAGAATTTATTATAGATAAAAAAATTGGAGCAACAACACACAAATTTTTTTTTTGGATGGAATCGCAGATTTGCGTTAAGATTTTTTGAAGAAAAAAGAACTGGCAACATTTTTAATTTTTTATTTGCATAATACTGATAATTAATCTGAAAAATATTCTCTTCATGTTGTTTGCGTTGTTTATTTTGACAGATACCAATTGTTTGACAATTGACAGATATACAAAAATAATATTTTCTAAGCTGTGTAGAGTTTCTCACAACATGAAATTTTTTTGTTTTGTACGAGCAATCAGAGATGGCGCTCGCAAATGGCGATTCGCTTGAAAGTCTACTGTAAGAGAGGGTCGCATTGTCGTCGTGCTTTGGCAAACGCAACGCAAGCACTGTCGTTTGCGTTCGGATATGGTACTGGACGGCAGCTCGCGCGTGTGTGAAATATGCAATATAAGAAATAATCAATGTTAAAATTCACCAATGTTTTTTTTCTCTCAGTTTTCACTTCTCTCTTTCGCATAACGACAGTGCTTGCGTTGCGTTTGCGGCATGTGATGTACATTGAATGATGCATGCATCATTCAATCTACAGCATAAATGTATGTATTCCTGAACGGTTGCCATTTACATTAAAAATGTTTAATCAAAAAATAAAATTCTGCATGCCAAAACACAAGGGGAATGTCGCAAAGAACGTACTAGAATTAGGTCGTAATAAACGGTAATGTAAACGTCAAAAAATACGCTGTTCTGTTGACAGAAGCTGTTGTGTTCAACATAGAAACATTTCAATTTTTTTGTGAATCATAAAAAATACTGCATAAACCAGTTTCAAAGCATACACAGTAAAAAATATCATCCCATACTATGCAAAAATTAGCATTAGCAATCCTATGATCAGACCATGGGGTAAACCACCATTACATCGTAATTCATATAATTCCATCTAGTACAAAAATAATTCCAGATAATTCCATATAGTTCAAATAGTAGTAGAATAGTGCAGATGACTTAAATTAGATGCTTACAGTGTGTCCATAACATATAGAAATAGCACTAAATAGTGTCGATATCTATACTATATCGGTCCACTATATATGGAAGATATTTCCGCACGGCACCGTATCGCACGATCGAAGTGAGTGTAGCATCTAATTTAAGTCATCTGCACTATTCTACTACTATTTGAACTATATGGAATTATCTGGGATTATTTTTGTACTAGATGGAATTATATGAATTACGTTATTGTAGTAGTAGTCCCCTTGGATCGGACACATTTTTGTCTTTTTTTTTGTTCCTCTTTGTGCGGATATTCGCCGAATAGTAGAGAATTAAACGTTAAAAAGGCGTAATTGAAAACAAATTGTTTTTTTTTTTTTCCAAACAACTGCATATTTCAAATGTTTAATTCTAGTACGTTCTTTGTGACATTCCCCTTCATCTACCCAAGCACTCAAGTGCTTTGTATGCAAACAGATGAAAAGGATAGTAAAGAATAAGACGCATAGCATGAAGTGTCTCGCTCTTTACTTTGTTGTCACTATTGTCACAGCATGTGGTCACTATTTCTATAAAAATTATTTTCTAATAACAACAAAATTTCGAACAAAAATGTTAAATAAATGTAAAGAACACCATGTTAACAGCTAAGCATTTATATTCGAAATAAACTTAGTCAATATTTGCCTGAAACACTACAATTGTTTTAATTATACAGTAATAATACAGTAGGTATCGATAAGCACATAGACACCGTTTGGCGTAAGTAGACTCAAGAGACTAGATTCAATTCTTGCATGTGCTTATATTAGCTATACAGAATCGAAGAAGTACCACTCAAAAGAGAACAGATTTTTTTTTGGAATTGTACAGAACTGAACATAGTTAAGTGGATTCAAAGAATTGAATCTAGTACTGCTTGCTTAACAAATATTTGAAGAACAAATCATTGCAAAGATTTAATGTTAGAATAAGTGAGTTTACAGTGAAAAAACTTAGGTTATGATGTAAATGGTTGTAATTGTCAACAAATGTTGGACAAATCACAAAACGCATATGAAAATTGTTGGAATTTGAAACATTTCAACTTCTAGTTGTCAAATACATAACCTAAGTTTTGTCAGTGTAAAAACTCACTTATTCTCACATTCGCAATGATTCTTTCATCAAATATTAGTTAATTAAGCAGTACTAGATTCGATTCTTAAAATGGATTGGTTTCGGTTTCTATCGCTGGCTTTAACAAAGGAACACAACAAAATATTTTTCTGTGAAGTTCCCATTTCGAATGTCAAGGAAAAAACTTCACACACCCGTTTTAAGCTTTTAAAATGTTCCATTTATTGTTCAATTAAAATTTATATAGATTTCAATAGCCCAACTAATTAGATGGTGCTACGGTTTGTTCCATCACCATGGCTCTCATAAGAATCGCATTCCCTTGTACTAAGTGTTTTTAACACACGATTGTAAACCTCAAAAACCAAACTCTCCGCGAAGATCAAACTCATTCAAATGCGTGTCAGTTCGGTGTGATCATCAATGATACAAAAGTACACGTCTCTGATTTCTAAGAATTCGAATGCTGTTCAGTCATCTCATCTTGAACATCATCTTCTCAGATTGAAAACAAAAATTGAAAAAAAGAGCATCTACATATTCCACACTGAACATTGATTACAATTTTCTATTTGTATACTACAAAACGTCATACGAACCAAATAAAGAAAAATCTTTTTTTTTTTGCAAAAAAACGAAGGAAAAACACGTCACATCCATCGGAATGTGGTGATCTTCAGATTGATTTATATTTGTATACGTAAAAATATTCTGCATAACGCGTGCATTCGGTTGATTAAATCGAAATGAATGACGATGAAAGTGGAAAAAAACATCTCGGGGAAACACCGACTGAAGCATGTTTTACGTTTGAACTTTGCAATTAGTGTTTATATTCGCTTCGATGTTTCTCATACGCCAAACGCTATTTGTTATCTATTAATTGTGTTATTTGTATCTAATACGTTGACACAAACAAGTCGTTCGCTAGTTCATTGTGTGCTTGTGAAGGGTATTAGATTTGGAAAGAAAAGCAAAAGTTTTGATATCTAATGTGTGTGTGTCTCTCTGTGTGTGTGTCAGGCGTTTATGATTCATCGAATTTTTTTTTACATAAAAAGGACGTTACATTTACAATGCAAGTACAGTCAGACAGTTGATATGTAAGTGAGTTCATATTTTGGACGAGAAAATAATAATGGAAAAGCGTGAATATATCGGAAATAGCAAACGCATCACAATTGACAACAATCGAATCCACTTGCGAATCATCGGCAATGATAATAAAATTGATATGAAAATAAATTCAGGACATTTGGATGTGATTGGAAATTCGTCACGGGTAACAATTGGTGTGAATTTGGGCAAAATTAATTACATCGGCAACAGTGGGAAATTATATTTGGGCTCGAATTCAAGTAAAAATGACATTCATTACACTGGCAACAATGGAACAATGAAATTCATCAACAAAGACAGTTTGTGGAAACATCAAAATAAATAAGTAGATCTAAAGCAATGATTTGCTGCATTTAATCTGTTCCGATGACAAATTTCATTTTGAAAGAGAAAATTAATAGTTTTCAACACATATTTCGGTCAGGATAGAAAAATTGGACTTGAGTTATTAGTTGAATTTTCAACGACTTCAGAAACAGACATAAGTCTTTTTGTGAATTACAAAAGCATCAAATGAAGATCAAAAACGAAATAGATTAATGGCCGACGTTATACAATTGTCAGAGAAGAATTTAAAAAAATCCCCGTGAAGGTGAAAAGTGACATATATACACAATTACACATACACCATTCCTCAATACTTGTTCAAATAAAATAAAATAGTAAAAAAACCAATTTATAATCTGCCTCAAGTAAAATGTTTGTTATTTTTTTCGACGATCTTAAACTGTGATATTGTGGACTATCAATTGAACGGTTCAGTTTGAAGCAGCAGAGAAAGAAAGAAATCAACAAATAAATGATTTGATCTGAGTTCAAGTTCAAGCGGCCTCTTCACTTAGAAAGTTGAAGTCAATGTTCAACCCCTTGAAATCATCAATCGTTATCTCATTTCAAATATATTTATGTAAGAAATGTGTAACGCAATTTTTTTTTTGTTTTAACTCTCTCATTTTGAAATTTCGATTTCATTTTCAGTGTTTTGTTTGAGATTATTTGAGGAAAAAATGTTTGCTCTATTTTGATATTGTTCGAGCGCATAAGGTTTTTCAGTTGATAAATCAAATCGGGTCAAATGTTAACATTTGATGAGATCAACAAATGATTTAAAATTATATTTAATAACGTAATTTACACGCAGATTTGTTCTTATTTCAATAAATATAGACATTCAAATGTATTAAAACAGCCATAGAATAGAATGGCGATGATTAGACATTTAAAAAGAAATTTTGTCACAGTATAATATTTTTGTAAGTAAGATGTAAAATGATTCAATCTCGGAAATGCATATACTTTTTTCTTTATAGATAGAACTCGTGTATGCATTTCCGAGATTGAATTATTTGACCTTTTGATGTGCAAATGATCGAATTAGAGTGTTTCAACTAGGCGACACACGTAATTCGCACAAAAATGAGCTATAAATCCAATTGTAAACCAAATTAATCAATGAAATAAAGTATAATTTTTTTACGATTTTAATTGTTTTCACTTTGTCTGTGATCTCATCTTCGCCTAATCCTTGCAGCAAAAATACATTTTAATCAAGTAACAAAAATGATTTATATTGCAAATCAAATGTTATCCGTCGAAAAAAAATTAATATAACTCGATTGCTGACAAAAACGTGACCTATCCGCTGAACGAAAGAGAAAAACGTGATTGATGATCTTGCAATTTACAAAAAAAGGAAATAATGAACCTATTCAAAAGTATTTGTATTTTCAGTTTACTTACGACTCTCTCTCTCTCTCACTCGTCTACAGAGGAGCCTCTGTAGCAAGTTTGTTTAAGCGTGCGTTGTTCTATTGTGTCATTTTGTTCAACTCAAAAATGTATTAGAAAAATCAACAAAACAGTCGACAGGAAAATGCCTGTAAAGCCTTTATTTATCTAACAACAGAAAAAAAAAATCCGTTGTTCTTTTTTTAAATTGCACTTATTTCTCTCCCATCCATCCGTGTCAGTAGAGTTCGTTTATACTGTTACAGTTTCACTTCTTAAGCTGCTATAAATGTATTTATGGTCGAGTTGGTTGATAAAAATTTCACACACAACTGATAATTGGCTCATAATATTTTATCACGTTAGAAAAATAGAAGAAAACATCGAATAAGTCAAGTTGAACATTACCTGAGTTATAAAAGCTGATTGTAAAAGCAGACAAAACAATGATAAATTCGTGCCACTGCAGTCCGTCGAGACGCAATATAATTGAAACGAAACAAAAAAATCGTCTGTTTTGAAATGTTTATATATGCTCTTATTTTTCATGTCTTTCATATGGCTAAAAAACAAATCGAAAGAGAATTTTATGAAATAGCTTATCCAATTAACAGCTTAAGATGTTTGACAAGCGAAATATTGGCAAAAGAATATGAACAAATTATCAAAACATCTTTTTATTTAATACTAAATGATAAAAATGCATCACGTCAACATCGAGGGAATTCACCACATTCGGAGATCAACGATCGACACAAAATCAAAAGAGGAACGAACAAAAACATAAACAAATAAAAGCCCAAATGGTTCCACATATTGCGCTCAAGTATTTATGGGATCATTCCATTTGAAACGTAAAAAACAAAAAAATACTAGTTCTATATTAATAGAATTTGAACAAAAAGTTGACGCTCTTAGAACAAATAACGAGCATGTGTAACCTTTAACGTAATAATTTGCTTTATAGCTCATATACCATGACCATAACTTTTTTTTAGTTATCTCATTCACTAGAATTAACCATTTTATTTCCAAGCCACCGTTTTTACATTAAAATAGTAATTTTATAGCTGGTTTATTAGGCCAACCACCCAATTGTTTTGGTTAATAAAAACATATGATTGTTTCGATTACTTTGCTTATTTTACGAACATAGATTTTGGGGATATCTCTCTTTATGATTAAATGCTCGATGTTTATAGATGCAATATGGGGTGAAAAGTTTGTGGTGTGACACAGATATTGCGACACCAATACAGAACACTTTCTATTATACCCTTTCAAAAGGCGACTGATGACATTTCACCTGAATCTATTCACAGATTCAGATGTTTTTTTTTTGGTAAGTTCGTGAAGCCCGGGCTTACACCCCCCTGTGCCCATGTATGGCCTGAATCCTACTGAATGTATTTTAGTTCATAAATAAATCAACTGTTTTTGATTATATATTTTAGACAACAATTTATACACTCCTCTACATAGCTCTGCTTTAGCTATGCAGCTTTGGGGTTAATATAAACTGTTAAGATATGAGCATTTCTGTGCATGGTAAATGTGTTGCGAAATTAATGGCACAACAGAAATAAAATGTTGACCCGCTTAAAATTGATCATCATTCATTTTCCAAACAAATAAAAAATATTTTTTAAGATTTCAAATGATTTTTCAATGTTGTTCAGATGGTTCATTTTAACGATCATGTATGTTCTTGACCGAGTTGACTGAGAGGCTGTTTTTAGCAAACTACTTTGACTTTTTACTCAGACTTTTTACTTGAGTATTCACTCTGAGTATTGAACAAAAACTCGATTTTAATCATACGACCAAATGAAACACCAACCCGTCAAACTGATACATAAAGACGAAAAGAAATGCTATTTTCTATCGCAACCGTACAGGCGAACACACGTATTTTAGAGAAGCATTCATAATAAAATCACCGTAAATAAATTCGTTAGAAACATGTTCCAATGCGATTATTAGAATCAGTTGGAAATATTCAAATCAAAACGATTTCAAAAATTGTAGTGAGTGCAAAAAACAGTCTTCTTCATCATTTTTTTATATAATTTTTTTATTAAACCAAAAAATAGTTCAAAAGGTTTTTCTGCATTTGCCGAACATAGACTTAATATTTAATAGATTCCGTGTACAAGTACATTTTCTGGTAAATTATTCCACAATAACGGACTATTAATGTAAAATGAAGATTAGTATTGATTTCTTAATCATCAACTTTTTTTTTCTTATATCATTTGAATTAACTGATATTAAATTGCAAAGATATGGTGGAGACTGGGTTTTGGGGCCAGGAGAGCTAACCTAGTATGCTAAACTTCGTCGGATCAAAAACTATTGTACTACAAAGTTGTACAGAATGCTCCGATAGCTTGCCCTTCCTCAGAATAATATGAACATTTGACCCCAGCCCTTCAAAATATGAATAACAAAAATATAGACATTAATTCACATTGATATAAAAAGGAGTTACCCACTGATACGTAATTCCGCCGAGTATACTGTGTTTTGACACACTGATTTATCGTACTATAAACGTAATTCTGATAAAGAATTACCATCGGAGACGAGTGGTCAGTTGGTTGTGATGGAAATGGTGAATTATTTTATGGCCCTTCGAAAATCCCAATCCTTTGGAACTCTGCGACTGATTGTAAAACTACTACGGCGTTCGAATGCATAGGCAACTTTATCAATTGGTGCGGACGACGAGCAGATTGTCGCTCGGGGATTCCCTTTAGAGATGTTGTATCTGAAAATCTAAACGCCGTTGAAAAAAAACCAGCCCCAGTGATCAAAACGGCTGTAATATATGTTGTAAACAATTCCACAGATCCTCAAAAAGGAAAAAGCAAAGAATTCTTTCATCATGTCACAAACCATCGCCAAATTTCCTTTAAAGAGCCGTTAGGAATTAAGGCTTCGGCCCGATTCGGAATTCCATTAGTAAATGAACCTAAAATAAACGTGAGCGAAAACTTTGAATTCGGGCAATCCCTTAACGATACTGTATCTGAAACTATAACATTTTCACCGAAAGAGGTTACGGTTCCGCCTATTTCGCAACTTAAAATATCATTTGAAATTTTGGAAGCCGAATTCGAGGCGAAATATTTGTTAAACTTTATAATCGATCCAACAGCCGTCGGGATTTCGGAATGTATAAGGAAAGGTCGGTAATCCTCCAACTTACTACGGATTCCATTTGCAACGCAGTGGCGTGAAGAACGGTTTTAAAGCTGTTTTTGACCGTAAAACACAAATGTTGACGCATATATCAACGGATTCAGTTTCAAATCGTTTTACAAAGAATATAAAGACTGAGCAATTGTCATTGCTCAATAATACTACACAAAAAGTTCCTTCGATTGCTGTGAACGACTTGCATAAGCTCAACATCGAGTCATTGAATTTTGTCCAAAATTTAAATATTGACAGTTTTATCGAACTAAAGAATAAAATCAAATTTTCACCGCGATAAATGACAAATTGTTCATAGATTTAAAGTTTGACTTGTTCGTTTGTTTGCAAGACATAAAAAACATATAAAACCAAAATTTATAGCGAAAAACAACATGAAGAGTTTAAATATTATTGTTTTTATGTGTGAATTTTTACATTTAAAATAAAAAAAATTATAAAAAACCCGAACATATTGAGATTGCGTTTGAATCAATTCATTTGGAAGACAACCGGTTGATTTAAGCAAATTGTTAACTATATTGTCTTGCACTTTTGTTGTTGACTTTTTTATGTGTTTTGAATGATTGACCATGGTATATGTCATTTTGTATCGATCTGACTTATCTGCTTTTTTCTGATTGTTATATTGATTAATTTTCTCATTGTTGTTTCTCGGTGAACCAGACAATTCATACGTAAGTATTGCAGCGATTGAAGGCGACAATTTCGATTTTATTACCGTAGTTTAGTTTATTTATTTTTATATTCATTGAGTACATCTTTTTTTTTTTTTAAATATAATGTGTTTCTTAAATAATTTTATTCTTTTATATCGGCCAGTTTCCGTTTTTTTTCTATTTACGAATATATCATGCAATCTGGTTTTCTCATGACAAATAAATTGTGTGTGGGTCGCTCAGTTGGTTTACTTGTCACTAGCATTTTCCAATCTATGTGTCTTTTTTGATGAGCAAGCGTACTCCAAAGATTATGTTGCTGTTTTACAGCTTTCATAGCGATCAAATTCTGCAATATATCATTGCAATACTTGTGAACCTTTTCGATGTTATCGTCTTTTGGATTGCCTTTTTCTCTGCAACGAAAATTAAACCGTTCACTCGAACATTCGCTATAAATCTATTAATTTATTTTGAGCTTACACTGTTTCGCGTATCTTTTTCAATTGTGAACCATAAAATGAGAACTCATGCTTGATTCTGCGTAATTGTAAGAAAATATATGCATTACATAATTTTAATTATCTAAATCTAGATCTAAATTGATCAATTGAACAAAATGAGTCTCAATGAATTTATCAACAAGTTACTAACTACTATACAAAATCATTAGAACCAAATTGAAATCATTAAGTACTGAAAGTTTTCACTTTTGTTCCCGAAAAATGTGTGATACTTGTTGTAAAATAATGATACTTGAACTCACTTCTCGAAATCCAGATCAGTCATCGTGGTTGAGCCTGTTTCTTTATTATAAGTTTTCATAAATTCGCTAATTTTTCGATTCACACTGTCGGCAATATCCCAGAAATCACTATAAATTGAAAATTTCAAACGTATATTTTCATGCAATGTGAAGAAAATGGAGTGACTTACAAGTGTGATCCCGTTATGCACTTGGTAGCTGCTTTTTTAATTTTTTTCAACAGCGACTTCCCACGGCTCTCCCTTTTAGCTTCAACCGGACCATAGCATCTATGATAAATTGTAAATTATATTTAATACACTAGAAAGTAGAGGCAATGATTAAAAGATATTACTTTTGCCACCAAGCGTATGAATTGATTTCAGATTTAGCTTGACTCCAAAAAGGATCAAACACTATCACGTCCGCCATTTTAATTCGGGTGCTTGTTTTATTGAATTCAATCTGGGTCAAAAGTGCTTCGATATTTGATATCTATTTGGAGAACGTATTTCAAAGAATATTCATTGAAATCAAACGAGAAAATGTCAGAAAGCATTACTCACCAAAGCCATGGCCAGAAGGGAAAAAATAATAAAGCATACCATAGTAATGAACTTTTTGAATGAAATAAGATTGCTTTTAAAGTTAGCAAAGAATTTTACAATATTCACAAAAGTTTTATCGTTTCGATAATGCAACTTTTACTGCATCAACATCGAATGAAAGTATCTAGATGAACCAGCCGTATTTATAGTCTTCCCGTAGAGTCTTTCCATATTTAATAACGAAAATGAAAATCTTCCGATCATATTACCATTCCGTAGGATGGCGACATCATGTCGCTGGCCATTTCTAATTGCACGAGTCATACACTCATATTCATTCTAATTATAATTGATGTTCTATTGAAAAGAAAAAATTGAAACTGTATGTCTAGTCATATCAAAAGTTAGCATCTGTTGCTAACTTTAACAGTTCAAACTTTATGAACCTACCGGTGTTTTATTAAATTTAAAATGTGACTCATGAATATGATTCATGAAAATGAATCATGAAGATGAATGAACTATAAAGATCGCCTGATGAATCATTGATGCATCATTCAGCTATAATTATATCAATTCTTTCCTTTCCAATAATTAGAGCATAATTTCTTATTGTGTATCCAATTACGTTTTTTACAGTCTAGAATAAAAGAGGACACAGTAAGCCTGCAGCAATGGCAACTTGGCAATACTTTATGGTGGAAATATAATTAAACTAGTCTCGAAAGGTTAATTTTTTAGTATTTTTGGACTGATTTGATAGGTTTATGTTGGCTTTACTGTAAAGTTTACAGTGAGTCATCGGTGAGAATAGGTTTTAAATTAAATTTTGTTCAAAATTAATATTATTTTAAGATATCTTAATATCATATCAAATAATGTTACCATACAAAAAAATAGTCATCGTTTTATTATTAAAAAAATGTTGGTTATCAAAATAAATTACATTTTTAAAAAGAATACATTTCAAGGGGTGTACTTTTGACCGTTTAACATGACAGTTTTTTTTTATTCAAATCTTAAATTTTAATGAAGATTAAGAAGCATTTAGTTTCTGTATCTTTAATTCGTTAAACAAATTTCAAGAAGATTTATTTCCACTGTATTTCCTTAAACTAAAGTTGGTTGATTATCATACTTATTATCAGGGTTCGAGAAAATATGTACGATAAATGTCAAAAATATTAATTTAATATTTACGATGAAACTGGCGAAATATTCACGATAAATATTTAAAAAAAAAACACTCAAAAATCCTAGCAAATTCAAATGATTTTAGTACTTTGGAGAATTTGGTGAAACTAAAAGGTCATTAGTCATAAAAAATCAATGTATTTCGACGTAAATATTTATTTATTCACCGTCTGATCACAGACTGAATTTATCACAAAATTTGTACAATATCGTTCACAATGAAACACCACCCGATCGTATACCCAGCCACCAGCCTTCTCGACTTCGGAGCAGCAGATATCGATTGTGTTCACTGTTTTTATTTCTATATAACACATAAAAGTTCAAAATTAAATTTTTCACCGAACAAATATCACATTTTCCAATTTGACAATATTGTTCCTAAAGATGTGTCTTGTTTCCGATTCTAAAAATATTTCTCTTATCAAGTTAAAGTTTCTACAAGCTACGTAAAACGGCTGATTATGTGCGTAATCCGATGAAAATGCCCTAACTCTAATTAGTTCTGTACTTCTCAAATTTCTTTGGTTCTCATTATATTGCAGTCTTGTATATACAATTTTATCTCTAAGTGAGCTAGACACTATTTTACTTAAAAGCAGATCATAAATTAAAAATATAGAGGCATTTATACGCCGTCTCCAAAGCGGTTGAATATTCAAAACATCACATCTAAACTGATACGGTGGCAATACATAATTCTCATCTCTCTGATATACATATCGTAACGACCAAATAACAAAATCTTTTTGAATTGATTCTATTCTATCGGAGTGGATACGATGGTATGGAAGCCATACAATACTCGCGTATTCCAATTTTGACCTAACTAGTGCACAATATAATATTTTTGCAGATTCTATCGTGTACTTATTTTTTAATGTTCGTTTGATGAAACCCATTGCCGCATGTGCACTGGCTGTAATCGCATCGATGTGATCTGTGAATGTCAGTTTTGTGTCGAAAATAATGCCAAGATCCTTGTGCATTTTGGTCCGTTCAAACGTATGATGGCCGTTGTCGATCGTATAGTCGTAGTTGACTACGTTTGCACCCTTTGCATACGTCATTACGTAGCACTTCTTCAGATTCAAATGCAGGTTGTTTTCGTTACACCAGTCGCTCAATTGATCAATGGCCCTTTGAAAAATGATGGCATCAATGGGCGAATGTATAGTGCGGATCAATTTCAGATCATCTGCAAATAATAAAACAAGTGCATTTGACACGGTTGCAACAATGTCGTTTATGAAAATAATAAAGAGACATGGTCCCAAAATACTTCCCGCGGGTACTCCCGATGGTACAATGAAAGTCCTTGACTTTTTTTCACCAATTCCAACAAACTGCGATCGTGATGTCAAATAACCATGGAACCATTTGACAATTTGGCGGCCGAATCCAAATCTCACCAACTTCTGAAGCAATCTCATGTGACTGACACGATCAAAAGCCTTTGCGAAATCGGTGTACAACACATCCGTTTGACATTTGTTGATCATCGAGTCCATCGTAAAATTCACCATTTGCAGTAAATTTGTCGCAGTTGATCGATTCTTCACGAAACCATGTTGATTGTGGCTGATCTTTCCATTTATAAATGTTTCGATTTTGCCGTAGACCACAATTTCAAATATTTTTGCGATTGTTGGAATAATCACAACTGGCCTATAGTTTGATGCACTGCTCTTTTTTCCCGATTTGAATATTGGCACTATTCTGGACTTTTTCAATGCATCTGGAACACATCCTTGTTGCAATGACTTTCTAAATAGCACTGTTAATGGCCTTGACAGTGTGTGTGCGCAGTTTTTCAGGAGCTTTGGTGATACACCATCTGGACCGGCTCCCTTATTCACATTGATCGATTGTAGTGCTTTTAACACATCGGCTTCACTGATGTCAATGTCAAACGATATTTCTCCGCATTCACTCAGCAATTGATCCAAATCGATATTATCGCTCTGTGTGTATTGACTTTCGAAAAAATCAGCGAATAATTCCGCTATCGACGTTTCGTTGTTGGCTGTTTCATTGTTGTATTCAACAATAGCAGGAATATCGCTTCGTTTTCTTCTGTCATTCACAAATCGCCAAAAATGTTTTGGGTTTGATCGGATTTGCAAAGCATGTAACCAAAGATCCATGGAAATTCGAAATAAATTCCGTTCTGGCAAAATTGAATAATTTTTTTTGCCAGAAAACTCTGTCTTGAAAAAACGTCAGCAAAACTGAACAGTTCTTCAGCCAAAAACCCTAGAAAATTGGAATTATTTCCAAAATTGTGTAAAAATATTTGTGAAAAACTGGAAAACCACGAAATATTTATTTATCGTGAAAAACGCGAAAATATTTAAATAAATACATATTTCGGAGAAATTTGAGTAATTTGAAGCCCTTAAATCAAAAATGTCATAAGCCCTTGATAATTTGGAAAACTTGATTAATATGGAGTAAAAAGAGATGAATTTATTTTACCGGCTATAATTTTGCAAAAAACGGTAAAGGATAAATGAGACTATTTTTACAGTATCAGAAAATATTTTTTTTTTCGGATTAAAATTTTCTTTAACAAAGTGTTTCATTTCTTTGGTGCGGGCTTGGGTTTTTTGCTAGTAAATTTATATCCCATGTTTGACAAGAGAACGCCAGGCTTTTTCAAACCGGTCAAATAGCCCCAATTCGTTTTTTGCTGGCCAATTGCTGCAATTGCGACCAAATTCTCAAACATGTCTGTGCAATAGTCGAGGATTCTTGGTATATTTACACTTTGAGGATTTTCTATAAATCTGAAACAATCACCGTACAATAAATAAATATATATTTTCCTCTAAAGAATTGATCTCACAATGTTTCACGATATTTTCTCAATTTCGATGCGTACGTTTCAAAGTCAAGCTTTAGTCTGTATGAATATTGAGCAAAAAATTATCATAATCTCATTAGCTTAAAGATAATTGGATTTACTTTGCGAATTCAACGTCAGTGAAAGTACATTTACGATTTTCCTTGTTGTACGTCTTCTCGAATTCCGTAAGTTTTCCATTTACAGCATCTGCCAGGCGCTTGAAATCGCTAAGAAAAAGTGTGAGAATTGTTCATCGGTGTGCATGTGTAAAACTTTTCATGCACCAAATAACTTACACATCCAATCCAATTCCTGAATTTCCAAAAAACCATGTTTTGCCTTTAATCGTCTTCATAATCGATTTTTTATTTAATTCTGCATTTATATCAGTTGGACCATTGCATCTACAAGAGATTAAACGCTCAATTTAATATTTAGAACGAAACAAAAAATATGTTGGTAAAAAGCACTTAAGAAACCAGGCGTCGCTATTCAATCTAGATCTGGCGTCATCCCAAAACGCGTCTTCAACAATTACATCAACCATTTTGATATTGGTTTGTGGCGTATACATTTCCAGTGCGGATTTTCCGGCTTTGATCGTTGAAATCTGTTTTGAGTAAAAGCAACAATTGCCTTTCGTTAAATTTACTTTGTTGGATTAGTTTCAACCTACCGAAACCATAAGAATAACCGACAAAATAATTATGCGTGACATTTTAAATTTTCTTTAGTCAAACGAAATCAGTTAAAAAAAGTGAAAGGAATTCAGTGCTCGATAGTGTGCTTCAAACATCTAATAATGAGTGATTCGATCAAGTAATATCTGCATTATTTATACCTTCTTTTTGGAACCGCTCTTACCATAAATTATCATTAAATTTGAATATTAAATAAAACTCCGGACAAGATCACATTAAAACGCATATATATTTAATCTTGATGTGGGTTCATATTGTTTAATTTAATTTTTGCGTGAATTTTTTTAATTCGTAAAAAAGGCATCATCTTTTATCTTTGTTCATTGTTTTAAGTTTAAAATTCTGTTACATTTAGAAATTGATAATGATATGTAAATTTGAAAATATTACAATTGCATGACGTTCAATTATTAAAAGAATAATATTGAATTTAATGTCCTAATCTGCGAATGCATCTCTTAATTAGGTGATCTCACGTGTGTTTTTTGAAGCGATTTTCCCTATGAAAATGAAGTATTGAAGTAAATGTGCAGTTGATACTTAAAGGTTTTTTTCGGAAAAATGGGATTTGGATTTTTTCTTTGGACAGCTGAGGGGGAAAATGTTTTTGACCAAAAAAGATATTTTTGCGATAAATATAGTTTTTTAACCAAAAAAAGCTTTCCCCTCAGCGCTCTTCTCCTCCTCCACCTCATTGGAACAGTCCCTGATTTATGCAAGTGCTTCCCTCAATGTAGGAACTCTAGCCAACTAAATATATATACTAATAAACATTTGACCTGGGACGTGAGAACAGGGCAAAAGTCAAATGATCTAAAAAATGACAACGACTTTGACGATTCACAAAATAAGTCAGCTTTAAGTAAGAAAGAGCGAGAGAGAGAGAGAGAGAGAGAGAGAGAGAGAGAGAGAGAGAGAGAGTTAATTGTGATAGAGAAAAACGAAATTGAAAACCGAAAAATAAAAAAACGAATAGAAAATACATTTGAAGTGAAAATATTTTAAATGTCGATAAAAATTACAATTTTAAATTCTCAAAAGGAATTTTATAAATTTCCATTACATATTCCGACTAAATTTTGTAATTTTTTTCTTTTGGCACGTTTCGAAGACAAGTTCAAATTATAATTTTAAAAAATACAATTGAAGATTGAACCATATGGTTGATTTGCAAGTACATACAATTAGCAAAGCCATCAGTCACCAAGATGCTACGTAAGTGCTTCCATGAAAAATGTTTATTTAAAAAAAAATGTAAATTCAAATTGTTCGATAATTTATGGAAAAGTGTTTCAGTATAAATATGTTGAATTTGATTGTATTCACTCGTTGTTGAATGTAAAGGTTACTTTGATAAGCATCAATATTCTATTCAGTTTCGATCATTTTGAATGATTTCTGTTTTATCTTCTCTCAGGACATTCGCGATGGCTCGATTGATTATTGTGACTCTATTTGCCGTGGCTTTGGTAAGTGTGTGCAATCCTATTGCTTTAACCAAGTTGTAATTCAACAAAAAAAAAACAAACCCAAACAGACTTCAATCGTCAAAGCCGAATCCGACCCAGTCGAATATGGACGTCCAATGAATTTGCATGTACCGAACACCAAAATTAAAATGGTTGATGTTGTGATTTTCGAACCATTCTGGGTGACAGCAACAACTGAAGTGAATAGCGACGAATGGTGGCAAAAGTGCATCTATTTATAGTCATTTCATCTCAATTTTTCCAAAGTTAAATGACAACCATCTCTTTTCGTAGATGTTATGGTCCAGCTGACTTAAATGACGGAAACAAAGGCACGTTGAGCTCAAAATTGGTGCCACAAGTGTGAGTTTAATTCAATTACTATGAATAAATCGCGATGAACTTTTGCTTCGTTTGTAGTGAATTTGACCGTCTCGCCGATAATGTGAATGGAAAATTAGCTGACTTTATGAAGACTTACAATAAAGAAAAGCGCCAATGCACCTTCAACGACATGGATTTTGACAAGTAGGTTTGACATCGATGAACTTTGATCGTGTACAGACTGTTGTTCGGCATTAGATTAAAACTTCAAAAAATTACAATCGATTTTCCAATAATATCTTCAGTGCAAATGTTTTTAGATAAAGTTGCTTTCAAACTTTGGATGACAATTAATAATATTGACTTTATATTCATCATCACAGCCAATCTATCATAATTTGAAATTCAACAATACACAATTCTATTTTCGCAGCCTTAAATTTGACTTTGAGTCGTATGCCGCAAAATTGAGAACAATTCGTGAAACTTTGTAAGATTGATTTTTGATCAGTTATAAATATAACATGATTCGAATGAATATTTGGTTGATAAACTATTCAATTGTTTTCATAGAGCAAACGTAAACCCGAAAAATGACGATATAAAAAGAGTCTATAATCATTGCGAAGATATGCTGCAGAACTTGTTAGCTATCAAAGCTGTAGGACAACAGCAGACTATTATTGGTGTGATGAATTTATTGAAACAAGGCGAAACGATGGCGGGAAACAAAGGGATACGCTTTCCAAATAAAATAAAATTAATACCAATCCAATATTGATTAATAAATTTTGTTAAACTTTGTTCTTAATAATTATCATTTGCAAACAACTAATTTAGAGTCTTCGACCGTCTACACCAAAATAATTACATTTTTGGAGTTACTTCTTATTCTGATGCAAAAAATGTAAATAAATTATCTTGACAATTTTATTTAAAAAGAGAGAAAAGTATTCCAACATTTTAAACAGTCACCCCTTTTAAGTTTAGTTTTTCTGAGTTCGCAAGTTATAACGAATCATTTCACTAGTTTTCAAAACATTTCATCATTCATAGTATAAAACTACAATCATATACTAGGAACTTTAACGTTGATTTAATTTTAATCCCGTGTGTAAAAAAGTGACTTGCAGTCAGTCAAGTAGAAATAAATTGATTCGACTACAGCTGGTTAAGTTGACTATAATCGTCTTATTTTGACCGAAACAATTACTTGCCAATATTTTCACCAGACATTATATTGAGATATTTTCAGCCAGCTAAATCGGCTCAGGCTGCTATCGTCAGGAGCTGAAATGGCGTGAAAACAATATAAGGGATTGTTATGGTGGTTGTAAGAATGGAAATGTTTTTATAACTAAAAAAACCTTTTCTATTGTTTGTTTGCTACATTTCAGCGTCTGACGTCAGTTGCCTGAGCTGAATCATCTGGCTGAAAATACCTCAAATATAATGTCTGATTTTTACATACGGGAACGCATTCACGATTTATTTGTGTTATCTATGTTAATAACTATATTTATAACAATTTTCATCAAATATGCGTCGCGTTCACTGATATTCTAGCTCCACCATAAATCTATTGGATATATCGAGAAGAGAGTATGTTATTCAGTGCTTATGGCTGAGTAACGTCTGAATAAAAACATACTCTCCTCTCGATATGTTCAATAGAAATGCGAAAAAGTGATCAAAATCGTGATTATTTGACGCATATGCATAAATAAATTTCAAACATGTAATTTCGCGATGAAAATTTCATTCAAAAAGAAAGCACATTTAAAATGAGTGCTGCTTTCCGAATCTACTTTTGTATGAATGTATAAAATCATTTTGAATTCATTCATAGTTATTTTAAACTTTATTCAAGATTTTTACACTTTTCGAAAATATCAAGCATAAATAAACATTCTGTACAGTTCTAAACGGTTCATCACGAACTGTTTACTATCAACACGCATAAAGTGGTTTACATAAGTTGATGGCCGAACAAGTGAACTGTAAATAGTCACAATAGCAGAGAAAGAAATTGCTTAATTCAAGAGAACGGAATAATTCGGGCGAATATACGCAGAAAACATGAATCGCCTAGTAGGAACTAGTATATTAGAAAATCTATGTCACTTCTTTTTATCTAATCAAAAGATTTCTCAGCCCAAAGTTTATATACTTTATGATGATCAACGGTAAGTGACGACATTTACTGGCAGATATTCCATGTGCCACAGTTTCATTTCGTTTCAACTATAATATTGTAACGATTTATGTTCAAGTTCAAATAAATAACATAAAAAAACAATAATCAATATTTGGGTTTTAAAAATGGTATGTTTGTTTCCGGATCAGTCGTATTTGGCGGCCGTCCAACATTCCGAGCCATAACTCCACTAATGTGGAAATGATATACTGTTTCGTATTTCGATTGAAAATGCGCAAACATTGTGACCACATTTAATTGAAACCATTTGCACATTAAACAAGTATGTTTCATTTTAATCTCATTTTAACTGAATGGTTAAAAATATACGAATATTTATGTGAGAAGAAAAAAAACACACACACACGAAACTAAACGATCGTAGTTTGTGCTTTGGTCGTCATGTGTTGTTGAGTGATACTTTAAAGTAATAATCTAAAATGTACACATATATCAACATTAAAAAAGGCGGTAGTAGTCAACTTTGTAATGTCCCCCAAAAAATATGGAGTATCGCAAAAGCATTATAACACATAAAATATGTTCGGTTACAGTCTGAACTATGGTTCACTTCTTGTTATTTCCATGCGAGCATTTCATTTGACATATATGTTTGAAAGGTTTTCTCTTTTGATTGACATTAAACACAAATATTTTGGCTTTTCAACTTTACTTGATTACGAGCCAAATATTTTACCTTTACTTCGGCTTAATTATTATTATTTTTTTCATAAGGAAGCCGAACACATACTGTAAACCATCTCAATTTGTAAATGTTCGTGGTAAATTAGGCATTACGAAAAATATATGCCACATTTTACATCTAAATGAACCGAAATTATTGCATGACAATGATTAATTTGAATTAAAAAACATTAACAATTACAATTGGAAAATTGAAAATTCGTTCGACAATATCATGAAAATTATCATTGAATTTGAACAGATTGAGATTTTCCGTACGCTGAGATTTTCAGAAATGTTGATCAATGGACGAAAATAATGTGAGAAACTTGTTCAATTGTACACAGTATAAGTGTGTATTGCTATGTCGCCAAGAATAGGTCAGTTGACAATTTTGCAAAGTAAATTCTCTACTCAACTTCAATTCCCATATCAAGCATTGTTTTGTCTATGTTGCACACAAAAGACACCTAACCTCAATATGAGACGATTTGGCTGTGTACTAATAATTTTCCTACATAATTTTTTTCAAAATTTATTGTTTCAATTAAGTGTTGAGAAAGTGTACAACATTTTGTTGCGAAGTGTACCTGGATTTTTTTCTTCAAAAAATCGACTCCTTTTTTTGGGAGTCCTCATCCGCACGAGGTACCGATTTTCTAAGTCAAAAATTTTATGTAATGTATTATGGTCTTAAAAAAGTGTACATTAAGGTGTAGGTAACAATTTTCGCATTCATATACGATATTACTAAGAAATTAAGTTTTTTGGCCATACCAGCCTTATCTGAAGGGCGAGGGGTGCCTATACTGAAAATTCCAAATTAAGTGTATGATGTTTTTATGAAATTGTACAGCCTTGAAATTAAGTGCAGATTAAGTGTACATCAATATTATGTCTTTAAATGGTCACTTTCTAGTGATATGGTCATGCTCTCGCCTCCTAATTATCTCTCACCTTAATTTGAAAAAAAAAACTTCAAAAATTGCATTTAAAAAACATCAAATCTCTTAAGTTTCATGAAATTTTTTGTTTGCAGTCAGAATTTCTGACATTTTTTTGTCGTGTTTCCGACTGTCTGCTGCTACATGGCATGCTTATATGAAACTCTCGGAGACTCATAACGCACAAAAATATTGAAAAAAAATTGTTTACTAAAATTTATCCAAAAATAAATGAGACTTCGGATAAACTGAATTTTATGTCAAATCTTCTCATATTGAGGTTGAATGTTTTTTGTGTGAGCATGTTCTCGAATAAATATTCAAATAAACGCATGTCCAAACTCACCTGACATTTTTCGAAGGTCAAAAATCAGTTATTAAAAAAACACCAATTTTTTTAAGGCGCCCTAAATTAACGAGATTGGTCGTTATTTAAATTGATCGGATATAATTATTGGTCACGAACATTTATCTAAAGAAACATAATCATGATGATGATGGAGAAATCGTAAATATCTTTTTTTTTCGCAATTAAAGACCGTGTTTTTACCACTCACTTTGCACTATGCACAACTACATGTGTTTTAAAATTCGCAGCCGTTTGGTATTCTTTAGCGGTCGAAACGATTTTGTCAGCGCCTTTTAAATGTTCATTCAACTCATTGCTAAGTACTATATAATGACTTATATCATTAATTTTTTTCTTATTATCCCCATTTTATTATTTTGACGATATGATGATTTGCCCACAAGGCAGTGTTTTGTCAGTATGCGAAGTTGAATCGTATGAATTTGCCTCTTTAAACTGCAAGTAGTATGAAATATATTCAAAAATCAATATTTTCCAAATAAAATCGGAATGCGAATATTTTGAACGATGTGGTAAAATATGAAAATGTTCAAAAAATGATTCGTGGTAATAAGAATATATCATCGTCATGTGAACGACATTTGTAGAAAATGTGCGACAGATTGCATTCATTTAGTGAAAAAGAAATTAATGAAACTATCATCGGTTGCACATATTTCAGATGTTTCTAGCTATATCACAATTGTGCTTTACGAGCGCTTGGATTAATGAATGGCATAAACTAAACCAAACCAAAAATATATTATGCATTTATTATGTGCCGTGAATTTGTGTGTGCTTTTCAGGTTGAAAATTAACCGTTGAAATTTGCGAGAAAAATAACAATGAGTTAAGAATAAAAAATAAATAAAGTGCAAGAATGTGCACATGATCTGCTAAACAACACACATACACACGTTCACTCATTCACTCACTCACTCACATCGCATCGCCGAAAATCTCTTTCATTGTTCTAAAATTAATTATGAAAACGCGATGTTTACGTAATGATGCGATGCTTGAAATACAATTCCTGCTTATTTCAAATTCATTTTGTCAATGGCATTTGTTTTGGGTGCGATTTTTGTTTTGCGTTGCTTCAAATTGAAAACATGCCCGTCGACCAAGCGCCGAGCATAAAATTCGCCGTTAGACATGTGATGTTAAAAATTTTTCATTCATTTTCATCGATTGAACGATGAAGTGGTTTTTAAAAAACAAAAATCATGTCGAGATCGTTCGCGTAATGAGATTTTCGGTGTTGCCCTTGCTTATGACAAAAATAAATATTGTTCACGACGGTCTTAGAATGTTTTTGTCAACCAAAAGCAGTGCATAATCTGCATGTCTTTTGGTTATATTTGAAGCTATTTGTGGCCAGAGTTTCAAATTAAAAGTGATTGAATTACATCGTTTCCTCGTGCAATCAAAAGAAATTACCTATCTAGGGGTTTTCATGTAAGATTTTGTTTCACGAATTCGACGACTAAACAACAGTATAACAAATAATACAAATTTTTACAAATCATCCAAATCTTTACCGATTTCACTATTTTGTGCCAAAAATCCACCGATATTCGCCGATATGCGAAGTGTCTTTGTTCTGGAAGTGGGCTTTGGTGGATCCTCAGGATCGTTCAGAACCGCTCCCAGGTCTGGAAGTGGACCCTCAGGATGGGTCAGGGCATTGTCAAACCATGGTCTGGTCGATCCAGAGGATCCACCAAAACCCACTTCCAGAACAATTAAGTATCAAAAAATACCCGAATATTAACGATATTTTACAGATATGCCGATATTTCACCGATCTGCCGATAATTCACCGATATGCCAATACGCAAATATTATCCAATAAAAATACATGCAAACCCCTAGGAAATTACACTCAAAGAGAGAGAATAAACAATAAAGTCACCAGTTTTTTTTTTAAACAGCAATGCAACCGTTCTTCTTTTCCCCCCCGGGGTGGGAAAAGTGCAGTTTTTCGAGCTCGCAATTTGTAACGAACAATTTCACCAGTTTTTAAATATGTTGCATCATTTTCAGTGCGACACGCCGCGTACCATGTGCTCATATGTATACATTACATACGATTGTAGTCGTTAACAAATGCTAGGGGCTTCGAAGTCGATTTAATCGTGACGTTTTCAATCGAGGCAATGGAATATTTCTTTATTTACAAGAAAACTGGGCATGTTATGATTTTAGTATACCGATACCCCTAGATACGAATGTACGAACGATATTTGTGTATTGAATTCCACTATACATGTATTGTATTATTGGCAAAACACTCTCTTTCTCACGAGCGCAGCGCAGAGAGAAAACCATATGATACGCTTGCCTCTCTCAATTACACACAAACGTATTTGCTTTTATCATACACATACAGCGCGCATAGGCCGTACAGCATACAACTTTTGTCTATTATCAAACACACCATGTGACCAACACTTTGTTTCGTAAATAATAAAAATAAAGAAGTAAGAAATAAGATGTTGGTAGGCGATCGTATGAGGAAGAATCTTCAGTTTTCATTTCGACCAAGTTGATAAATTTTTCGGTTGCAAGATAGTAGAATGTTATCAATTTTGTAAAATGGGCCTTTTGATTTACGGTTTTAATCTATATACCTTACATTCTATCGTATGCTTGTTTACTCAAATCAATCGGCCATACACATCTTTATCGCCATTTCATTCACTGACTTGACTGCAACGTCCATAAAAAAAAATCCAAACTTCTAGAATGGAAACAGCCACAAATGATTTGTTGACTTTTCATTCGCACTTGGCAAACAAAATGCGCATCATTATCACGAGATACCGAGATAAATAGATAGAGAGAGAAATTTGGTGGATTTGTGTGTAGCAATTAGCACAAACAGCCATTTGGCAAATTGAAATTCGAAAGTTGTAAAAATCACAATTAAATTCAGAAATTCACAACATTATGCTAGTTACGCTGTTTTACGAATGGCGTTTCCTTGCGAAAAATCAAATCAATCCATCAATTTATATTGAACGATGGAAAGTAGTGAAGAATTTTTTGGCGAAGATAAAATTCAGTTGAAAATGGAAAATCAGCCAGAATCAACAACAAAAAAAATTAATATATATAAACGGTGCGGTATTCAAACACATGCGCATATCAGCCATTTCAAAGTGACGAGAATGGAAAAAAAGTAATATTCTGAACATGTGATCTAACAATATTTTTATATGTATTGCTCAGTTTTTATTTCGCTCATTCATTGTTGTTATAATCGAAATTTATTATACCGGCCTCCTTTGCATCTCTTTTCCTCTAATGTGCCAAGCCCTTCTCATTTTCTCTCTAATCTATCATTCAATTCTATTTTATTTTATTTTATTTTTTGGTGTTCTCTCTTGAGCGCGCATTTGAATGGAGACCGCTGTCTTTCTACATTTTATAATTCTCTCTCACTCAGTACTCTCACATCGTCATGTACATAGAGCCTATCCAAGTCGATCGCTCTTTTGGCTCTCTCACTCGTTCTCCGTCATGCTCGCTCGCTTGTTCGTTGGCGCTTGTTCTGTATGTTGATTGTGTACGCACAAACTATTCATTTACGTATCATCTTAGTTCTCGTTTAGTTGTCTTGCCGGTCGCACGAATACAGAGCGTTATATAATCGACATACAGGCAAATTAGCAGAAAAGAGAGAAATATTTCACACAAGAAAAGTATGATCGGGTATAGCTCTAATTAAAAATTAAAATACAATCAAAATAGAGAGAAAAAGAGGAAATAAATCTATTCTCGCATATTTAACAAATTCTCGCATCAACATTAACAGAAAAATCAAATCGGCTAAAACCGCTTGTGAGTGTTTCATGTGTGTATGTCTTGCCGTGAGTTTCTTTAAAAAAAAATCTTTTTTTTTTGTTTTTGCTTTTTAACTCGTTGAATTTTCATCTTCCCCCCGTGATATGATTCACATTAATTACTTAGAAGTTACAAAAAGAAAACACACATCCTCAAAAAGACAATACACATAACGGCACGCGCTTTAAACAAGACATTTACATAAGCACTTTAAAACTCAAACCGTTCCGTTGCATAGAATTTCTTTTTGAATGGCAGATTTTTCTTTCAATTTCTTTATTTTTTTTATTCAATTTGTAACGACATTTCTGTGCCTTGACAACGAACCATTGTTAATGGTGTTAATGTGTGTGTGCATGGAAAAGGATTCACGACTAGAGTTTGTTATCATTTAAATGTAAAAATTGAAAAAAATTTGAAAAAAAAAATTGGTTTTTGAGATGCTCCCAACATAAATAGCGGATACATATTCATAAAGAGGTATATACAAGTTTTTTCCCTATTCTTCTTCTCCTTCCTCATCGTCATCATCGGCTAAAACTGATAAAAGGCGTGCATAGTTCCATCAGTGATTTGAATTAGTGAAAGTAAATGACAAGTTAGCTTTCGTTATCATTTTTGGAAAAATGTGCAAAAAAATGGCTCTCTAATCGCAAAAAGAAAGAGTTCAAAACTGTATTTGTTTTTTTTTCCTTTAAAAAAAAAGAGAGCACGGATTTTGACCGATAAGTTGTATATTCGATGTGTTTAAAGAAATAATATGCGTTTGAACGGTGAAATTTATGTAATCACCACGAACAAATAATGAATGTGGTCGTTTTTCATTGATAATTTTCGAACTAGTCTCTCTGGTTCCTTGTGGAATATTTCATCCACAAATGGACAATATTTTTCACATTATAAATGAAAAAAAAATTGAAAATTCTCAGAATAAAATTGTGTGTCGTTTCCAGTTTAATAGCGCTCAAGCGCAGAACAAATCAAAATTTAAGGAAATTATTGTGAGTTTTCACGTTTTTCTTTTCTATAGCTGTTGTTATTTCAGTTCGATTGAAATGCACACGAAATTCCAAAAATAGTTTTATCCAACCATCGGAAGCAAAGATAAGGAATGTGTATATCACATAAATGTAAAGGACAAAAACAACGGGCGAATAAGTGTGACATAGTGAGAGAGAAATAATACGGCGTAGAGAGTGAGAAAGATAGAGAGAGAGAGTTGCACGATGAGTGTGAAAAGGATAACAGAATGTAAGTTGTGTGCAATAAGGCTTGTGGATATTCGAATTTTTTTGTTCTGCCAAAGAAATTGTATTGTTATGTAAGCCACGCGGATACTTTTCAATGCTCAGTCGGGCGCGATACACCTCGCAAAAAACATGCCAATCGTTCTCTCTTTCGCTATTCACATGCCGCTCGCTCACAGCCGAGATATTGGCTGTGTAAATGCCACAAATAAAAACATTGCATCGAATGAAAAACGAAGAACAAAAAAAAGAGAATTAGTCTTACATTTACATAATCGCTCGAATCCCGAAATTCTCCTTCATTTTTCATTGTGGGCACAACGTGTGGCAAACACATGCAAACGATGCACAGCTGATGTGGTTCAATTCGAAATTCGATTCTGCTCACTGTGCTGTTTCACCCGGTTTCTCCAATATCCATGTATTCTGATTAATGCCAAGTCATATCACAGTTGCTATTCTGGGTGAGCGGGAGAGAAAGGAAGAGAGAGAGAGAGAGAGAGAGAGAGAGAGAGAGAGAGAGAGATAGGAGAGGTAGAAAGAGGAGAAAGTTGAAGCAAAGACTGACATACCGGAATTTGGGAACGAAAACAGCGATAATGACAGGGAAAAACAAGTAAAAATAACATTTTCTTGAAAATACTATGCCGGGTCTAGATTGAAATTAGTGTGAAAGTCACGAAGAGAGAGAAAAGGGCATGAAATAGAGAAAGCAAAACTGAAGCGCAATGGAAAAAGTTCATTCGAAAATATCACATGTTAAAATAATGGTATAATTTTTCCTAATTTTCTTTCGCTTCCTTATACATCAACACATTGTTTGACGACGACGCCGACAACGATGACGGTTGGTCTAAAACAAAAATTACCAATGTAATCGATTTGGTTGCTTGAAAGCTGACGAAAAACTGTCTACATTTCCAAAACGTGTTTGATGTGATTAAAAACTCATTCGTATTTGTTTTTTGCCTGCTTCGACGTTTGTCATTCGACTCCTTGAGGCGACAGAAAAACACACACATAAACCAAAAACGAAAATTCATCAATGCCCATAAATTTGAAATAAAACGTCTTCGTTCAACTATAATTAGATCTATTTGTCTCAAAAAGATAAAGTATTGAGCAAAGAACATTTGAAGAAAAACCGAAACAAAAACCCCAATGATTTTTTTATATATATACATATACATAACGCGAAACAAGCAAGATGTCTTTCTCTATAGTTTGCCAAAAGTATGAGAAATAGAAAAAGAATGCGTTATTCAGTTGAAGAGCTCAAAATCCAAAAGAACTCAGCTCTACAATTTGAAGATGATGTCTGTTCAAAAAAATAAATAAAAAAATAAAAAAGAAAAATAGAAGAAACATCAACATCTACAATATTCACAGCGTTTCCCAAAAATAAATTATCGAAGTAAAATTGAGAGGCCCGTGTGTGCAATATATCAACCGTTTTTTAATGCATATAACAACAAATGACATGACTTTTAACAAGTAAATGACTTACTCTTGCTGTATTGAAAGTGTTCAATAGACGACGACGACAACAACGAACATACGAATTATCTGTATATTACTATACATATGCATGTGACAGTGTATCGTGACGAAGTGAGAAAGAATAGGAGATTGATTCGTACCAAGCAACCAACAAACCAACAAAACTAATTCGATACAATAGAAGTACACGAAATCCGAATTGACTTTAAACAAAAGAGAGAAAAAAGCACACAGAGAATTGTAAAAAAAAACTGCAACAACAACGAAAAAAATAAAAAATAAAATTAAGATGTTGACCCAAGAAGCAATTCAAGCGTGGAAAATTACCAGATAACTTCCTGTTAAAGCGAATGGGTTGAAAATGCGGACGCGTACGAGCCCGCTTACAAGTAATCGTGTGAGAGAATTGTATGGGGTCCGGTGATATCGTGTTGCAATTTTTTTTCTTTTCAATATAACAAAAAAAAAACGCAAAACGAAGAGAATGCGATGTGTCTGATACAATGTAAGCAGCTACTGCTGTTGTGAATGCATTGAGCTTCGAGTATGTGTTTAGGTGTACCCACCCACAAGATATACACCGGCCGCTTACTCTCTTTCTCTCTCCCATCCTCCCATCGGGTCGATATATCATGTATATATGAGCTGAATTTTCCATTTCCTGCACCAACGTGGTGTCGTTATTTCAAATGCAGCAAAACGAAAATTTTGCTTCTTCAGTTTTTGACTTATGTATTTGTGAGTTTGTGTGAGAGAGATACAGAGAGTGTGTTACAAGCAACCTTTAACACATTTATAAAACAATTACTCGAAAGCTGCAATAATATTTAATCGATTAATTAAAATCAGCAAATTGAAGTGCATAATGACTTTTACACTTTGAACCATCTACGCTATTTCCATCCGCTGTCATCGCACAGTTTCAATAATCAAAAATAGAGCCGCAAACAAACAATAACTGCTTCGAATTAGAACGCGTTGATTTTGACTTTGATTAAAATCGTGATTGTCTGTTGTTTTGCCAAACGTATTAAATATCGTTTGTTAAGTCACATGAATGACAGCAAAAAAACAAATTCCGCTCGAAATGTTCCGAGATTTTTTTTGTTTGTTTGTTTGTTTCGATTGCATTCATACAAAATACAGACAACGATCGCAACAAATAACACACAAAATAGCAACATTTGTTGTGCGTTTTATAAACGCGATGAAATTTTACTAAATGACCAAATTACAGTTCAAATACTTTCACGCAACCGGGCAACGCTCGATGACAACGACAATCAGACATTATATTGAGACACTTTCAGCCAATTGAATCAGCTCAGGCAACTAATGTCAGGCGCTGAAATGGGGCAACAACAATAAAGGTGATTTTATAGCTATAAAAACAATTCAATTGTTACAATCACTATTGTTTTCATTCAGCACCTTAGCTGCCGGAAAATATCTAAACAAAATATGTGACGAAAATTGAAAGCAGTATGCACAAACAACAAATACAAATTCACTCACAATTCTTCGAATGGATTGTTTCTCGTTTTGTTTTTAAAATGTAGGAAATTCAAATTCTTTTCAGTAATTTCATTCACCGACAATATTATTTTTGTTGCGATGGCAATGTTTGCCATTTTTACTTGATTCATGTTGATATTTCGTTCATTTTTCATTCGCTTGCTGTTTTTGGTTTTGCTTGTTCGGTGTTTTCATGAAAAATAATCCAAATCAAATTTTGCTTTCGTTTGGTTGGGATGAGTTTAAAAGTGTAGTATCGCTTATGCAACACATCCAGAAAGAATGGCGAACACATAGCAAGCACACACAAAAAATCGAAGACAAACGATACGGTCGCAAAACAGAGTGTCAATTACGAAATATGGATGAAATAGAAAGAGAAATGGATATTTATGGTGTATGTGTGTGTGTATGTCTCTCTGTACAATCAAAGCAATAAAAAAAAACCTGTACAGAACTATTGTGAATAACTGTGTGAATACTCATAGTCATAATTTGTGTGCGCTTTTGAAGATAGAGATCCGACACAGTAAAATATAAGTCAGACAATGCAAATTTTAACTTACGTTGTGCATGCACAAAACACATTTATTCCATTCGAGAAGTAGTGGCAGCATCATTGCAAAATGTCATTTTCGATTGCTGAACACTTTTTGAAATGTGCGTTTCGGTACGGTCACTTGAAATATGCGTTATGTGTTTGCAATATTGCCGTAGAATGAGATAGGCTGTGTGTGTGTTTTTTTTAAATTAAATGAAAAACGTCTCTTTTGAACATCATAAAATTTTAAAAGCAAATTGCCCATTTCAAATGTTTGAGAAATATCGTTATTTTTCCTTCGCATTATTCAATTGTATTTTAATAACATGATATGGTCGAGCCCACGTCTTTTTATTTTGTTTATTGATGGACAAAAGCGACATTTGAATGCGAAGCACTTTATTTAGCATCAAATAAATCATAAAGAACAACAAACGCTTTCCACGCTCAATACCTTTTTTTGTTTCAAAATCTTGGGTGGCACATCGGTGGGAAACGGTCAGTTGGTATGCAATCTTAACAATATCATCGTCGTATTCGCCAATGCATTTTAAAATTATTTCGATCTATTCATTTTGATTGCAGCGAGTCTCTTTACCGCTCTCTCCCTCGCGCGCTCTCTCTCGTTAGTTTGACATTTGATGAACACGAATAGTTGTTGTTATGTTTGAAAATGCGTGCATGTATATTGTGTATCCGTTAGTGTCTGTGTTGAAAAAGGACGGGTTGATAAGCAAACGTAAGCGGTCGTATTATCCGCTCTTTTTAACTTCTTTGGTTGAGCGTTAAAAACGCTTTGATATTAAATATAAGACTTGAAACCAAAATAAAATTCGGTTGTGTGAATGGTTGATTACGAACAAAATTCTGAAATGTGGTGTAACAGTGTGGCTGACATACAGTGCGAACGTTAGATCGACAGAGAGAAATAGAGTTGCCAACAATACGACTACTCCGGAATATTCAGTTTATTTACGAAGGACGATTTATGTGTGCAAACTCTTATTCATGTTACAAAACAAATATAATGAGCTGTAATAACGACGACTACAGTAGTATATAGCAAACGATGTGTCCGAACGAGAGGAGAAAAGAGTAGCATATGATTCGGAAGGCAATTTTTATTTGGAATGTTATTATTTGGTTTTTTGTCAGTTTACCGGCACCGCACTGTCGCACCGTCGTATACAAAATGCAAATCGATTTCACATCGTTAAACAATTTGCAAACTGTGCAAAGTGAGCAGTAGAGAAGCGAATCAAATAGATAGGACACAATCGATATAAAGATAGATTCGTATTAATTCGTGTGATAGGATTTTAAACGAGGCTCACTTTGGGAATGTGATTGCAACAAATTTGTGCTTTATGTCGATTGATTTGTAATAGTTATTTTCTTTTTGTTTTCTTATTTTTTGCAGGTGAACGCGATTGATTTTAATGCAGCACAATTTTTATTCTGATTCACACCTGACCTATACCAGATTTGTAACATTTGAACTTCCAATGTCAGAAAAATAATGTGCGTGTGATATATAAAATATTTTTAATTTGTATAAAAACAAAAAAAAAACCCGTGAAAAACAGACAAAACGAAATTTACAATGCTACCGCTACCTCTTCGATGAACACGATAAATTTTCTCTCTCGGTATAGTTTGCCATTGAATAGGCGCTTAAGAAAGAAAACGTCGCAGTGTAAATTTTAACTACGTCAAAGTGATTATTATCAGAGAAAAAGTTGAGCGAGAAAAAAACACTAAAGCGATTCAAATTTTGAAGCTCAAAATTTTCGTTTTATTTTTTTCTCATTTCTATTCTTTCATTTGTGCGTGCGCGAATACTGATAAGAAAACGTGTGTTCATCCCATCTCAAAAATCATCTCATTGTTTCAACAGTTTGTGATAAAAAAAAATAATAATAATAAATAATACGAAAAACGAGAAGAGAGAAACAGTTTTTTAGATTTTAAAGAAGAAATTAAACATATTTTATAACGATCAATCAAACGAAATTCAATTCAATCAGACACATAAATTCTCTCACTATCGTTCACCACATGGGAAAAGGAACCAAGAAAAAGACTGTGTGGCGTACATTTTCATTTGAAAATGACTATACCAATGGCACAGATGTTGGCAATACCAACGGACTCACTGCACATCATTACCAAGAAGACGGTAAGCGTGTTTTTCGATTTTTTTTGCGTATGATGAAATTTCATCCAATTGTTGTGAAATTCATCAAAACATACATATATAACTGATGTTGTAGTTGTGAATGTGTGAGATTGTGTTAAATTTGATGGTGAAGAGTGTGCTTTTTTACTTGGTTCTAAAAAAATTCCATCTGTGTTTGTATTTTACCTTTTTACTTCATTCATCTCTATGAAACGCAAGCAAACCGTAATTTTGTATTACTTTCTGAATGCATGTCATCGACTGGAAGAAAAAATGGTGAACAAATTGGCCGGAAATTTTCATTTTCCAAACCAAACACAGTTTCCTCTATTTTTTTCGTGTTCACACACAACCTGATCATTCGACCATATCACTCTTATTCGTACTATTCTTACTTTCATTATTTTACAGGGTCTGTTCTGTATTTCACTTTTCTCTTTTACCGTGGGCAACGATTATCTAGTTTCTTAAATTTATTGTATTAACATTGTGGCGTCAAGTGACTAGTAATTTGTGCAAATAAAGCACGCAAGTGTAGTCAACGGAAATTAATGTGTCAACGCGATTATTTTATTATTATTATTATTTCTCGTTCATAAAATGTGGAACGGTTTGATGTGTACCGCTCACAGATTATCATATGCAACCCATCATCTTTTTTAATAAACGCTTGAGGCATTTCGCGCAATTTTATTTATTCAGATCAGAGTTTATAAGAGGCAGGAATCTCTAAAAAAACAAACAAATAAAATAGTATTTTTAAAAATGAACGATCTGAATCTTGTTTAAATTGGCGGATCTGTTAATTATCGGCGAATAAAACAAAATCATATTTAATTAGACTTTTTTCAATTTGGTGATTATTAACGAGTACACCAATTTTTTTTTTTATTACTTTCATGAATTTTATTTCAAAATTACATCCGTACAAAATTCGCTTGAAATCAAGAAAAACCCCCAAACAATTACACATTAAGTAAATACAATCAAATCAGAATCCGAACAATAAAAGTGTAATAAAAACAAAACAATATGCAATATAAGTTGGTGATGTGTAAATGTACTGCTGCATGCCATAAAATCAACCATAAATTCGGTGTGCAATTGCATTTAATGTGGTTGTACGTTACATCAAAGAGACAACAACAACAAAAAACGACAGATTGATCAGATCAGCCACCAATAGACATACGAAAAAAAGAAGACATTTGAACTAGACTTGAAAGACTACAAATAAACCATAAAAAAGGGTTTCTATGTTTAAATAGACATTTCAAATGCATCTTATCAATTGTGCTTGTTTTTTGTGTGTGCATATGTGTCTCGATTTCATTTTCAACGGGAAGATACCGAAACAGAGTATATTTTGAGATTCACTTTTTTATTTTCTCTCTCTCTCTCTCTCTATCTCTGTTAAAAAGCCCAACCATGCATTATTCCATTTCAATAAACAGCACACACGAAGAAAAAGGAGCAAACAGAGAGAAAACATTCAGTTTGTGATCGTATTTCATTGAAGCGCATTCAGTTTGGGTTGTCGTCTTCTTTTCCTGTTGCATTTGAATTTATATGATGTGATACTTGTGTTTTGTCTTGTCAAACAGATCGTTGCATTCAAGTTGATAAAGTCAGTGTGGAACGTGTTGAAGTGTGTTGTGTTATTTCAAAATCGATCTTGTTCAAATAGTCATTTCTTTAATATCAATGAATTACGATTATTATGTGAATTTAGGCTCGGATAACATCAATGACGATGTGTCCAATCGGACCGTAATCAGTAATGGAAAGTATGTGGCCAGTTGGCGAGCCCAACAACATCGGTACAATAATGATGAAGCCATCGATGAAAATGATGTGGCCAACACAAAATTTCAACATTTAAATGGCACTCCAAATGGTTGTATGGAGAATGGTTATCGAAGTGAATTTTATAAGCATACACGAATGACCGATAAGTATCCAGTGCGGTCGAATTGTCTACGAAGAGTGAACACACATTTCCAAGAAAATGATGATGGAAATAAAATCGATTTTCATGATATTCATGAGAATCAAACGATGAAACCAAATCAATTTCGGTAAGAATAAGTGAAAATATAACTTGAAGGGTATTTACAATTATAATGTCTCCCTTTTTTTTGTGCTGTTTGTTTATTTCTTTTTATCTCGCCATCATTTGGACTACAGATCGAATCGTTTGATGAAAGTACCATTTTCGCGACACAAGAAATGGGATAATCGAAGCGGCAACTATAATTCAAATGGCATTTTAAACAATTATAGTCGTGGCAACTTTCGTAAAACGTTTCATTCGGACCGAGAAACAACTGATGAAAATAATCATACAGATGAGCATTTTAACGAAAATGGTTTAGTGAAAAATGTACGCAATGCTGATGATAGTGATAAATGTCAAGATAAAGCAAACGGTTGCAATTCGACGCAACAACAACGATCAGATCAACATTGCAGTCGACAACTAAATAAGTTCAATGAAGGTTGATAGATTTTCTCGATGTTCTTTTTACTATATATATAAATATATTGTGTGTGTGCTATTTCGGTTGTCGCACTTGGCGAAAATACGATCTGTCTCGATCGGTTTTGCAAATTACAAATAACAAATATTTTCTCACGTCAATGCGTTTTATTGCATGTTAGTTATTTTTGGGGTAAATATAATGTGTGCATTGATAGGAGATCGCAATAGTTCTCTACACCTTTGTGTCGTTTCTGTCGAACGAAATTCATGCACACACATGATATATATACGACTAATTTGATTTTCATTCGACGTTCACATTCACTGTTCTGTTTTTTTTTGTTCTCTCTTTATTTCTATTCTTCGATTTTCGGTGTCGGTTCAAATGCATTTTTTGCGGTGCTGTGCATACATGTGACTCATTAAAAATAGCCGAATATACTCGAATATCGACACCGCGCTCGGAAGTCTTATTTAAAAAAGGTTATTTAATGCGTGACAAAAAGTATGCTGGCCCAATGAGTGCGACAGCCACATCGTCAAATGATTCGGGCTCGGTGAGTGTTGTATCAAACGATGAAACGGCATCGTACTACAGTATTCAATCAATGAGCCCCGACAATTCAACCTATCACAACGGCAACAACTCCAGCGACAGCAACTCGGCCACATATCCAAATGATGGTTTTGAACACGACCTATCACTCATGTATTCGTCCGGATTCTACGACAATAATGGCTATTTTTATCGTATGTATCAAACGACCAGCAACCACAAAGCATTCGTTTTATTTTACTCTTTCTCTCAACAGCCTATATTCCAAATAATTTTGATCAATTTATTGGTCAAACTATTCTAATGCCTTATGAAAGTGCTTCAACTACAGAGGATCTTGACGCCTATGATGCTGATTGTAAGAGTCGTATTTCATCCATATTTATTTATTTATTATTTATTGATGACAATATTTTTCAAGTGCTTTTTTCTGCTTGCTGTTGAACTATCCCGTTTTAAGATGAATCTGATTTGTATTTCATTTCAGCGTTCCCCGTTGAACCAATGTCACCCATCACAAACGATACAAAATCCATCGATGGCGATCACGTTAAGAAATGCAATTCAATTAATTCCGAAGATGTAAGTTTCATAGCCGATCGTTTTAATTCTGATTAAACTAAACAAAAATGTCATTCGTTCGAATAGATGTCGAACAGTTCACTGAGCGAAAATGTCAGCATTAACAATGATTCAGACACACCACAACATCCATTAACACCACCACCATCTCCGCGATCACCAAATGAAGAACTTATTTCCCGCTCTGAAGCACCTGAAAATGAAGCGACATCAAAACATGATGTGGAAATGTCAACATCAGAGGAAAATATCACTGAAAATGAAATCGAACAACAAACCGATACTCAAATCAAATTACAAGACGATGAAAAGGTATTTCAATATATATTTCTTATTTTTATTTAAAAAAAAAAAAACAACTTTATGAGGGAATTGATTGGCTGAAAGTACATACTCCGAAGGAGGAGAATTAATTTTAGTGCAGCTCTTCGAATAGAACACTTTTACGTTCTTTTTTTGGTTGTTCGCGTTTCAACGATTCAATCTATTTTAATGCAGATTAAAGAAACGTTGCCTAATGAAAAAGATGAAAAAGATGAAAAAGACGAAAAAGATGAAGAATTGCCTGAAAAAGACGGTGATGCGGTTGTTTCTGATAATTATTCGATGCCGTATTACTCGCCGTTCATCTATGTTCCACCGATGCCATTTGTTCCAGGTAACTACGATAAGACTTTTTCTATGAACTGTGAAGATGTGTGTAAACTTGTATTGGAACTTGATGATGGTCTCAACCAGTGCCAAATGTTCCTTCTCTGTTTACATATATATTTATTACGATTTTTTATGTGTTTTTTATTGCAAATTTTATTGTAGAAGTTCGAATGCCTGGTACAAGATACGGAAAAACCCGAAATTATTTTGGCCGACCAAAGAGGAATAATCGCTATTCACGTTTTTACAACAACAAAGTTTATATACCAACTAACTGGAGTGTGAGTCCTCAATGTTTTGTTTTAAATCGTTGATTCGTTTGTTATTTTTACATTTATTTTCAAGTGCAACTTGTAATGAATCTATTGATCGATTCTATTTACAGGAGGCACCTGACGAACTGGCACAGATTAATGTGACCGATGAAGAGGTCGTTGAACCAAATGGTGATGAAAAAGCTGTCGAAACTACTGCACCCACTCCGACTATAGAACAATGTGATGTAAGCTATCAAATGAATTCATGACCGGGTTTTTTTTTCTCTCTCTCTCTCTCTCTCATTTATATTTCAATACTCGAGTGTTATTTTGTCCTTTGATGTTAACGTTGATCTCAACAAATATAAAAGCCATGCGTTTAAATTGATTTATTCTGTTTTTTTTTCTGTTCCATTCCACAGAAAATCTTACAAAATAGCAAATTGAACTTAAATGTTTCCGAATTTATACCGCAAAATAAGCGAATTATATTTGTGCCACATCCGTTCAGAGCATCACCACCACCGGTTCCAGTTTATTTTGTACCGATTCCATCCACCGAAAGCACATTGAATGTAAACGTTCCTGAATTCCTACCGAAAAACTATAAGCCATTGAATGCACAAATTGATGCGACCGATAATAATGGCGAACAAAAGCCAACATCAATGGAAAACAATGCCACAGAAATGACGACGATAAAAACGAACGAATCCATTGAAAATCAGAACGAAACGACGAATCAGAATAATAACAATAATAATAATAATCATACAAACGGCTTAAGTAACAACAAAAAATGTATGCAAACAATCGCATCGGATAATCAACAACATAAACAGAATGATGATGTTCACGATGCGAAAAACAAAGATAATAAACAAAGCGCCGCTGCACCGATTCAACAAAATGAAGTTACTGTAACCATGAGTGATTTACTTAAAAACAATATAAGCGATAATCTTAATTTGACCGCATGTAGTTTTAACAATGAAAATAGTCATACAAATTTAAAGGCTGATTTAGGCAATAAGAATGTCACAAATAATATCGTTAAGAACAAAATTTATAAAAATGATAACCATTGTAATGATAGCGGTAGTAGTAAGTGGTCGAAACTAACTAATAGCAATAGAAATGCTAAAATAAAACATGCATATCCCAAGACAAAAGAGACTACAACACCATGTGCAAAACCACGCGATCAACCAAATGTTGCCGAGAAACATGGTAAAGTCGATGAAAAATCTGCCATTGAAAAACCGTCTACTGGATTGACTTATGCTCAAATGATGGTTCCTACGAAATCAATTGCACCGAATGATGTTAAAAATTCGGCTAAACCATCGGAAATTAAAACAACCGAAGAAAGTTCAAAGGCACACAACTCACCGGTAAAAGGAAAACATTTACAAAATACATCAAACAGCCATGGTCGCCGAAATTATTCGATGAAAAAGAAAGCGACAAAATCAATTCAAATTGAACGCATCGAAAAACCGATCGAATCGATTGAATGGTTTACAATTGGTGCAAAAGGTAAAAAGCATGCTTGCGATAGTCAAATTGTAGAAATTGCATTTGAAAATGGAACAAAAGAGGAAAAAGCCTCCAAAATTGCCGAAGAATTACAGCTTGACATTAATAAGGATAGTGATTTAGCACTGGATATTATGGATTCATTGACAGTTACCAAAGAGAAATCACAAGATGCCATTGGAAAAATGTCAAAGAAAAAACGCACCACAACCAATTCCAACAAAACAAAGAAAAAAATCGCAAAAGACAAAATGAACAAAGAACAAAAACGTAAACGTTGCGACACATTTGATATCACTGAACCGAATTTCGTAACTTCGAAAAGCGAACAAAAACCAACCGAAGGTGGTGAAGATGAAGAATGTGCGCAAAATAATGAAACAATTGAATCGGAAACGAATAAAAGTACAGAAAACGAAAACGAACAGACATCTGTATTTGATCCAAACGTATTTTCCATATCGTGCTTGCAAATGGAACCCATGCGAGGAGCATCGGTTGGAAAATCAAACAATGCATTGCGTTTATCAACTGGAAAATCACCGAGAAATTTAATCAATCAGTTTGATATTTACCAATCGAATTATGACACAATTGAAAATAAACAACTTAAAGAGGATGAAGAAATGGTGATAAACATATTGCAACAACTTAATAAATCATTCGATGGCACATTGCGAAAAGACGACACAACCGTGATGGACATTATTGAAGAGATAGCACAGACCGAGTCGCACATTCATTTGGCAAACGATCTAGAGAATGATGAACGAGAAAATAGTGTGGAACGTTTTGCCATCAATGCAAAACCACATCAAAATGTTTACGCATCGAATCATTTTTTAGAGCTTTCTTTTGGCGATAGGAACGACAACAGTGACCGTGTCGTTATTTCTACAGACCTATCGTCAAGCGATCAATCCCATGTAGAAGATGATAAAGACGTATGCGATGAACACATTGACACTTATCCGGTTATCGCTACAGACATTAAGGAATATGGAACGCAACTCGAAACGGATTTGGAAGCAAACGGAAACAATGGAGATTTGGAATGTAAAGACAAATCGGCAGCTAACATAAATATTGAAAATGTGGCTGAAAAAAAATCAACTGCCATTCAATCTGGCGAAAATGAATTGCAAACAAATGAAACTGAAGAACTTGATCATTTGAATAAAATTGAAGTTGTGATCGATAGTGAACAAAAATTCACGATCGAATCAAATTTAAACGATCAACCCGAACAAATATTTGATGTTGAGACTGAAGTTGAGACCAAACAAAAGTCTGAACATTTATTCGAAGATACTCAAATTGAAATTCAAAACAATTTGAACAGCAGTCTATGCGAACTGATCGAGTCATGCGATGAAGTTGAGCATCAGCAGACGATTAAAGTTGAATTGAAACATGTATCGGACGAACAGAATATCAATGATATGAAATTTCAAGTTGAAAAAGAATCCATTCATGAATTTCAACAAAATTCAGAGGAACAAGCATTCGAAAAAGCAAAGAATTGTAAGACGTCAACAGTCGAAAATACGGACGTTTCAAAGCAACTAAAGGCTGAAGAATTGAACAATGATCCATCAATAAAAACTGAATCAATTGAAATAGTTGACCAAGAACAGTCCAGTTCAATTGGTGTCCAACTAAATGAAAAAGACAAATCAAATTGCGAACAAATAACAAAACCAATGGTACACATTGAAATTCATCCAGTTTCAGATGATAAAGAAATTGAACAAAAAGTCAATGGATTGCTTGACGCATCCGATCCAGAGCCAATATCCCTCGAAACCGAAGCAAGTTCATTTGAAATCGATACAGCATCAACGGTTTCATGTAATCAATCAATTATTTCAAATGCAAGCAGCAATAATCGACCATGGCTACGAATCGTTGACACCCAATTGTTGCAACAACAGAAAAAACTCCAACAAACATTTCCAATTACAACTGCCGTTTCGATGTGGTTGAATCAAGCGCAAAAAGAGAAAACACCGGAGCCAATATTTCGTGTGCCTGATTATCGGTTTTTCTCAGCCACCGCAAAGTACAAGAAACAAGACAGCCAAACGAGTCGCAGCAACAGCAGTATTGATTTGACAGAAGATACTGCCAGTATAACTAGTGATAAATTCCACATGAATGACGATGAAGAGGAGGATATTATGAATTTTTGGGAATCACCAACATTGCAAACGCCGCAATCACCCACACCACCTCCAATATCATATAACAGTGTTTATGGCTCTAGCATCAATTATGCAAATTTAATATCAAATAAAAATGAGCTTCTTTGCAATAATATAATGGATTTTGATGCATCGAATGGCAAAGACAGCAAAAATGGCTTCAATCAAAATATGGCCGATAGTGCAGCTAAATTATCGTCGGCAGGCATCGATGAAAAATGCCACCGACCACCGCCTGAAGTATGTTGCACCATAATGTAGCATTAAATGAATTTCATTTCTTTTTTTTTAAATGAAGACATAATTCTTGAAAAGCCTCTCTCGTCATCTACCCTCTTCCCCTCACATTCATCGTGCGCGTCCCCAATTAGTCGTAGTTGATCAGCTATAAACATTTGCATGGAATACACACACACACAAACAAACACGGAATTGATCGGTAAAATCGAATCGAGGTGAAAATGCAAATTGAAAAAAGATCATTTGTTAACGGATTGTTTTAGTTGATCCACACACAACAAAAAATAATTATTAGATGTTAAGTGCTGTGCAACAATAAGGAATTATATAGCTATTTGCTAGGAATTTTTGCAAATTATTCCATTTTCTTTTTCAAACACATACATAATTTTCTTTCGTTTTTTTAAAACCCCCCAATTGACTTGTTTTTTGTTTGGAAATATAACAGGAAAATTATATGGGATGTAATTTACCAAAGCATATGAAATATAAAATTGAAAAAAATAAAAAAAAACGAGATGAAATGAAAAGCATTAAACATACAAACACACATATTACCAATACCTATACCAATTTGTTATGCACTTTTTTGCAAAATCGAAAAAAAAACTTATTTTTTATTGTTGAAGATTATGAACTAATATTTCAAAATTATCTAAATAAACGTACAAAAACAAATTATTCTCTTTTGCTGAATAAATAAATGAATAATTGTTTTTATTTGACATTTTTTTAGCTCTATTTGAGCTCATTTTTTGTTATTTTTGTAGTTTCATTTGTGAACATCATCTGCTTGGACGGTAAGTTAAACAGCTTGAATTTATCCAGGATTTTGTAAACGCACATGAAATACTTGTACTTATTGAATTATTCAACCTGAGCACAATAAAGTCATTTTATACTTCAGTATTTCGATTTTATTTTAAATTATGTTCGTTTTCATTTTTCTCTCATCAGGTTCAGATTTTTAATAATTTGATCAATTGCTTGGAACATAATCATAAAGATTTTAATCTTGAAAAATGTTCAAACCTTTTTATAATTTTTTTTCAATAGTTTGATCTTTGATGGCATTATATTCAAATGTCTCGTAAAATTCATCCACCTAATTGAAAATATCGAAAATGAAATAATATTTCTTGTGGGTTTTGTAAAATTATTTATTTCATACATTCGTGATGTGAATTTAATGCTTTATTTTGGTTTGATCTTTGAATTATCAAAGATAAGTACTAAAAAATGGTCTAACCATTTGAAATTGAATCAAGTACATTTTAAAATATTATTTCTATTTAATAAAAAAATGTATCATTAAAAATTAAGTGCAACTTAAAGAAAATGACGATTAGAAACGATAAATATATATGTATTTATAAGCAATGGAATATCCAACATTAAAACGACGGAATCATTTATGATTTTCAACTACTATCACAATCGAAAACCTAAGATCAAGTATACACAAAGCTTTAATGACAACAAATATGCTTGTTTTTGCTTGCGTGATTAAATGAAATATTGCAATTATTTAATTTAAAAAAAAAGAAAACAAACTCATACTACATGGCAGGCGATTTTAAAATAAAATAACGAAATGGTCTCTTTCTAATGAGCGCCGAGCATGTTTTGATATTGTTCCCATCGCATCAACTGGTGGTGGTAGGCCGCCGCAAAGTGATTGCGCTGATTGTTTATAAAAGACATTTGCTCCAATATTTTGATGAGCGTAAATTACAGACTCGTCACCTCTGTACAAAGAAAAATAAAGACCACCAATGTAATGAATGCAAGTACAGAGCACAAATGATAACAGAATTAAACTTACCTCACGATAATACTATGTAGTTTTGGATTTGACTGTAAATCATGACGAACATACTCAATCGAGCTAAGATCACTATTTGACCATGGACCACCGCGTGACAGAGTGTCCCATTCTTGATCGACACAAAAGAAACTATAGCCACCATCCGTTTTGTCGCCGTTCATATTAACATTGAGGATTTGATTCAGATTTGTTTCCAATCGTGGTAATTTCGATACACAGACGTCAAACTGAAGTAAAAAAAAATTATGAAACCAAATCGATTTTAAAAATTGTGAAAACATACCATGGCTTGAATGTGTTCATGTTTCTGTCCAAAATTCTCCTTCATCACAAGCAGCATCGTCATATTGTTTTGGCCACAAATGAAAAGTTCCACTTTTTTCAATTCACCATCATCTGAGCATTCGGTTGAGCTTTTATTTTCCAATGTGCTTCGAATTTGATCGGTTTCGTCACCTTTCACCGACGATCGTCGACGGAATAATTTAACACTGTCCAAGGGTGTGGCCAACTCCATGCCAGGCGTTGTGTCCCAGCTGGAAAATGAATTCGAACGATCATCGTTCATGGCCAAAATGGATAGTTTCGTTATTAATGGTGTCAATTGAATGCCCGTTAATTTTCGCCGTTCTTCTGGCTTATCGAATATATTCTTTGTGTTGGACGCCTCTGGCGGTGGTACATTGTTTATATTATGTTTCGGATCGCCATTGTTGGTCAGTGATTTTAGCGGTAATGATAAGGATTTTCGATTGATATTGTTGGTCGGTGGTACCTGTGATTTTTCAAGCGATTTAATCGCTTTTTCCACTTTTAATTCATTGTCCGCCAATTTTAAATCGTTTCGAATCGTCTGCGGTTGGTCATCGAATGAATTAAAATTGATGGCATTTAAATTTTTATTGTTGTTATCGTTTTCAGTTTGTTGGTTCACAATTTCATCGAATAGAAAACGCGATATCGGTTTGCCATAGCTATTAAATACTGGATATGTTGGATCGGTTATAGTTCGATATCGATTATTCGGTACAATATCATCAATTGCATCAGCATCATAATCAATACTTAAATCATCTTGAACGCCATGATCATTTGATGATTTTCCATATGAATAGACTTTGCCATCGGCAATGTAGTCACATTCATGCATAAAATTTGTAAAACCGGTGCTGATTGGTCGCAACGATAAATGTTTGGAAAATTTTCGAAATGCTTCGGTGATGTCAACCAATGAATTACGAGCTACTTGCTGACCAAATGGATTTGGTGCTGTATTATTCAAAAAGCGATCCGATACTTCGAAAAATTTTCGCTCCGACATCTCTTGATTCGTATTTTTATTTTCTTTCGGTGTAATTGGTTTGTTATTTATTATCGATTGTGGTTCATTGATGATAATCGATCTTGAACTATTATTATTTGGAATGGCATTCTTTTCGTTGAACGGATTACTGCAAATTGGCAATATATTACCATGTAATACTTTATTTTCAGTCATTGGTGTCGAACACACACTGGTTCGCCCAATAAACTGTGGAAAACTGTCCTGTTCGTCGAATGTTATTGAACTGCTAAAACCACTCTCTGGAATATCTTTGGATGTGATATTTTTGAAACGCAATGGCAAATGATTTGGACGAACTGTTGCCGGTTGCGGTGTAAATTTCAATTGATTTTCATTGTTTTTCAATTCATTATTCGATCGATCGGTGTCGGTTTTTTCGCTTGACGTCGTCGCCACCGCCGTTGATGTACCTTCCGAATGCTCTGAATGCTCCTCGGGAATATTTGTAAATACAATTGATTTATCACGTTTCATGATTTTCTTCTTAAATTGAATCGGTGGATATGCATTGACACCATTCACAACATGGGCTGTTGTTCCATTCTCTTGATTGGCACACTGTGTCTGAATTCGTTCCGAATTTAGCACTAATTCATCATATTCACTTTGTGGAATGTAAATTGTTATCAATTGACAGCCGATGGGTACATGAAATTTTACTGGCAACGATTCGGCGGTGCATTTTATCCGATGCGGATCGGTTAATATAAGATTTTTTACCAATTTTGAGTACAATTGTGTTGCAATTATTCTGAAATGTGAACAAAAAAGCGTTGAATTAGAAGAAAAAAAAATATTCGTGTTTTGAAATCAAGATTAAAAATATGTCTTACTTATTGTGATATAAAATCGAACCACCTAATACGCCAGCCGTTCGCTGACAACTTTGTAATGTATGCATCGCTTCCAAAAATATATTACTTGCACTCTGAAATATCATGAAATTGTTGAAATTTATGCAAAAAAAAAATCATGAGAAAAACAATCGTACCTTTGGCAACTTTGATATCGGCATATTTTGAAAAATATTTCCATTGTACTGTAAAATAGGTAGATAAGTTTCGAAGATGTGATACAATTTTTCCGAAATATTCTTGTATTGACCGGATGCTGAAAATTGGTCGTAAATTGTTTGAATATCACAATGAAATAGCCGAACTAGAGAGCTCAGCAATTCGGCACGATGCTCCAACAGTGACTGGCTTATATTTCGATCCGTTCCAACAGCCTGGTTTAAAAAAAAAAGAAGAAATAGTTGAAAATTCAAAGTTATTTCTTAAGAATTGAAATTTTTAAGCAAGAAAATACTCCAAGAATACTTCGCAAAAAAGCGATTCATTCTCATGAAAATCATTTTTTTTTTTTTATTTCGAATTTTCAAATCAACATTTTTAACTCACCAAAACAAATCGTCCAAACTCTTTGAGAACAAATTTGCCATTTTGTAGTGAGATGACATTGGCTTTACCTAAGGGGAGAATCACAAAAGAAGAGAATAAAATTTAAAATAATCGATAAGTAATCGAAAAATAATCGTAAAACAATCAATAATAATTAATAAAAATTAATTGGCTTTACCAAATGTTTCGCGCAAAAAATGAACGGTGCCCATAAGTTGGCCACACAATGAAAACTTTTGTGTATCAGACACCCAAGTCGGATGGAAATATAAAACTGCATCAGCTGGATCGTCTTCTTCTTTTTGACAACACTCGGTGTCATAGACGAACACGATCATCATTTCCCTATAAATAAAACCGTAACAAATGAAAAACACACCGAATGCGTTAGATCTACAAACTGAACTATGTGCAAAAGCCATAACAAAAACAAACTTACTTGGCCATGGTGATATCGCTGTTTCCGAACGTTTGTAATTGTCGCCTATCAAAAACAATTTAAGATTCATTCAATTAGTGTGTTTAATTGATGATTCGTTCATTTCATGTAATCGTGATTTGGTGAACAACAAATTGAAGAAAACATTGCACTTCAACAGTGTGTTTATCCGTTGTGAATTTTTCCTTGCCCGAATCAAAAGTGAACCATTAAATAATTGCGCTAAAAATGATAACCCCTCACGACTTACAATTATAGTTTTGGACTGTTTTTGCCGTATTCTGACACTGTTTATAGGTGAATTCTATGCTGTGTCTAAGGCGATTCGATTACTTTGTGATATTGTACACATTCGGAACGATTTATAGAATAATTTACAACTATGTGTTTATGATATGTGATCGAAAATTTTGATTATTCGTTTGTTGTCATGTTTTTGACCGGAGAGAAAATCGAATAAAATGCGAAAGCGAAGAAGAGAAATTACGCACAACAATGTATACTTAAGTGGTTGTTGTTGTTTTTTGCAAACAATGAATGGTTGAAATATTTGAGTGGAAAATATTCTTTCTGGTATTGAAACGAAATTTATTGAGATGGTATTTTATACACACCTTTACTTTTTAAAGTCACTACACTCTAAATCGTTTGCTCGTTTTTTTCTGTCTTTCTCTATTGACGAACTAGATAACAAATACACTGATAAAATTTGTTATAAATGTTTCCTGTTGGTTTCGATATAAATGTGCATGCAACGCGCATGTTCAAAATTCAAAAACATTCTCATCCATCGTGTAACATTTGAAGAAATATTGACATCGTCATCTGTGTGGAACGTTGTTGTTTTTTTTTATTGTTTATTATGCATCCAAAAATGCATAGTGATTGGTTTTCTTGTTCATTCACACGACAACGATCTGTTGCAGCTCAAATACAAAGATGAACATTGATTGAGATCATTTTGCGGTTTCACTCAACTCATTTGATATCGCATTGATAAGATTTCGCTATGCAATTATAAAATCAACGTATAAAAAAACACTATTATTTAGATTTAGATTAGAATAACATAAATCTTTGTGTACATGTGTGAAATGTCATTTTTTGAAGTTTATACATACACGCACACAACCAAACGGAATATGTCACTTGGATGTGTTTTGTGTGTGTATGTGTGCGTACGTGTGAATTGACAACACAAATAAAACTTACCATGTGTTGGTAGTGTTGACAGCACATGCGTGATTTGACTGATACAAATCTTCATGCTTGCCTATGTTAAAATATGAGCAGTACGGTGTAAAAATCATTGAAATTCGTTTCTCTGTCGTTTCAATCACGGGTGACACAAGTTTTCGTCTCTTTTACTCTGCGCTCGGGGTGAAATGAAAAAACACGTTTAAATCGGCCTGAATCAGTTACAGGGAATCCAAAATAGTCGGTAACAAAATACAACACCATTCAATCGTACTTTTCATTCAGGTTTCTCGATCGGACCAGTTTGAGTGTGTGTTTTGTTGGTAAGTTATTGAAACATATATATTACCTAAGAATCAGTTAACACTGAAACTTGGTTTCAAATTTCACAATTTGATCACACGATTTTTGTAACACCGCACTCACATTCACTCCAAACAACTTTAGCATTCAACTAAATTGAATCAGTTTTTTAAAACAATGAAAATAGTGCCAATCGAAGAAGAATGTTACCAAAATCAGCTCTTGAACTCAAGAGTTCTTTATATCATTTTGTCTACACACTTCACGTTAATGGAAAATTTCAAACAGAAAACTGTTCAAATTAAATAAACAATCACAATTCCATTTAATTATCGATGAGAAAAAAAACCCAACCACTCTGTTTCAACAACAACAAAAATTGGCCGCGGCAGATCTGGTGATTGAATGTTTTCCTTTCGAAATTGAGTGTAAATGTAATCGATTGAGGGATACTCTATGAAGAAAATAAAAAAGTAAAACGCGCAAAAAACTTGTGCAATTCATAGAAAATAACGGTTGACGCGTGCGAGAGATGTGGTATGGATGTGTGTACATATGACGCGATAAACAAAATTACGATTTAGCGCCACAATGATCGGTGACTGAATTTTATCAGTGATGTAAATTTAGAACGAAATTCCATCGCATTACTGTTCTGTATATTTCCAATTTATTCTAATCAATTTTCATTTACTATTTTTGTTGCAAACATATAGATGACAAATTCCAACTCAGTTAATCGGGAAAAGTAAGCAAATTTAAACGACAACATCAACAATTAAGAATTGCGTGTGTGGCTGGCCACGATAATAGCAATAATGAATAGCATAGGAGAGAATTGTAATGAACTGAAGCAAGACTATGATGCATGCTTCAATGCATGGTTTGCTGAAAAATTCTTGCACGGTGATACAAACGATTCGGCATGTGCGCCGCTGTTCAAAGTCTATCAACAATGCGTTAAGGTTTGTTTGTTTTCGTCCATTCCATTTTGTGTCGTTTTTATTACTCATCAAAATGATTTCGTGTTGAATTTTATCAGGCGGCGATGCAAGACCAAAAAATCGACTTGAAAGAAATTGAAACAAATCACTTAGGCACCGAACGGGAATGTCAAACACCCGAGAAAAAAGATGAAAAATCAAAAGCGTCCCCTTCAAAGAGTTGATCGAATTCAACGAATTCAGTTGTTTAATCTATATTATTATTTTGTTCGACATATTGTATTTAGCAACCAAATAAATGTAAAATACACTGCCAATTTACTCGGAAGTAATGTAGTTATTTACTTCAGTAAAGTGTATCGATGTATAAACGAGTTGGATTTAAAAAAAATATTTCTCATCCCTCAGGGAGCCGCAGACAAACAGATTCATGAAAATACACAGAAATATGGTAGTTTGCTGTACTAAAGCTACCACGTTCACAAGGTCGATCGAGTATTCTGGTCATGTTTTTTTCTTCTTCTAAAGGAAACCTAAAGAGATGCAAACTGAGCAATTTAAATCAAAATCGTAAAAATTTCACGAAAATAAATAAAACAACGACAATCATGGTTTTTGGATAAAATTTATTGCTAAATTATAAATCAATGGTATCTGAATAAATGCAGATTTTTGTATGTTTTGCTGTGCAACAACTTAAAAACAAATGCTATTGGTTATCTCGCCGATATTATTGGTGCGTTCATTTTGATTCAAAGAATTTTTTTGTATCTTGTAATAAATTGATGAATAGTGTTTGTTCGTATTGTGTGGCCAATTCACTGATTTTGTTGACGAATTCATCGTTGATACCTTTTTCGCCGAGTAAATTCATGAGCAAATCATAGAAATACCCATCAAGCATATCACCGGCACAAGCGTACACCTTTTCGCTGTGTTCACCTCTGAAAATGGTCAATTCTTCGATACCGTACACATCATCTGGTGGTAAAAAACAACAATTAGTGAATTCTCATTTGAGTTTGGAAAATTCGAATTTTTTCAAGTTCAACATTTTTGAAGATTTCAAAATCATAAATCTTTATTTCCACCGCAAGAAATAATTGAAAATAATTCGACGAAAACATGACGACAAAAGAATTAAATTGCGAAAGAAATAAAAAAACTCACCGTATTCGCCTTCTTGTACTTGTCCACCCAAGAATGTGCAGGACAATGACAAGGTGGTGCCATTTTTCACGATATCAACTTCAAAGTTTGGTTTGCTAAGTAATTTTGGTTGTTCTTGTTGAGCTTGTTGTTGGTTGTCGAAATCCATATTTTCATTTTCATCGGCGTCAACTGAATGGTTTACATTGAATTTAACGATGACTCTAAAATAGATAATCATATCAATAAAATAATTTTATCCATGAATTTAGGTGCTAAATTTTGAAAAGAACTTACTTTTCGTCTGGTAATGATTTTGTGAGTTCAACTTCGGCCACATCAAATTTGATTCGGAATCCGTTCAAATCCGATGGCAAATGTCCTGCCAATGTGGATTTTTCCGATTCAATTTCGTCTTTTAAGAATTCAATCAAAGCCTTTTCACCTGCATTCAATGACAAAATTCAATTTGAAATACCAGTATCGAAAAAGGACACAAATCAAGATATATGAGGTTATGTAATGTACGTCAAAAACACAATAATTGGCTGAATTTCGACGAAAACCACAAAATTCAATAAATATTTGAAGAGATAAATAAACACTTACCGTCGGTTGATGCAAATCGTTTACCGCATCCGCACTGGCAACCAGCAAAACCCGTGCATTTTTTGTTGGAAATCAGACTTGGTTTGGACATGTGCCATAGAGATCGGGCTCCAAGACTGCGAATTCCGACAGTTTGTTGAATTGGCGATGCAAGTGATTTGAATGCACCGATTCGAACGATATTTCGCAACATGATTTGTTATTTGGTTTTTATTTTCAATTAAAATGTTACAATGTCAAAAACAAAATGTAAACGCAATTTTAATAATTTCAAACACACAGTGTTAGCGATAGAATCGAATCGTTCGGCTTTTTTCAGTTTGTAACAACGAATAATATGATGAAATATATTCTCACGCGGTCGCAGTGACATGCGACTACATGACAGTTATAATGGATACGTTCAATGTACTTTCGTCATTGGCATTAACCGCACTATGAATGTACATTCGTGGAATTGGAATGATTTCGAGAGTTTTTTTTGTTGTTTTTAAATAATGTTCTGTTTTATTATTTATTTACGAGTAAATATGTTTGTTCTTCAAATTCTTTTAACAATATCGAAAAGTCCTAAGAATGAAGGAGTGTTTGATTAGATTTAAAATGTTCATATTTATTCCAAAAGTTTTTTCAATTCTCCGGTTTGATTCAATTTTTTCACATCAGTTCCGCCGCCAATGAAATTGCCGTTGACAAAGACGCGAGGCACCTGTGTGTTATTCACAAAAACAATTTAAATCAAAAGGTTTTCATTTGATATTAAATTTATAGATTATTACCGTTGTGGCTCCAGTAATTTCACCCAATGCAGCTTGAACGTCTCCGCCATCGTCACGTTTGTCCAATTCAATTGCGGTGAATTCTTGTTGTAACTTTTGGAATTGCTATAGTTTACATTTCGAATACATGTTTAATTAATAAGAAAAAAATTAAGTTTAAAAATAAAACAGTTTCGCTTAAATTTCATCACATTGACTCATCGATTTTGTTGAGACGTTGTCAAAACGAAATAATCTCAATGAGTCATCACAAATGAAAATACAATTTTCGTACAAAAATGTTCCTTCTTACCTCCTTTGCCATGGTACAGTATGGGCAGTAGCTTTTTGAGAAAATAACAACTTTATTGCTAGCAATAGTTTCGCTCACAAACTTAGATGCCATTGCAATATTTGTTGGATTCGGACGTGCTGTATTAAGTATATTTCCCATTAAATTTTAAAATTACACTTTTTAAATTTGTAAATTAACAACTTAAATGCAAATTAACATGCGTTTTAAAAAGCAAATGAATTATTTAAAATTTACAAAATGAATCAGTCGAATCGAATCAGAATCTGTCTTTACCTTTTTGATACTAAAATTGAATGAATTGTCAATGTCACCGTCTCTGTTTGACTCACAACACGAATATGATGAAATGAATGGAGCAGAGCATGTCACTCGCTACATACAACACATACACTATGGAATTCGAATGAGTTTAATGGTCGGTGTGAAATCGTTTTGTGTGCTATTGTGATTTCGTTTATCAATATTGATAGCGGTTTTTGTTTACAACATTCTCTCGTTCGCTCTTTAAAAGAGTCCGTTTTCGGTTTATCTCCAAACAAATGAAATAAAACTACAAAAATGACTTGGCAAATGTGGTTTGCTTGAGTTTTTAATCATTTATAATTTCTGATAATTGTACGCTTCTTTTTTATTCCCATTCTACAACAGTCTACAAATGAATATTTTAAATTTTGTTGATAAATGATTCGAATGCAATTGCTCTCTATCATGCGATAGACATTCGATTCTCTTTATTTCTGTGATTTGTTGCAATCTTATAAATAAAAAACAAAGAAAAATTTGGTATTACACTGGAATTTTGTTTTATTTATTATGAATCATTTTTCCTCGCTTTTCCGATTGACTAGGTTTTAAATAACTACAGGTAAATTTTGCGCTTTAGTTTATGACGTCATTTAACAGTGGCGCTTGTAATGCTGTTTGACGATGATTGTGATGCGGCTGCTACTGCCGCCGCTGCCGCCGCCGCCGCTGCTGCTGCAGATGACGATTGTGATGGTTGAGTCTGAACGGCCATCGGCGATGATGATCGTGTCGATGGAATTTTTCCGGTTGGATTTCGGGCTGTTGTATGCTTGTGACCATTTACATCAATGCGAACTGTTGTTCCGCACACCTGTCGAAAATTCAAAAGGATATTGAACTCATTTATGCAATTGATTTTCTTGAAAGATGAATTTTCTACATTTAAAAGAAAATGAAACACACTTGATGATGTTGCTCCCAATCTTTGTGTTGGCAAAATGAACCACAATACCGAGCCAAATTACAGCCGGAGCATGTTTCATTGGCTTTTCGACCGCAGTTCCAACATGTATTTTGCGTTCCAATGCTGGGCGGTGTTAGACGTTCTGCACTTTCTTCTGTTGCGCTCTTGTGATAATCTGAAATTGAATTTGATTTGATTTTTGGCAATTTTTCTCAATATTTTTGTTCACATTCAAAGCATTTACCAGCAAACATTTTCTCCAATTTAATTCGTTCTTGTGCCATTGCTTCGATGGCTCGTGTTTCGGCTGCCGCAACGGCACGTTGAATTTCAATGACTGCCTGACGTTTCACTTGATTGACAGCCTCTTCGGCATTTCGTCGAAATTCGGCCACTTTTTCTTCCGTTTGCCGTTTTATTTCGGCAATTGATGTGTCGGCATGTTGTTGATTTGTTTGTGAACCACCACTTGACGATTCAACACCTCTTTGTTGTAGAATGGTAATCGCTCGTTTGGTTTTATCAACCATGGCCGATATACAATTTAGCATTGTGTGAATATTTTTCCATTCTTCTTCGCCACGATTTGCCACCACCGTTGATGCCGCCGCTGAACTTCCGGATGAACCAACACTGCCGTTATTCCGATGTACATCACTACTTGTTGATGGTATTGTCGCGCTCGTTCCTGTTGCACTGCCATTATTTGAACTGCGCATATCGCGCTCTTCTCTTACTATATTCTATTGAATAACAGTAATAAATCGAATGAATAAATCTTTAAATTTTATCATCACCGAAGTAATAAGTAGGTGACTTAAAATCATACCTTGTCTAAACTGTTTGTAAATGGTTCTAGATGCGATGCCGGTGCTGTTGAATAATCAAATAAACTAGGATAATTTGTGAATAAATGACCATTTGCGGCCGATGTGTTCATCATTATATGTGAACGTTTTGATTGATGCAAATAATCCGACCATTCGTGTGGCGGACCGTTTTGATGGTCATAAATTCTGTAAATAAATAATACATTCGATTAGTACAAAAGTGGAAACGGACAAGTCTTTAAGAGAAATGGCAAGGTATATCACCCTTCAGATGTGCGACGTTTTAAAAGCAATCTTGAATTTCCGTTCAACGGCTGATGTCGATCGCTTCCATTTTTGGCACCTTCATTTGGCATAAAAATATCGGACGATGTATTCTCCGCCGATGTATTGACAAACTCAAAAACGCTGGCCTCATTCGATCGAATGTACTGTAAAATTGACTATCAAAGCAAAAATGCACATTAGCAATCTTCTCTCTCTCTCTCTCTTCAAAAGAAGAATTGAGCAAAAAAATATTTGGTTTTTTACCTGGTTGCTGGCCTTTGCTAAATTCGCTAAATCTCGTTTCAAAACAGGAACATGTGATTTCAAAAATGGTAACACGTACGGCCTGAGTGGAAAATTAACGGATTCCTGTAAAGCTTGTTTGAATGCTTCGGTCGATAATCCGCCACTCTGCACGCCCGAAAAATAACAAACGAAAGGGAAAAAAAGCATTTCATTGAAACTTATCGAGAAAAAATAAAATAAAATAAATTGTAGTCACAAATGGAAAATTGAATGAAATTCGCACAACTAAAACAAAAAAAAAGTTGAACCTAGCTCATAAATTGTGCAAATTTCTCCAATAAATCTCAATAGTTATTTCTCATTTCCTTTTCTCGCATGCGACCCGAAAAGAAATATGTTCTCAGTAAACCAAAGAAAAAGTGAGAAAGTAGAACTTACAACCAGTGACAATATTAAAGAGCGAACACGGTCTCCACATTCGGTGCTGGTGTCTTGGCCAAATTGGTAAAGAGCGCCCAAAAATTTTCGCAATTTGCTCAGTTCTTTGGATGTATCAGTCAATAGAATCGGTGTGGCAGCTTGTGGAATTGATGGTGCCGATGATGTTTGTGGCGGTGAGGTTGATCCGCCTTTTTGAATTGGTGGTGATGTGCTTCCGTTGGCCGTACGCTGTAATGCTAAACTGGTATATTGAGCTTTTGGAGAAATCGGCGATCGTGGTGCAACCGCTCGAACACTTTCGGGCGAATCAGGCGTTCGACCTGAAAATATATTGAGACAACATTTAATAATTTTTTGCTCGAATGCATGCAATTGAAGCGTATATATTATGGATTTTCTTTCATTTTTCGTGTTTAAATTAAAAAAACAAACCTATTGTAAATTGAAATGAGCACCTGCAGCAAAGTGCTGCTTGTGTCAGATATTTGTCGGAATACGCATAGGAACAAATTGATTTTTGCTGGATTTTAGCACACAATTGCTTGTTTTTTTTTTGCCCGTACGAGAAATGGCCGTGTATATAATTGGTTGGTCATCAAAAAATTAAAATTTCTTTCTTTTTGCCAAATGAAAAAACAAATTGAGAGAAAGAGCAAAATGGTTTGCCACTTCCGCAATGCATGCACAATTATCAAGTGCAGCAAAACATTAGCTGCCACCCATATCATTTTCAATTCAATCAATTAATTCTCGTAAATAAAAAAAATTAATTAATTTTTCGATAAAAATTTCTGAATGAGCGAGTTCACCGCACTCAATCAATATTCAATTAACACAGCTCTAATTGAGATTTGCAACTATCGATCAATTTTCGTAAAATCGGTCAAACACACAATTGGTCACAATCCCTTTTCAAACCAAAAAATTGATCAAATTTGATGGATTTGATATGCATAAATTATCTTGGGTCTACCGGCCATTCAAAAAAACCCTAGCAAATCAAGACATTTTTTGTCGCGAAAAACCCTAGCAATTTTAAAGATTTTTCTATTCCTCACAAAATTGAAAAGCAAAAAAAAAGGTCTTCAGTTTATTCGCAAAAAACCCTAGCAAATCGGACGATTTAAGGGGGGGTTATCCTGTGCCCATGTATGGAACAGACTCATGTTCAAATTTATTCTTCCGAAACGGTATGAGAGTGACTGATCTGTTTTCCATGCATTAAAATTAGTGCATTTTATTCGCATTCAAAAATGTTGCATTCAATTCGAAAAATGAATTTATAAATTCAATGGACGTTTCAATTCAGTGATTGGCTATCATTGATAATTAAATGAAATGTCGATTGTGAAATGTGTCGAAATAATTGCTGCAATACTACTGTGCTTTGGCAAGACATATTGTTTGCATTTTGGCCGTGGTTTTCCGAAACTCGGTAAATTAAAGGGAATTCAAGTGAAAAGCAATCAATCAAGCATTGAAACCCATTTAAAATGTTCAGTTTGCCTTGCAGAAATATATATATATATACAACGAACACGTCAGCATGTCACCCTTCCGGTGGTTTTCTTACTTCAAATGAAATGAAACCGCATGCATATATCTGTGGGAAAATCACCTGTCAAAACAATATTCGCTACAATATTTTGCCGGAAATAATGCAATTCGTTTGTGTATGTGTGTGCATGTTTGTTAAAACAAGTGATTCGTTTGTTGTTTGTTTCATAAAAGTAAGTGCATAAAATAATTCCTTACTTTTGGGTGTTTATTTATTGTGGTCGAAAATGAACAAAAATCAAGATTTGTGAATGACAGGTCGAAATTAAAAATAATATCAACATCGTTATCGTTAAAAGAAGACATTCCGAAAATCAAAAGTACACAATTTATTGCTGGTTTTTCGTTCGATGTTTATACATGTGCTCTAAACATACAAATTCGTGATATGCATGCGTTCCTTTGAACGCATTTTCGCATTTTAAGATGCAATGCCAAAAAATGGGAATATGTCTTGTATGTGCTTGTAACCAATTATAAATCTGTCACAAGCAATGTTTTCAAAGCGGGAAATTTCAAAATTGTTTTTCCACTCCGAATTCTCTCTCTCACACACACACTCTGTCTAGAGAGAGAGAAAGAGAAAAAAATACCGGTGCTGCTTTCACCGTTCACAAACACCCGCGAAACAAACAAACACACATAAACAATAAGACTGCCATTGCCTGTTGTTTTTCTCTTTTGGCAATACGGTAGTATCGGTGCTCCCTGAAGTTGCGAGCATCGAGCATAAGGAAAAAGCAAACCCGAACCATAACGATTCAAAACAGTAAAAGTGTATGTTTTAATTAAATTCCATTTGGCCACGAATTCTTATCCGAATGCAGTTTTGGGTGAAAACAATGTCTTTGATCGGCAATTGTTTTTGATGTGCATCAAAAATTGTGCGAGAAAACCAAAATATTCAACCCATGCGAATTATTTGAATGGAATACATTTGATTCACTTTCATTAGATGATCTAGAGTATATCCAGAAACAAGCATAAAGAGCGACATCGGTATCAACAACAACAAAAGCAAAAACTTTTGATGAAAAATGACGAAAAAAAAATGGTTACCATTTTAAAACAACACACAATATAAAGCCACAATTTCAAGTCACAGTGCTATCCTTCTGTCGTGTCAGAAATCGTAAGCAAACACACACTTTTAAACGTACGAATCATAATTGAGTAATTTCTTTTTTCTTCATCTGCTTTGATATCAACGACATGTTTCTGACAGTTTTGGCAGGAAAAAGAACTTGCCGAAAGCATAAACACGACGACGACAGAACGAAGAGTGTAATCCACAAGAGGAACAAAAAAATACATTACGAAAATGAACAAATAAGAGAAAATACGAGGAAAAGGAAAGAAAATTATACCGCACGGTGTATATAATACGAAGTGTATGTGTATTGCAAACTTATTTTTCGGTAGAACTGATGTTATACTTGGACAAATTGCAGGAAATTGAATCAAATTTTAAAAGAAATTCAAGAGAAATACTTAAATATTTACAAAATACCAAACCAACAATTGCAAATTATTTCAGCAAAATGTGTGTTCTCACATCCAAAATCAATTCCATCTTTGTATGCTATGATTTATTTCTTCAATTACATATAATCCAAATGGAATTCTGAAGTATGAAGAAAAAAAACATCATATCAGATATGAACATTGGTTTTGGCATTTCATCATCATAAAGATAAATTGTTTAACATTTGATTTATGGTACATATTCTACTTGACCTTTTCCACACCCATTAATTCATTTCATTCGAAATTTATTGGAGAATCGGCTTTTTTCCCTTTAAGTACATTGCTCTCATTTCGAATCGTATTGAATCACATACACATTGTGTCCCGCATACAGACGTTGATATGTAAATCTAACGACCGATAATTGGGTCAATTGGTTTTTTCTCCATTTCAATTACAATTCAATTCAATTATAACCGATCTTTGGTCAAAAAATGAAAATCACACCTGTATTGATGTAGATTTGTACGGCATTAAAATATAAAGTTCAAGTTGGTATGCACGATTGCTGGTACATCGGCATTGAGCCCAATGCAAATGCTCTACAAAATGGATGTGGGTGCTGATGATTTTTAAACTGCTGGTCGAAATAGAGAGAGATCGATTTTTTTCTCATTTAGGAAAGAAAGGCAACGACAGACACACACGAAATTGTTTTTTTTTCGAAGCAGTAATGGAAGAGAGCGATACACATATTCAAAGAATGATATGTCATCATCAGCACAAATTTATATGGTTTTTAATGGAAAAAGTGTTCGACAATCATATTGCCAAGATATGGCGGTTGGAAAGTATGTGCGCGAACAAGAGAGAGCTAGCGAATGCTCGCGTTACTGTGCGGTGTTGATTAAGATTAAATTCTGCTGGTTTAGCTATTTGGCTATTGGTACATTCACATACATACAGCCAGAATATTCTCTGTTTTTGACAATTTATCTCTCTAGTTCTCAAGTTCTTATTATTTGTTTTTTTTTTCGTACGTTTCTCTCTTTCACTTGCACATACATTCTATATACAACAAATGATGTGCATAAAAAGACGAACACCACCACTTTTGGAACCACCATGTGTGTGAATTCTCTTTTGGTAGAAAAAAAAACCAAAGAGCAAAAAGTGAAAACGACCCGACCGAAAATAAAGAAATATTTGTTCAAAAAAAAATATACTTGGACGAAATGAGGTAAAAACACAACGGCCAATTTGAAATGCATCAATTTTAAATGAATTATTCAATACACCGTCGAAATTGTATTTGAATTGAAGTGCAATTACAGAAAAAAATGCATACAAACCATGAATGTTCAAAGAATTGTTAATAAAATGACAAACAATCCGTTTTTTTCTGAATCAATTGAAAGGCTTTATTTTTCATTGAGTTGTTGACCAATTGGAGTTTAAAATGAAATGTGTAGGTGTGTGTGTGGATTTGCATTTGCATGGTCTTTAATTAATTTAATTCAAATCTAAAAATATTCAGAAATTTATGCTTAAGTGTATAAATCTGTTTTATTTTTACATGGATTTCTTTGCTTTTTGTTGTGCATGGATGGATTTGTGTTTACGGACACTAATTTGTTTGGAGTGAAAGTGGATTTTTTTTGAATGAACGAAGAGAGGGGGGAGCTAATTACGTAGGAGTTAAATGAAAGCCGAATCAATCGTTCACAACCGGTGTTTCAAATAAAATTTTCCCACAAATATTTTCATTTCATTTATTGTTAATTTTTGAAATTCATTTGATGTGCTTGTGTTGACAAACTGAAACATACAGTTACTATAGCACGCATTTGGTTCCTAATTTTCAGTTTCAACTACTACACCCCCACTCTCCCTTGCTCACCCTCTCCACTATGAATAAGACAGATTCGGTATTTGAGCACACGAATAGAATTGTGTACAAATTGTTGGCCACTTAAATTGAGTGGATTTTTATTTTTGTCGATTAAACGATGGCGCATATATGTATATCACCCAGTTTATTAGTGGAAAACTGTATTTTTTTTTTATATTCCCCGCGTTTCTTTCTACACCTTTGTTATAGTTCACGCTTTTTAGAAATTGACAATTAATGTAAAGGTAATTATTGTATGCGTATAAATTAAAATTGAATTGCTATCTGTTTGTTTTATTTTTCTGCTTAAATTGTTTGTCCTATTTCACTTACCCTTCGCTCGAATTGCATTCGCTTCATAGATATCCTTATCGAGTATTTCTTCTTTGATTGTTTTACTGTCCAAAGCCATCTAAAATGAACATGAAAATGAAAACATTTAGCATTTAATTTTGCAGCAATTTGTAAATGGAAAAATTGTGAATGTTTTCACATCACGCGTAAATGGAATGTGCACATGAATACACAGAAACAAATATTCGAGTACGCTTACTCGCACTTGCGGTGTTAGCGGAGAGTCTACCTCTCAAAATGAGTTACACACTCTATTTTACTCTATTTTTTGTGTTAATTTCATCCAAGTGAACGCATCGTAGTGAAAGAAGAGATACATGTGTAGTCATAGCCGCATGCGTTTAACGTGCATATGACTACACATGTATCTCTTCTTTCACTACGATGTGTTCACTCGAATGAAATTAACACAAAAAATAGAGTAAAATAGAGTGCGTAACTTATTTTAAGGGGTAGACTGTCTGCTAACTCCGCAAGTGCGAGTAACCGTACTCGGATATTTGTTTCTGTGTACACAGTCATATGTAAAATTTAGGCCGCAACGGGGCGCCGACCCGAACGCCCGACCGATGACCCAAAAAAAGTTCGGATCAGGCGGGATTTGGACCAGATGCTTCGGGTGTTCGGATATTTAGGACGTATCATGAGCGTCCGAATCCGATTAGCCCGAAATCGAGAGTTTTTTTGGAAATTATTTAAAAAATCTTGCGAGACTTTTTTATCATTTTTCGTTAAATCTTCTTTAAAAAAATACGGGGACCTTAGACCCAAAAATTCAATGAATACCGAGTGCCCGAGTTCGGGGAATCACGGGTTTCGGTAAAAAAATTAACTTCGGTCGGACTCGGGTAAGACACAGGAAATTCGATCGGACCTTGGGCCGATTTTGCCATCCCGTCGCGACCTCAAACTAGTACATTTGTATTATATGATGCGATGAATTTTCGATTTACAACATGAGTTTTCCATTCCATTGCGGAAAATACACATTTATTGTCGAAATGGTTCATCACAAACTGATACACGCTCATTTTTCGGTATCAATTAAATGTGAGAACTGAGTCACATGTTGAATATTTTATTGAAAATTATCACAATTTTCCGTCGTCAATGAAACATGCATGCGCCAAACGGATGCATAAATATAGATACTGTACGGATGCCAAAATTATATCAATTAAAACATCATCTAAAATACAAAGCACATTTCGGCTGCCTATTTATCTGTATAGTAACACTTCTTATGTTAATGTAGACAGCAGAGAGACCTGTGACATACGGCAGTGCAATGCATGCACCGGAGAAAAAAAGCGAATTCTGTAAAAAGTTTAGGGGAATGTTGAGCAGATTGCAATTCAGTCACTATACAAAAATGTTCAATCGACGTTGTAATTCAATCTTTTTTGGTTACAAAAATCAGCAATTTTCACAACTATGAGTTGAACATTTTCCAGTCAGTGGATGAGCACGGCGAAAATTGCAACAAACATAGGACGATGAGATAATTGAATAAACGTTGCAAAATGTGTGTGCTTGGTATTTCTGGAGAATGAAGAAAAAAACCGAATGAACGAACAGGTTTAAAAATGCGATGATTTTTTGTGGTGGGGGTGATCTTATGCCCTGCTATAAAAATCAAATCGATAAAAAATGATAGTAAAAGATAATCAAAGCTGTATACCTATCTAACGTAGGTAGGATTCGTATTGACCAAATCGCATAAATATAACAGGAACTGAATTCAAATATTGATTTATGTTATATTGAATGGCAGCACCGAATAAAAGACATCAATATATTTGCATTCCTTGATCCAAATGTTATGACATTGCCAATACAATGTAAAGTAAAAATATACACAAAAAAAAGGTGCACGATACAAAACGAAACTAAACACTTAGAAAAATCGCTTCGAAGCGATATTAAATGTTGGATAGATTGAAATGTGCGTCATGTCGAGTCATGAACTCACTTTTGCTCTGTCTGTCGTTTGGTATGTTCAATGTTGTTTCCACCATGTGGGACCCGTACCATTTTCTGTTAATAATCTATAAATATAAACAGAATTTTTTTTTGGCGATGATGAGAGACCATAAGGTTACTCTGAAGCCCACATTCGAATCGATCATGATATGTAATCAACAAGTACTCGAATGAAAGAATTATGCTGGCTTTGATGTTGACTACTACTCTATATTATTTTTTCTCTCTATCTCCGGCTTTTACAAAGATTTCTTATTTTCTTCTCTTCATTTCTTCTTGTCTACAAATGCCAAACAATTGAGATAGCGTGCAATATCTATGAACGATGAGAGAAATGACCGACGATCACGAGATGCCCAAAAATCATTGACTTTGTATCGTTTTTCGGCATTGCTTAAATTCAACTATTATTTAGCTCTTACTATTTTATTACGCTTATATATTTCGTTCGACAGAAACGATAATATTCGTTCGTCTATCGTTTTTCACTTTCTGTTATATATGTTTTTATAGTCAATTTTCTTTTGGCTATAATTAGTAGTCGAAATGTTTCGAAGTCTCATTGCAAATCTGGTGTATGCGTTTGATGTGCAAGAATCTAATGAGTATAGTATTCCATTAAAACACACCTGGCGAAAGAGAAAAAAAAAGTGGCCGTCACTTACGAGCGCACTCTGTTTCGGTGAATAGTCGACTACGTATAGTGCCCGGCCAAAATCGCCGAATATCTGGTTAATTAGAAATAAGTTAGAAACTTCTTGGAGGGAAGGCAAACCGAGTGAATGAACAAGAGAGAACGAGAGAGAGAGAGAAAGAGCGAGACTGAGCACAAGTGTTATTTCGGTTTTCACACCGAATTGCAATGTAAAACGAAGAGTATATCACAGCTGCGACTGTTTCTCGCTACTTGTGCCTCAATGTTTATTTCCTTTGGAAATGTGCTGTTGCACGGATTAAACATTTTGATTTGTTTGCATTTGGATTTTGTGCGCGCATGGGAGCGGGCGTATAAGTGATTCTCGGTAGAAAAGTTAACAATCTGTGCCTTCGATAAATTTTTTTTAAATGGTCAAACAAATGCTATTCATATTTTGAGGCTGTTGGTATATTTTACAAACTTGGTGTGTATGTGTGTGTGTCTCTCCCTCTCTCTCACACTCGCTCTTTTTCCTTCTCGCTTTCCCTTTCTCTTATTCTCTTTTCGTATTATAAAATATACATTGCATGCCAGCCGTTTTTTCTTCGCAAATGGGCTCCAAAAAAAAACAATAACATCAACATCCAAGTGGTAAAAAGACATTTGGCATGCCGGTGCGATGAGATTTGTGATTTGTTTCATCAAATTTGTGATTGTGTGTTGGACGCATGAAGATGCTTTACTGCCACATTTGAATATAATGAATATGCTGGTGCTACACTGTGGGCCCAGTCGGACTAAATTGTATACTTTTAGGATTTTTCTATATAAAAAATCCATATGGATTAAAAAAAATCCTGAAGGAAATTCAAAATATTAAAACAATACTCAAAATTATTTTAAATTCATTTTGTTGATTGTCATCGATTTTACGGAGCAAAACATATAGTGCAATACAAAATTGTCAACTGTAGCTGTCACAGAAAAAATACAAATACATAAACATCACATGTACGCTCAAAGTATCACAGCGATGAAGCTAAGTAGTGAGCGCATGTATTAGAATGTTCGCTCAGCATATCTTTCTCTGTTGTTATGGCTTGTACGTGTGATGCTTGTGTACATGTATTGTTTCTGTGACAGCTACAGTTGACAATTTCGTTTCACATTATATGTTTTGCTCCGTAAAATCGATGACAACTAACAAAATGAATTATTTTTTGTAATGAAAATTATTTTGTTATTAGTTTTGAGTATTTTTTTAATAATTTGACTTTAAATCCCTCAGGATTTTTTTTAATCCATATGGATTTTTTATATAGAAAAATCCTAAAAGTATACAATTTAGTCCGACTGGGCCCACAGTGTAGTGTTGCGAGTTTCACTGAATAGACAGGGCACGTTCACATTGATGAAATGTACGGCGGCCAAAAATAGTCTCTCATGCCACTCAAAATTGAGTATACATTCTGTGTATTTTTTTTAAAAAAGAAGTTTCTTTTTTTCGTTTTGGTCGCTGGCTGCTGTTGATACAATTTTATTTTAAATTCGGATAAAATCTACTGAATATGGAGGTTTACCAATGTACTTCCATTGTTAGTTTAACGAAGCCAAATGTCTATGTGGTATTTAAAAAATTTGTTCACACAGGATGCTGGCGTATTAGTAATTCGTATGTTTTTTTTTCCGCCTCACTCAGTCATTCTTGATCGCTAGCTCACACGCTTATTTCGATTTAGTGTGCGAATGAGCGCGCGCGCGCCCATTTATGTATGTATATATATATGTATTTGTTCTCTGGGTTGGGAGTGCAATTTCCAGTGGTCACAGGTGTTTGAAAAATACCCCATCTGGCGCCAAATGTTTGTTTTCTACTTCGATATATTAGAATGAGTGTTTGCGTATGAAACCACCACCATCTACCACACGCTTTGCTATTGCTGACACCATCCTGAAAACATTCAATTTTTCTCTTTCTCTCCCTTTCTCTTTCACTCGTTCGCTTGCAACGTTCATTTCTCAATTCGGTGCAGTTTATCTGTCACTGTCTTGCTTCAGTTTAAAAAGTTGGCGATGTCGGATATATGCAGCGTTCGGCTTTATCAAAAACACTTATTTGAACTGTGCTCTCTTTATATCCACGTTCCAGAGAGAGAGAGAGAGAGAGAGAGAGAGAGAGAGAGAGAGAGAGAGATATCAAGTACATGATGCATGCGGTCCAAAGCCAATGTGATGGTTCGACAGGCACAAGTATTGAACATATCGTATATATGGCCAATTGTTTATGTGCTTTCGGCAATAATAGTAAGAGTAAATCCAAAAATGACTTGAAAAAAGTGTCAATCTAATGTAATACACACAGATACACGACGAGAGAAAGGACGACAGTTCAAATGTGCAGCGCAAAAAAAATAAAATAAGAGTTGAACAAATGATTT